CATCCTGGACATGTTCGAAGATAGTCATTTTGGTGACTTCGGCTTGCACTGTGATTGAGAGCAGACACAGATATTGTTTAGGCTATCAAACCTGGTAGAAGGTGAACTCAAGAGACGACCGACGGACTAAATGAAAAGTACCACGACTCCCGGAACAATCCAGCGCCGGCGTAACTGGAAACTTGTTTATTTTTGTAAAATTATAAATTTTAATAGTGGATCAGGGCGATCCTCATCTATTTGTCTGTTCTACAGGCGCCTTTTATCATTCGAGAAAGCCCGAGTCGCCGAAACTCCGGTTCAACCGATGAATTATCAGTGTTGTGCTTAATTCATGGTTAGGACGACCATCAAAGTTGCTTAGGATGAAACCTATCAAATGCAGGGTATCCCTATATATATGAGGTCTTATACATCTTGGCTCAAATGCTCAGTCAATAGCACAAGCTCGTGGCAATTTGCAAACCCTGGAGCAAGGCGGGCCGCATTTCGCGCGCTATACTCGTCTCCACGAAATTCGAATTCAACATTCAGCCTGCAGCCACAATGCAAGGAACAAAGCGCCCATTTAATGCAGTCTGGTACACTGACGCTATGCAATGACTGTTGATAGTCGCTCGTGGCTTGTTTGATCGCCAGCCGCAGATGAAACTTGGCATTCGCTTGCCGAATCAAGGGACAAATCAAGCAGAATGCAATTACCCACTACTCCAGGATCCCTCGAAGTGAGACAACCGTGTCTTTCACATGAACGCTTGAACAGACATTTGGCCTGTCTAGCCATGAGGGACGTGTTTGCGGAAGAGGCCTGTGGAGTCTAGATCTTGAAGAGATTGCCAGGTCGTACGCATATCCCGTCCTAACCTGAAATGTCTTTCCTAATTCGTGTCCCCACAGCCAACCGATGATAATGAGTAACACACGTTCGTTCGATGTCCTCTCATGCAGGATCAAGCAGCATGACAGACAGGCACGCACTTGTTACTGAGATATTCATTCACAGTTACCGAAAGCACTTGCTTGTTAACTTCAGAAGCACGACCGATCCCCAATTGGCCTGGAAGGACACCTGAGACTAGGGCTATAGTGGCAAGCAGAGCCTGCTACTCAATTGCAACCACCTCGACCCAAGAAAAGGCACGAAGGCCTACCCATATGGCGGCGAGCTAAACTTGTCCAACCGAGAATATTCGAACTTTACTATAGTGGAAATGTGTCACCTGACGTTCAGAGAGATTGCTCTACCATGATGTGGAACAGAGCGGCTGAGAGTGTTCCTCAACGTCGAAGGTACTCATTCGAGACTTGTGGTTTGCAGAATACACAACAGACGCTTTCTGGGAACAACGTGAATCGTCACGAATGGCGTCCACTTGCCCCTGTGCTTGAGCTTCAGTGAAGTCAGACACGAGCCCGTACTACCAGTGCTGATAACACGAATAGGGTAGCCTTCAGAACAGCCTTGCAGCGTAATCATATGCACACGGTTCTCATCGCCACACTTGTAACTGCAAAGTACAGAATTGCGCTCACCTACTGAGTTTTGCCATACGTTCATGCCGTCTTGACAAGCTATAGATTGGATGTTCAACCCTGAAAGGGCTGGAAAATCTTGTAAAGCTTCTAATATGGATAAGTGCCTAGTGTATTAATGCCAATGGGCTATATTAAGTCCATTATTAGCATTTGTGTTGGCTTTCAGCGTCTGTAGTCGTGTCGTATGACACCTATGAACGGTCTCTGCGAATCACATATGGGGCACTTCAAGCGTGGCTGTTCATTTACAGGGGCTAAAGGCTCACTTGACCAGCGTCCTCTACTGGAAGGTAAGCGCCTGGGCTCCTATAGTGGCTTGGACGATGCCATCCCCTGTCAAGGCCAAGACGCAAATTTTGTGTTAGCCAGCAGGGGCCCGTCACGAGATAGTCTGACCCATTCGGCGCCCAGTTAAATTAGTCTATTTTTCAACCTACTAGGGATGCAGTATCACCGCTACGCACCAATTAGGATATGATTGGGCAACATAGCTGCGGTGTTGGTTTGCGATGTCGGCTGAGATGAGACCAAGCGTTGTTGAAAATTGCGATCCAGATGTATGTTAGGTTGGATTAAGATTCATGTGCGAAACAGAGTAAGATGAAAACAGAGAGCTGTATTGCCGATGGTTTTATTAGATGCCAGACCAGACGGACGATGGAGCCTGGCTCTTGCATTTGTTAATAGACGGACCATAAGTTTCTATATTCTCGCGCGATAAGCTGAGTCGTCGTGCATCTACCCCAAGCCATTGTACGCACAGGAACGCCGTGCACCAGGCAGCTTACACTTCATCTCCATATTTTAAAGTCCCCTGTCGGCAAGGCAAATCACTGTGGGGAGTACTTACCTATTCTTGAGCAAAGGTTGGTCCATAGCACCAACGACATAGCTTCAAGGGCGCATAATCCTTGATACCTGCCAAATATAAAATGGTGGCCTCGCAGAGTATTTCCCGCCAGCGGCCCGGTTCTGCTTGTGAGGAATGCCGTCGACGTAAGGTCCGCTGTGACCGTCGACGTCCAAAATGCCAAGTGTGCTTCGAGACTGGTATCGAGTGTAAGATAAGCACCACCAGACTTCCAAGGGGACCGCGAAAGGGTCAGCTGCGGACATTGCGAACACGGATCGGTAAGTCTTGTGTGATATCGCCGAAGCTCGGTGCTCATATTGGCAAGCTGCCCTTGAACGCTGCCTGGCCGACCAGCATCCGGGCATCAATCAGCAAATGGCAGGGTTGTTTGACGGCGCAGGAGTCGAGTGCGACTCTGAAGAAGATCCCCTCCGTGAGATAGCTACACTGCCTGAACAAATTCCCGAAATATGTTCCGACGATCAGCAAGGAGGCGGGTCACCACGGTCCCCCGATCCTCAAACACGACCAAGTGGACTAGTCTCCGATCTGATGCGCGCAGATCTGTAAGGCATCACATCAGAAGCTGGACACATTGCCAAGGCGTATACTAACACTTACAGAGATCAATTGTACTTTGATCGTGTCCACCCCTTTTCTCCTATCTTACAGCGCTGGCGCTATCACGTGTGGGCGAGACAGCCCAAGAAGAGTGAAGCTCAGATATGCCTACAGTATGCTATGTGGACGGTAGCCGCTTCCCTGTCGGCCCACTTTCAATCTCTCCGAGACACTCTGTACCAGGAGACGCGCCGGATGTTGGATGCTATGGACCTCCAAAGCCCCGTTGGCGGGATACTGGCAGTTGAGCAAGCGCAGGCATGGGTATTGGTTTCTGTTTACGAGTACATGCAGATGTCACCTCAGCAGGCATGGATGAGTGCTGGTCGATGTTGTCGCCTGGTCCTGGGTATGCGGCTATACGAGATAGATGATCCTAATAACCCCGTAACAATGGCTCGGGAGCATGAACCGAGCTTAGTGGATTGGATCGGGCTGGAGGAGCAGCGGCGAACCTTTTGGATGGCCTATTCATTGGATCGGTTTATCAGCTTCCACAACGCGCTGCCATATACCTTAAATGAACATCTGGTATGTCTCATTATCAACACCACAGGGTATTACGCATCTAATAAAAGCAGATTGCGACTCGACTGCCGACATCGGAAGAAGACTTTCAAGCTGGCCATCCTGCGGCAACCCCGTTTCTGCCGGAAGTCATGACGGGCTATTCAAGCAGCGATAGTTCCAACGGCCAATCCTCTTTTAGTGAATGCATCATCCTAGCCACACTATGTGGCCGGGCACTCTCACACAGACAAACTTCGGCTGTGGAGCAAATGAATGGAGGCTTGGTTGATGGACTGTGGACTCGGCACCAATGGTTGCATGAAATGCTCACCTATCGCATCCAGGTGCTCTCCGCGTCAGCACATGTGGACCCGATGCTGATTTTCGCGAGGATCGTAGCGCAGACATTAGTTCTATTCCTACATAGCGTACTGGAAGCGATAACATGGAAGACAGGTGAACATTTGTTAGGTATTTTCGAGTATGAGCGCCTCTGCGTGATGGCCGCACACGAAGTTGTCAATCTGGTGAAGCTACAGGGTCAACTAGGGTATTTTAAGGTACTTTGCCAATTCGACCAGCCAGAGAATGTTTATTGACAATATAGGTGCATCCATTGACCCCGATCCCGATCATGATGTGTACCGAGTTCTTCACAGCACATGCGTATCTTGACGGCTCCTTCGATATCATGCTACAGGAACTGCTCGAGTGCCTGCAGGATTTGGACCGAGTGAAGAACCCGAGCCAGAGCCCTGGGATATCTGTTTAAAATTGAGATTGGCGCGTCCTAATGGGGCCATGAGCATACCTCCAGCATATCGACATATCCATTGGATGTGGACCAAAGGGCTGGATTATGTGTTATTGGTGATCATGTGATAGAGGATCTCGAGGAAGCATAGATCGTAAGCTCCATCTCGTACAAACGGCGCTTTCATTCTATATAACCTTTATCTTCCTTGGGAAAATGCCATCTTGTATAATGAGTCTACGGAAAAGAGGCCCGCGCCCCACCACGTTGGGCATATCCCTTGTTGGCGCTGCTCCGCTAGCATCCATGGTAGGATTGCAAATAACCTCCGCGACATACGCATATGACAAGAGATCAGCTGGTATGTGAAAGCGGAGAGCAGCCACTGTGTGACAGTAGGGGATCCATCACTGGTCCATAGACTGTTTGTGTCTGTTCTTTGTTTCAGACTAGGAATGGGCCAGTCAGCCACCCCGAGGAGATGACCCGAAGACAAACTCCGACTGGTAATGCCTTCGCTAATGAAATATCAATACGATTGATATAGACCAGGGCGTATCCAGAGAAATACCAGGCCAGTGTAGTACTCGGGATGCGGGGTCAGAGGGTGGCTTGAGCAATGGAAGGAAACAAGGAGGTCTCCCTTGGACCGTGTTATAGTCTTCCACCCCCGCCCTCATTTTTGTTCTGGTCTTGTAGCCCCTCCTTGCCTCACGTTGAATCAATATGGCCAGCCAGCTGAAGCCACCACCTGGTGGGAAGACTGTCCTCATCTTCGGCTGCCAATGTGTGTCGTTCACTATCGACGACTTCCATCGTCTCAGGGCCACTGTCCTGAGCACACCAGAGCATCGCTGGATCCAAGATGTTGTATCGGAGCTACCAGTATACTATCGCACGGCAGCCACGACATACGTCCAGAAACTGCAGAACATCCCTGGGACACAGCAGCTCCGTGATTTAACTGAATGGTTCCGCACGGGAGAGGTGCCGACAGACAGCTTTCCGTTGACGTATATCCAACTTGCCCCAATATTAATGATAACCCACTTTATGGAATACTGGCAATATCTGCGCCTTGGGCACCCTAAAAGTCCAACATCTGGCAATGAGCCATTGACAGAAGGCTCGGTCGTGGAAATCGTAGGGTTTTGTATTGGGTTCCTAAGTGCTGCTGTTGTTTCTGCCGCTAGTAACCAGGAGGAACTACGGAAATATGGCGCTGTTGCTCTGAGGCTAGCAACATTAATGGGTGCTATCGGTGATGCACAGGAGAGGGAAGAGGAGTATACCTCGCTTGCAACGGTCTGGAAATCTGCCGACCTTGAAAAAAGGTTGCCGCTAATTTTGAAACCATTTGCGGAGGTACGTTCATTGACCTCCGATACAGGACCAAAACCGTTGACAGAGTAGTCGTATATCACGGTACGCTTCGACGCCAACCGTGCCACTATCATGACACCGCGTCAGAAAATTAAGCAGATAGAAGAGGCATTGCAATCAGCTGGATTCAATACTACGCGAGTCGAATTCAATGGCAGATATCACTGGGCTGGAAATGAGGATATAGTGCATGCACTGTGCCGAATGTGTGATAGCGATCCAGCCTTGCAACTGCCCGGGCCCTCTCAATCGGTGAATCCCACGCGGCCTGGTATATCAATGGACACTGCTCATCAGGGTCCTCTTCATGAGTTTGTATTACGGTCAATCTTAGCACAGCAGTGTCAATGGCTTGACACATTCTGCACAGTGTATCAGGCTCACCTGGAAGACACTTCATCAATCATCGTTGAATTTGGACCAGAACGGTGCATCCCGCCTACATATATGCGCAAGCTACGGGGACGCACTGTGCACTTCGCAGATCTCGATCTAAGCCCACTCTCGCGAACTTCGCCTCTACACCAGACACCACGGAGTTACGATAGCGACATTGCCGTAGTTGGCATGGCCTGTCGCGTGGCGGGTGCAGATGATTTGGAGGAGTTCTGGAAGTTACTTTGTTCCGGGGAGTCACAGCATCAAGAAATGCCTCTAGAGCGATACCGAAACTATGAGACACCATGGAGGCCGGATGCCATCAAACCTTGGTTTGGGAACTTTGTCCGGGACATAGACGCATTCGATCACAAATTTTTCAAAAAGGTGCCACGGGAGGCAATGTCCCAAGATCCTCAGCAACGGCTGCTTTTACAAGTCGCCTATCAGGCCGTGCAGCAGTCAGGGTACTTCCATCAGCCCGACATTAACAGGAATATTGGGTGCTACATTGCGTCCTGTACGGTAGACTATGAACACAATGTCAATTGCAACCCAGTTTCCGCATATTCGGCAACCGGGCTACTTAGGAGCTTCATGGCTGGTAAACTGAGCCACTACTTTGGTTGGCGCGGTCCTGCATTTTGTGTTGATAGCGCATGTTCCGGGTCTGCTGTCGCACTTCATCAAGCGTGTCAATCTATAATACGAGGAGAGTGTACTGCAGCACTGGTCGGCGGTGCTAACGCTATTATGAGTCCTTTGGCGTATGACAATCTTGCAGGGGCTTCATTTGTGAGTCCCACAGGACCTTGCAAGCCATTCGACGCAAGTGCGGATGGATATTGTCGTGGGGAGGGATTTGCTGCAATCTTTATCAAAAAGATGTCGGAGGCTTTGGCAAGTGGTGACATTATCCTGGGAACAATCGCTTCTACAGCCGTCGAGCAGAACAGTAACTGCACACCGATCGTAGTGCCCGATGCGTGTTCTCTTGCAGGGTTGTTCACGCAGGTGACTAGACAGGCACACCTCCATCCTCGGGATATATCAGTTGTTGAAGCTCATGGAACCGGTACACAGGCTGGTGATCCTGCGGAATACGTCAGCATCAGAAAGACATTGGCCGGACCACGGCGCACTATTCCATTAGCCCTGGGGTCTGTTAAAGGCCTGATCGGACATACTGAAGGTGTGTCCGGCCTGGTTTCGTTGGTGAAGATCTTGTTAATGATAAACGAGGGCAAGATTCCTCCGCAGCCGAACTTCCACACACTGAATCGACATATTGAAGCATCTCCGGATGATCAGATGCATATCCCAATGACTCTCAAAGATTGGACAGGAGGCTTCCGTGCGGCACTAATCAATAACTACGGTGCATCGGGATCTAATGCATCTATGGTGATCACGGAAGCTCCTGGTGCGTCCGACCATCGGATGTCCTCTTCCACCCATGCCTCTAGCTTCCCTCTTCCAATCCGAATATGCGCTTCAGATGACGGCCGACTTAGTGATTGCACCCACCGGTTGCACCAATTCCTCCATCATCAAGTAATATCTGCGGCATCTGCTACAGACTTTGGAAACCTATCGTTTAACATCTGTCGTCAGTCCAATCCCACACTAGAGTCGCAGTTAGCCTTCTGCTGCTGCTCTCAGTCGGAGCTTGCTTCGAAGTTGTGCTCCATTATGAATGGTGATGTGACCAACACTTACAGGCTTATAAAGAGTTCTCGCCCCGTTGTATTGTGTTTTGGTGGCCAGGTCTCTACTTTTGTGGGCTTGGACCGCACCGTATATGATTCCATCTGGCTTCTTCGCCATCACTTGGGGCAATGTGATTCCCTAGCTCAGTCATCTGGATGCGGTAGCCTTTTCCCTTCCATCTTTGAGCAGAACCCCATTACCGATCATGTACAGTTACACATCCAACTCTTTTCCTTACAATACTCCTGCGCGCGGTGCTGGATGGATTCGGGGCTATCTGTTGCAGCTGTTGTTGGACATAGCTTTGGCGAATTGACCGCACTATGCATATGTGGCGCTTTATCACTTCGCGACGCAATTACCCTGATCGCTCGCCGCGCAGCTATCATTCGTGATGGCTGGGGCCCTGACCATGGCTCTATGATTGTAGTGGAAGGAAATAAGGACGACGTCCTACTTCTCATAGATGATGCCTATCGAAGGGGCCCTAAACATATTGGTCCGGCAACGATTGCTTGCTTCAATGGTCCCAGCAACTTTACACTAGCTGGAGCTACGGCTGCAATTGATGCCGTTCAAGCAACCCTTAAAGCCCCTTCGTATGCTAGCCTTAAGGCTAAAAGATTATGTGTTACAAATGCCTTCCATTCGGGCCTCGTTGAACCTTTGTTGCCAGCCGTCAAGGGTGTTATGAGTGGGATAAACCCTCAACAGCCAATCATTCTGTGCGAGAGGGCAACACGGAGCTCGTGCACGGCTACAATCTCGTCCAGCACGGTTGCAGAACATCTCCGTGAGCCAGTCTACTTCCACCACGCAGTACAACGATTGGAGGAGAGATATGGCCCATGCGTATGGGTAGAGGCTGGCTCCAATTCCACGATCACGGTCATGGTCAGCCGGGCTCTTTCCTCGTCATCGGGACACCACTTTCAAGCTGTGAACATCACATCTGGCCGCGGCATGCAAAGCCTAAGCGATTCAACGGTCAGTCTCTGGAAGGCAAGCGTATCAGTAACCTTCTGGGCGCACCATCCCCGGCAGTCGCGTGACTACGCCCCTATACTTCTACCGCCATATCAATTTGAGAAAAGTCGGCATTGGCTTTCAAACAAAAGCCTGCCTGGTCCTTCCCACGAGGTGGGTACCAGACCGGCAATTGACGCGTCTGCTTTACGATTTGTCGGATACCAAGATAGCCAGCAACTAGTTGCCAGATTTAATATCGACATTGCTCATCCGCAGTACCAAGAGTTGATCGCGGGGCATGTTGTTTCACACACTGCGCCAGTTGCGCCTGCGTCTTTAATGCTGGATTACGTGGTTGAAGCATTGCGCAGGTTGCCAGAATGTAAAGGGAGAATTCCCCAGGTTCAGAATGTGACGAGCGATGCACCTCTGTGTCTGGACATGTCCAGAGATCTATGGATTGAGTTACATGCGCAGGACACCCATAAGCATATATGGGATTTAAGGTACCTGAGTGAACAACGACAAAAGGGGCCACGGTCACAAGTCCTCCACTGTTCTGCCAGATTCAATATGTTTGACCCGCATGATGCACAGATATGCAGCGAATTCGCTAGATACAGTCGCCTGGTGAGCCATCACCATTGCACGGAGCTTTTGAATGATCCGAATATAAGTGAGATAATTCAAGGGCGGAATGTCTACCGGACGTTTGCTGAGATTGTAGACTATTCTGAGCCATATCGTGGAGTGCAAAAGCTCGTTGGAAGTGATAATGAGTCAGCAGGTAGAGTAGTAAAGAGGTACACCGGACAGACATGGGCGGATACATGTCTGTGTGACTCGTTTAGCCAGGTTGGTGGCTTTTGGGTCAATTGCATGACGGATCGGTCACCCTCCGATATGTACCTGGCCAGTGGCATGGAGAGATGGATGCGCTCGCCAATATATGCTGACCCTGCTACCCCTCGACCGGACACATGGGATATATTAGCAAGACACGAGCAAAAAGATGACTATTATACTAGTGATATCTTCGTGTTTGATCCGACAACGGGACAGCTTATCGAGATCTTTCTAGGGATGAAATATACGAAAGTGAAGAAGGCAACATTTTCCAAGATTATCGGCGAATTTATGCCACGATGTGCGACACGTTCATCTGATGGTGGAAAGCCTCAGCTTGCAGTGTCGCACCCAGCTGTACCGGCCCCAGGAGATGCTGGAGCCAAGTCCAAGCTTAGCCAGCAGAGTTCGAGGATTAACCTTACAGCCCGGGTCAAGGCAGTTGTAGCTAATTTCTGTGCCATGGACCCTAACGAGATCACGGAGGACGGTAACATGGCAGACGCCGGAGTGGACTCGCTCATGGCGATGGAACTCGCTCGTGAGATGGAGGAGGCCTTTCAGTGTACGTTACCTGCCGCAAATTTGATGGAGGCAGATACATTCCGAGACTTGGTCGATTGCGTCAAGGCTGCCGTGGGAGAGTGTGACAATGACGAACAGGATAATTCCAACTGGAGTCTAGAGGATACAAGCTCCAAAGACAGTAGTCCTGATAGGGACTTCAACACTCCTAACACGGAGCCAGGCACCAGTGTTGCATCGGATACTCCAGATCTAGAGCTACCCTTGCGAAGTGTATTAGAGGCATTTGGAGAGACCAAGGCGCTCACCGACCGTTTCCTTGAGGAGAATAAGTGCAGCGGCCGTATACAGATATTTGCGCCGCTGCAGATTGAGCTGTGTATTACGTTAACATTAGAAGCATTTGAGCAACTTGGTTGTCACATCCGCACTGCATCGCGTGGCCAGTGCCTCGACCGAATACCGTTCGACCCGCAGCATCAAGAACTAGTCGACTACCTTTACAAGAGACTTGAAGAAGCAGAACTTGTTCACCTAGACGGCAACACTGTCATCCGCACAGCCATACCAGCCCCCAACAAATCTAGCCTTTCTATTCTGGAAGAAATCAAGTGCTCGTATCCCGAGTATGCTGGCGCCAGCAAATTAGCTCATTTCACGGGCAGTAAGCTGGCTTCTGTGTTGTGCGGTGAACAAGACGGCCTTCAGTTGATCTTTGGCACCAAGGAGGGTCAGGAACTAGTATCATGGATGTATGGTGACGAGCCCCACAATATTGTGGGATATCTGCAAATGATAGACTTCATAAAACGGCTGATAAAGAAAGTTCCAGTAGCAGGAGCAGAGGTGGGACCTCTCAGAATTCTAGAGATGGGAGCAGGTACGGGAGGTGGTACGAAATGGTTTCTTCCCGTTTTAGCAAAGCTTGACATTTCGGTCGAGTACACTTTCACCGACATCTCAACAGCCTTTATTGCACAAGCCAGACGACGCTTCAAGGAGCATTCATTTGTGCGATATCGTGTTCATGATATTGAGAAGCCCCCTGCCGATGACCTCATCGGCACGCAGCATATCATCATAGCCAGCAACGCTGTTCACGCTACATCCAACCTGCAGGAGTCCACGCGAAACATGCGGGCGGCTTTACGGCCAGACGGAGTCGTTCTGATGTTGGAGATGACGCGACCAGCCTTCGCAATTGATATTGTCTTTGGGCTCTTCCGCGGTTGGTGGGTGTTCAATGACGGTCGCAACCATGCCATTACCAACGAACAGCGCTGGGAGGCCGATATGCACACGGTAGGCTACGGGCATGTGGATTGGACAGATGGCCATTCACCAGAGGTAAGCGTGCAGAGGGTCATCTTCGCCACAGCAACTGGGACGCAAAGTCAACGCTTGCCGCTCGGCAGCCCTATAGAGAGGGTGCACCCAGAAAGCCAGGCTGATAACAACGCACGAAACAAAGTAATTACCGAGTATATCCGACGGAGTATTGAGGATTTCACTCCGCCCACAGCTTCACGCAGCGGCTTTGAGTCAGATGGGCAGGTGGTACTATTGACTGGTGCAACCGGTAGCCTGGGTTGCCATATTATGGCACATCTTGCCCGACAACAGTCTGTAAGCACAATATTCTGTCTGAACCGAACTAAAGGCAATGACGAGCCATTACAAAGACAGACATCCGAACTGAAAAAGCGGGGGATCTGCTTAGCCGCTCATGAACTGAGTAAGGTCAAAGTACTGGGGGCAACCACCTATCACAGCAACTTAGGACTTTCGTCAGAGCAATATGACACTCTCAAGACTACTGTGACCCATATTATCCACAATGCTTGGCCAATGAATGGGGCCTCAGACGTATCAGGCTTTGAGAGGCAATTCCAAGTGATGCGTCACCTAGTTGATCTCGCGAACGACATTGCATGCCATTGTCGAAAGGACTCGGGAGTTAGGTTTCAGTTTGTTTCCTCTATTGCGACTGTTGGACATTACCCCTCTATCACCAGTCAGAGTAATGTCCCAGAACAATCAACAAACATCGAGTTTGTATTACCCAATGGATACAGTGAGGCAAAGTTTATCTGCGAGCGGATTCTTGAAGAGACTCTTCAGCGATATCCCAATCGCTTCCAAGCTATGATAGTCCGCCCAGGCCAGATTGTTGGGTGTTCCAGCAGTGGGTGCTGGAAAATAGCAGAGCACTTCCCAGCCATAGTCAAGTCGGCACAGACACTCAAGCTACTTCCAGACCTGCAAGGAGCACTCTCATGGACACCTGTGAACGAGATCGCCGCCAGTCTGGTGGAGCTTCTGGTCACCGAAAATACACCCTTCCCGGTGTATCACTTGGATAACCCCGTTCGCCAACGGTGGCATAATATGATAGCCCTTTTGGCCAGTGAGCTTGGTATTCCCACTAGTAGCATTGTCCCGTTCTCTGAATGGATCCAACGAGTCCGCACGTATCCGGGATCAGCAGAAGATAATCCAGCACGTCTGATGGCCGACTGGTTAGAAGAAAACTTCGAACGTATGTCATGTGGCGGGGTTTTGTTGGAAACGACAAGAGCGAAGGAGCATTCCTCGACTCTGGCGAGGGTCGGGCCAGTCAGTGACGAGACCGCTCGGCGGTATTTGCATAATTGGAAGCAGTGCGGATTCCTGCACTAGATGCTGGATATCCAATGGAAGTTAACTTATTCTCACTAATGGATTGTTATTTCACCTCAATTTAGTTGAGTCAAAGAATATCCATCATCCACCAGGAATTTGTGGATTAATTCGAGTACGCACGGCGTTAGTGATTGTTTTGTTCCAAGGTTGGCCCTTAATTTCTCGCGCTAGGCTAATTACCGGAAGGCGCTGTCGGCACTGACCGCTGTGAAGAAGCCTGGACGCCTGGGCTCTGCCAAATACTATCTAGCTCTCCACAAGCAATATTTACGTTACATCTCACGAAGCTCGCACAGAGTCGTAAAAATGCCACCACCTCACAAGTTCCCTACTTCAACCCGTTTTTAACATGAGCTGAAACGAACAATGGTGTTCCACTTGTCGTCATGGAAATCTTGACCAGAGAAGGTCTGACCTCCATGAAGACAAGTGTTTTTAATCAGCTGCGCGCCGTCGGCAATGTTGTTGAAGCTGGGCAGGACTTTCGTGAAGGTATTCTTTAATCCAGATCAATATGCGTTACTACAAACGAGCACGTAATCTCAAGGTACTTACATCATTGCACCACCAAATAGCTGATGACCAGGAACAACTGACCTGACCACAGCTGCCAGGGCCGGGTCCTCTTTGAGGCTGGCCAGGAACACTTCTCAAGTACTTGATGCCTTGGTCAATATTGTTGGCATAGGCACTGGGAAATTTGCCGCAAACAACATCGCCACGCTTGGCCAAGTGCGATGAAGCGCCTGCTTCCTCAGCAGACTCCTTGGCGGGCTCGTCAATCTCGGGAACAACGGTGGCGAACTCGGCCTCATAGTTAGGATTGATATCGCGCAGTTGAGATAAGACCTTCTCGACTGTGCCATTCAGAATGACAGTTGGGCCTCCGGGAGTCGTCTCGACTTCCCATGAGATATCCTCAACGGTATATCCCTCGATGGGGGACTCGTTGGCTTGAACCTGATGTAGGGTTAGACAAAACTGAGCAAGCACAAGGTGAACGGGATAGGGTTCAGACATACCTGAGCCATTAGGCCAGCAGCGAACAAGCAAAGGACGTTAAAGGGTTTCATGATTGGGATGTTTATTGTCTCGGTAGAACCAATATCGTGAGCATAAGCAAATCTACCCTCTGGATATTATTACGGCTTTATAGCAAAGGCCTGCGGCTCTGCACACAGGTAATTAACAGCAGAGTTACATTGTCGCAGCGACTAGTTATGCACTAATCCACTAGTAAGTTCCTAGCAAGGTCTATGGGAGATGAAGATGGAGGTAACATGGGAAACAGATGCAAGACCAAGACATAGCCAGGGTCGGGACTTTGGTAGGTGGGTCACTAGCTCTACTAGAGAAATATCAAGGCTGAAAGAACAGTAATCTGGCCCTCAAATGTTTGTTTAATGAATTTTCTCTCAGTTCAACTAGTATTGACTCAGCTCCTACTTACTCGCCTCTCAATGGTCTTGCATTTCCTTTTAAATCATTCCACACCATTTCATAGACCCCCAACCACAGGATTCAGAAGTACCAGGAGTGATACAGGGTCCAGGAGGGTCTAGTCCCCAAGGTGAACTTGGTTCCTCACTCGCCATATTAGAATCGCTTGATAGAGCGCCACGAGATCGGTGCGGGTCATGGAGTACTCCGTGCATATTTCCATTTTCAGACAGCAACGGGGCATCTGTATCGGCCTTTTTAACTTTCTGTCCATTGAGAGCGAACTAAACAGCGACGTTCTCCGGCGTATATTGATATTTCTCGTGTGGAAGTGCTTGTGTCGACTTTAAGCGAGACTAGCTGGGTATCTCAGACCCACCATCGCCTCCCCAATCCCCACATATTGTCTTACTGTGTTGGGGGCGGAATCTAAGTCTCAGATCCAAGAGATGAGCAGATAGGGACGTTGCTCTTTCTTTTCAGGTCAGTCATCGATAAAACACTGTCATACCTTCAAGCCATATCTGACACAATGGCAGTGTTTGAAGAAGAGATTTGCTCTTGGTACTTTTGGTACGGCTTGGGAATCTACCAACATCAAGCACATTTTCAATCAACGATAGGGATATGCCAATAGAGCTAGGGAGTTTCCTGCAGCTTAATTCGGTTGAATGCTTCGTCTGTGTAGGAGACAAGCCGCCAGCAAAGCCTGCTTGACTACGGAGTTTGCTCTATCACCACGTAAGCAGGCTACCCAGGAACTTCTTATCATACAACGAAGAGCAGTAAGCTATTTTTTAGTTAGTCATCCGGGGCTGTGGGGACTTACACGCATGGCGATACAGTAGAGCACATGCGGCAGTGATGCTTTCTGAAGCATTACTATATTAGTTGCGGCATTGCTTGTAGCTCAGCATATGGGGAGCTTAAATCTCTCTGACTTTGCTGGACTTGGGTTGTCACTGCAAATGAGAATACCATACATTGCTGGGTCTTCCCTAGAGTTTACCAGACCACATTGTGACAATGAATAGTCAAATTGCCGAACAGGACTTGAGACAAATAGCACAAGGCCTATGATATATTATAAGAGCTAGTCGCATTAACCTTATCAGCTCCTTTAGTTCCCCTTCGACGTGACAATATCTCATAATAATCATGAAAAAGGACTCTCTGGGACTTACCCAATTCCTTTCGAACATACGCTTCTGTTAGTTGTCATTGACGCAATGTCTATCGACTGCATGAGCATTAAGTATGTGCTCAACACTGTTGAGCCAGATACTAGTATCTATGACGGGGGCCAAGCGCTATTTGAGAGCTCAATTGACCAATGCTACGAGGCAGACAGTGTTCCGCCGACTTATCAGCCATTACCCGAGCGGCCTTCCACTACACATCAGCATGTTTGTCACTAACTTGAACTGTTAGCGCCGCCCTCAAGCTAACTGAGCAGCTGGCTATAGGCCCCAAAGCAACACTGTCACCTATTAAGGGGCCATACTTTGGCGCTAGGATTCAAAATAGTTGTTGTCCATGGGAGAAAACCTCACTGTTGTGTCCGAGGTCCTAGTACCGAGTGCGGGGTTCTTGTATTATGATTTAGGCGCCACAAAGTGCATGGGCCTCTTAGCCCGGATCGAGTGAAAGTTTATATATATTTAGCACCAGCTTTCATGTATGGTCTGTTGGTCTTTTCAGACACGGATCTTTTCTCATGCCAGTCAGATGAGGGGCAAGAAGTGGTAATACAAGGCAACCAAAAGAGGCAGCTCATAGGATAGGAGTATCAACAATGTATCATTTGGTATCATATCCTGCTCCTAACTCTAGTAGTGCAGGCGCACGGTGCAGTGGTGTTTCATCCTACCATCCACGCGCCACAGGGTAGAATACCCAGCGCTGGTCTGTGATGATATACGTACTAACGTAGCGAATCACGCATAAACCAGGATTTCCTCTGCAGATGTCATATCCTACGGGATATCTGTGAAAGGCACGTTGACACGAGTTAGGCGGTCTTGGTACGGGCAGAGCGGCCTCAGAGGGTGATTGATTTGATGCGGAGGGTATAGGATCGGGATATGGGAGTATACGTGGATAAGAGCAATATACTCAATCTTACATGGAAGGATGATCTTAATAGGAAGGTCTATTGGGGGCCGCTGGAGGTTGAAGGGAAGTATAATTTCCCGGTAGTGTGTTCATTTAGGTGTGAGTTGGGATTGACATTGACCAGTGGGAGCATGAATATCAAACTCATTTTCTTCTATGGTGTTATCAGCACTGTGCTCAACATAGTCCAGCAACTGACCATTAAGCGCCCAAACGGACAACGTTTATTTTAGTCTGGCTTTTAATATTACTACTTCTCTTGTCTGTGAGGCCGACAGGCTGCCTTCGAGATATGTTGAAACTCGAATAGTTTCGGGTTACTGATTTCCTCTCACTGATTTCCTCTCCTTGGCCATTGTCCCTAAATTAATCTCCCCAGGGGTGCCTCATCCTGTTGGCTGTTTGTCCATCATCCATAGAGAACAACGGTATTGAATTTCTCGGTTGGGTGGGGATAAAGAGTAAAGTTTATTGTCGTTTGTCCTATCCAAACGAAAATGCGTGGAGAACTTCAGAATACACAGCCTCACGTTTGATATCTCACCTAGGACTTTGGTACAAGCCAGCGCCTAGCTATTGAACAATGAGACACCCTAAGAGGAAAGTGAGAATAGCGGCTTTGAGGACCTATAGTTGAAAATCTGAAACTCTAGGCCATGTTTAATGGGCGCGAGGCCTGACCACGCACGGCTGGTAGGCGCCAATAAGGCCCTAGCACTTCTTGATATGCTGGTGAAGTAGCTCTGCTATTGTTATCCATCTGACCGATCCGTAGTAGTTTATACATAGAGCTATGATGGATTAAAGTTGCCGCCGATGCCTACATTCATGCTCATATCACCAACAATAACCAAGAAAGCTTGGTAGCCAATGAACGCATTTGACATCGATTTTTGGCTAGGCACCAGCTCCTGCCATGGTCGATCAGTATTACTTTTATGAGTGAAGTGATTTAAGGGATGTAGCATGGCGTTTACATCTGGGAATAGGCAAAAGCTTGGAGCCGTGGGAAATTATGAGAGAGGAAAGTATTTATGTCCGCTCTGACCTCACAGCACACTTGTCTTTTAATCCCAAATATAACTTTTTTGTTTCCTTTCACTGCTACGAAAAACAAGTCAATAATGGCTGAAACACTAGGCTTAGCTTTAGCATTGATCACCTTTACCGCTCAAAGCACCAAGGCGCTCTATGAGACACTGCAGAGCTTCCGCTCCCACTCCAAACGCGTCCAACGCCTGCTAGAGGAGTTAGAGGACTTAAGCCGTGTGCTAGGCCCTCTCTCCGAGATTGTGCACGGGAAGGTAGCGGTCGACCTTTCAGCACTAGAGATACCTTTACAACGATGCGGTAATGCTTGCAAAGACTTTCAGCAGATACTCCTACAATGCTCTTCGCAATCGGGTAGTGACCGTACTAGCTTTCGTGGCTGGGCAAAGCTGACCTATATGGGTGATGATATTGATGGTTTCAGACAGCTCCTGTCAAGCTACAAGTTAACCATGAACATTGCTCTTACGGATGTGACTCTGTGAGTTTTAGTAGGAGAATCTACTCTCACACCTTTTTTTTTTTTCTTTTTCTTTTTTTCCTTGACTTCTCGCTAACAATCTGCTCAGCCGCAGATCGACTGTAACGGCAGAACGCCTTGAAGCTTTCAGGAAGCTCATCGAAGAGGCTAAAGACGGCCTTGAAGTTCGCCTGGAAAGGATTGATGGAAAGCTCGAGCAGATCTTTGAGCGAAGCGTATCTGTCCCTGGTCCGGATGCATCTGAAATGGAGTTGATCAAGGAGGAACGCTTCAGCACCGAAAGGTGCATCCAGATTTGCTCCAAGCTATCTGACCATATAGACCAGATCCAGCCAACTATCAAATCCAGTGAATGCCCGTCAAAGTTAGTAAATACAGGCGTCTTATGCGAAAGGATTACCGATGAGCGCTTGCTGTCATGTCGAAATGGATTAGCTGAAACGACCAAAACGCTAGAAAAACGGCGGCAGTATCTAATACGGCAATTGATTGCCAAATGCAAATCCGCTGTGGATTCCGAGGAGGAGGAGTTAGAGCTGACGAGACTGCAAGATGAATGGGAGGCAGCTCGCCAGTGTATGGGTATCTGGTCTCGAGCAGACCACAACCTGAAGGAAAACATCAGCGTCATTGAAAACCACGCAACTGGTGGAGATGCCTGGCAGTATATGCTATCAACCACCGGACAGATCCTGCATGGGAGAAACGAAGGACATGGAGGACAGATCAGACAGATGGGTGGCCATATGAGTGAAGAGGCCGTCATGCAGCTGTCTCGGGATTGGGTACGCATGGCAGACATGAATGAGCGTCTTACTAAGAACGCTGATGCGATTCAGCAAAGCGACGCAACATCAGTCGAGTTAAAGCCCACACTAAGCTGAACAATGATCGTCATGGCTGAGGCATCGAGCTCGCATCTGAACCTTAACCAGAGATGGGATGGCCACATCCTCTACCGTACAGGCTAGACGAGGTATCTTTAGAGAAACACCATAACGATGTTTTGCGTTACGCCTTATTTTTATTCATTTTTGTTGAATTCATATTTATTTCTCTGCTCAGAATGTATTGCTATGTCTATTGTAGACAGGGCTAGAATCAATCATGGTAGAAGGGCAACAGTCGTGGCATTGGCTTCATGTTGCTCATTCGTGGTTGGGGAGGGCCGTAAGGAAGTTTCAGGGATTGGAAACTTGAAATTTAGCAAGAAGCCAGCACTCACTCATATTATTAGATAATCCTACATATAATCATGGTTCATATTCAAATTCTTAATAGAATAGCAAAGCAGAGTTGCATGTGGGTCGGGTTTTCCCCATGGGAATAGGCACCCGCCCAGGACCTTAGGTGGACTTTTAAAGTTCTATATCTGTACTAATCTTAAATTGATAGCTCTGTAATATAGATCTATAAAGGATTATAGAGGAATCAGGAAAATTCTAGACCTTTGGTTGCATGGCCTTTCCGGGTTATTCTTGCCCTCGAATTGGCTACGGGTCAGGTGTTGTGGGCAACCCGATCAAATCTATAGATATTCCAATTATCGTTAGCAAGAGGCTCACTACCCAGATCCATTGAAAGGGAGATCCTTGAATGCTCAAGCACCAAGTAGGCGTAGTGGCGTCTATCGGTTTCTCACGCTTATTAGCCTGAAAAGTCACTAAATAATTTCTCCTTTGCCAAAATGCCCCTGGATAGGAGAGCCCGGTTCATACCATTTGACAAAAATATAGGGTCGCTTGGACTGTTATTATTAACCGTGGACGAGCTATGGCTTGGACCTGATTCTTCATTACAGATCAACTTAGTGCTAATAGAAGCAAAGTCCTTCGATATTTGTTGACCAGTGGCATCGCTAAAATGACCACCAGCTTGTCTTGTTCTCCACCCTAAGCCCCGATTGCTTCCATTAAAGGCTCTTTGATTAGTTGAAAACATCAACTGTACGGCATCACCTGTGGAGTAGTTACTAATGGTGCTACCATTCGCGCTCCACTGTGAGTCAGGGTGGTGAGTCGCATCGTGTAACCCATGTGTGCCACTGTCATCTTTTCGTTTGGACTTGATTTCATCAATACGGTCGGCCAATTGGGTACATATCAGAATGCATTTCTCAACGCTCAGCTGCCATTCCTTGAGCTGTTGGAGCTCCGGCGTGGTTGGATCTAGTATCTTCTCCAGCCTTTCATTCAGCGTTTCCAGATACATCTCAACGTCAACTTTGGCGCTCTGGATTAGGTCTTCGTGGGCTTTTAAGGTTTCAGTAGTAACGAAGGGTTGGCTGCGACTAGCCAAACTCAGTCAGAAAATTACCAGTCATTTAAGCGGGTCACAATTATGATGACACTTACAAGCAGGCGTCGGTGAGGGTAATTTTGACAGTTACTATATATACAGACAGCAACTCCCTGAATTCGTTTACACTATAGCCCATACATCTTAATTTAGCCCAGTCGCGAGGGCTCATCACTCCATTATTAGGATACGATAGACGATTTTCAAGTTCCTGCTCGAACTTCTCACAGGCCAGGCCACAAAGTGATAAAAGTGAATCGAGTCTGGACAAGTCAATACAACCAGAAGTACCGATCATTTCGCTGAGACGAAGTAAAACTTCAGTTAATTCCTGAAGTTCCTTTATCAGGTTGACAGCACTGGATGGTAGTGACTTGATGTTGCGAACAGCGCTGAGTAACGACATACTTGCACTCAACGCGGAACCAGAGAGATTCGACGGCTCAGTGCATAGATCTCTGGGCGGTACCATGGCGGTGTTGACTGTTCGATGGATAGGAGTTTTTATTATGTGTCGGTGGACTTGCTTACCCTTTGAAGGCGATCCAAGCTGATTACCTGGGGGTAAATCACTGATGGTGTTGTGCACGTGATCTAGCATCACGTGGATGGACCGGGCCAATCTAATCTACAGTGGGAGGTAATAAGTGAGGTTGCAGATCAGCTGTGTCCTTTTTTAGTAGGCCCGTTTGAATGCCAAGGTGGGCATTAAGTAGTCATGTGACCGTGGTTTCACGGCACCTGGCGCGTACCATCAATGGTATTAATTACAATCCTTCCAACCCTTTCGGAATGAAAACTAAGCAATTTTCTAACTGGTTTCTAAATAGCTTTTAAATAGTTATAAATCAATATATCAATTAACTCAAGTAATAAATTTATAGATTAATACGTTAGTAGAAATAGTATCTAGGATCTAAATAGAACTAAATACTATAAGATACCCTAGAGTAAAAGATTTAGAACGAGACTAGTATATAACTACTAGTAGCCCTAGTATCAGATCTGGCTTAAAAAGGTAATTCATGGCCTCAGGAACTACTACACCTATTGAGAAAGGATGTGGATGCTTCAAGCTTCCCCTTCCGCCTCCAGTTGCTCGGAACAGATTCAATAGAACCGCATCCTATCACCCTCCACTTGATCACATCACTCAAGTATCCGAACAAAATGAAACCAGTCCTCCTTGTGCTACTCAGTTTCATTTGTCTTGCTTTTGCCACTCAGCCCTCTCCGTGCGTCAAGATCCACATGATCGTTGCCCGACAGAGTAGCGCCTGGCCAGGGGAAGGTCGTTTGAAAGAGCTAGCTGATTATATCAAACAAAAACTCCCAGGTTCTGACTCTGAAGCGCTCCAGTATCCGGCATATGGCGATATCTGGCGATATCGTTCGTCGGTGTTCGCTGGGGACAAGGCTATGGTCACTGCTATCACTAACTATACGTCACATTGTCCGGATTCAAAGATTGTGCTTCTAGGATACTCCCAGGCTAGTTGTTCATTTGGGCCATTTCGTTTTCTTCGCTAACAGCAGTCAGGGTGCTCATATCATCGGTGACATTCTTTGCGGCTCCATATTCGAGAGGGATTTTCAACCTATCCCTCCAATTGACGATCACCTGGGTGCAAGGAGTAGGCGAGCGTCAGTCTCATAACAAAGTTAGCTATTTACTGGTCTACAGTTATCGCAGCGGTTTCAATGGGGGATCCTACATTTGTCCCAAGTCTTCCGTATGACTTTGGCACAAGCAAGAACACCGGGGTTCGACTTTCCTCTCCGAACTAGAGCTACAACTAATATGTAGAGCCAGAAGTTCCCGCGCGTGAACAACACAGTGTGCACCAAATACGACTTCATTCGGCGGTCGTATTGCGATGAGGGCGACATATACTGCGCGTCGGGGTTTTGGTTCGGGGTTCATAGAAGATATGTGGTGAAATACAAGGACGACGCGACACGTTTTGTGCTTGCGAGAGTTGATGCAACAATGTGACAGTGGTCACATGATGATTTTATTATGGGGTTAAGAAGTGGTGAGAATGCTGAGTGGAGGGCAGACATTACCGACGCCAATACAGCTATCCGTTGTGGAGGATTGGCGCTGCTCATCTACATAGCTAGAGATAATTATGCAGCTGTGCTCTTGATCAGACCTACTAGCATCAACTAAGTTCTGGACTTTAAGAGAATCTTCTCAATATTCTATGCATTCCTCCAAGAGTATGTCCTGGATGATCGCGCCGGTACACGTGTTTCATTATGGAGGGCACCAAGAAATGTGATACATCACATGCAGCACTGTATGCCCAAGGCATCCATCTGCCAACCCCACCATTTACCAGGCCCAACTCATTTTGTATGTACTTCACTTCCTAGACTTAATTCCAAAGCCGGTGGTATCGTGACAATGTCCCTTCATACATCTAATCTCTTCTCTGTCCAAGGCATCATCGCCGTCATTACAGGCGGTGGAACAGGTAGGTAGTTGTATCCCTACGTCTCAGTATGATATACTAACAGATATAGGCCTAGGACGGACCATTGCCCTTGCTCTAGATGCCAACAACGCCGCCAAAGTTTTTATCCTCGGGCGTCGTGAGCAACCACTCCATGAAACAGCCGCCCAAGCGACGAACCATTCCATCATTCCCATTGTCACAGACATCACCTCGCAAGAATCTCTAGAAAATGCATACCGCACCGTAGCGGCCCAGACTTCGCACATCGACCTTCTATTTGCGAATAGCGGCACCAACGGTCCATCGGCCCTTTTACCGCCAAAACCAGACGGGTCCCCTCCAACCCTGACTGAATTTCGTGACCATCACTGGGGTCATCGAATGATCGACTTCTCCGAGACTCTGGACGTCAACGTTACCGGCACACACTACACCATTTTGGCTTTTCTGCCGCTGCTAGGCGAGGCAAACAAACGCCGCCCACAACAAGATTCGAATGAGCTTGCGCTACCGCATCCGCAAGTGATTGTGACCAGTTCCATGTCGGCAATAGTAAATCGTCCATCGAGTCTAGCATATTCATTCTCGAAGGCCGCTCTCCTGCATTTAGTGAAGGTGTTTGCGGCCCAGCTCGCGCCATACCGGATCCGTGTCAATGGTGTGGCCCCAGGCTTGTTCTATAGTGACCTCTCGAAACATCTATTTGAGAGAAATGGAGTGTCGGGGCGTGGAATCTCAGACGAGTCTTTTACGTCTGATTTCATTCCTATCACTCGGGCAGGCAGCGATGAGGATATTGCCGGTACGATACTGTGGATGACGAGTCGGTCAGGGGGATACCTGAATGGGGAGACAATCTTGCTTGATGGAGGCCGAGCGGCGGTTGTCAGATAGGCTTGTCGGCCATTATATGGTTTGTCTGTCGTCTGACTAGTAAGCTTATGCCACGATATATATTATAGTCAGTCATAGAGTGCTCGCAATGACTACGTGAGCCCTAAAGATTGACTAGTGGGGTGTGGGCAAAGAGAGAGCATCTATACATTTCCATTTCTCAGCATGGAAGAGTCATATTATCCTCACAAGACCAACAGCCATTTACCCTGTCTGGCCCATAGATCATCAAATGCATTTATTATGCCTAGTTGTGCATAACTCTGTCTGACTCAGCATATTCCACCAATGAGAAGCCACTACAATCCCCAGATCGACATCATGAATCATGACGTTTCTTATCTTATCAACGCCAATCACTTCCGCTGGCACCCAACTTTCTCCTTTTCATCATCCATACAGCAACAGACAACAACCACTGCAAACTCTATGAAAGAGGGTCAATGACAACCAAAATGCAACAATGTCCAACCACCAATCCATCAAGCGCAAACCCGTCGCCTTGCCTCCGCAAGAAACGGGCATTATCCTAACCACCGCACCACGCCCGCAAACCTCCAGCGGAAGGACATCAAACACAACAACACCAACAGTGAGACCAACCACCAGCCATGGAAGACCCCCCGAACCATATGGACCACCACCGCCCTACTACCAAGGTCCCAATGTCGCACCTCCAGTACCAAAATCATCAATCAATCTCCGACCACCCCTCCAAACAAGCCTTTCAACCCCACCCCTCCGCAACACAAAAGCACCCCCAACCTGCGCAATCCGCCATCCGCCCTCGCCCGCTCCGCCACCTCCCTCCCTCCCCCGGGCCCAAACGCCATCCAAAAGCCTACGGCGAAGTCTCTCACTTCCTAGGCGGTCTAATCGCGCACCCGACCGAATCAACCCGCCACTACACAATCCTCCGACACTCCCATGGCATAGTCTTCTACCGCGGGAGCACGACCTCCATCGCCATATCCATTTTCTCAGATACACCTCTCCCCGCAGACAGAACATACTTCCTCCAAAGCCGCGGCTGGACCGGGAAAACAGGCATGAAAGCCAAGGCTCTCTTCCGGCTAACAGATGACTGGCTAGACGTGACGCCGTCATTCGCACTTCGCGCAAACCAAGTGTCTCCGGGCGATGAGCGCGCCTGGCAAAGAGACATTAACAAATTCCGCAAAAAGGCGCCGTCAAAGCTACTAAGCCACAAACTCCGCGAGACCATCGTCGCAAGAATCCCCGCCGAGGCAGGCGACGGCTACTTCCAACTGAACCTCTGTCAATCCGCGAAGAAAAAGGTCCTCTGTTCGAGTCCCGTCTTCAGGTCCTCAGTACCTCGCTAGACCCCAGCTCACTGCGCGGCGCAAGTCTATCAACCATGCCCCTTGAGGTCGGCGCAATGGTCCTAAGTACATACGCGCAAACAGCGGCGCAAGCGATACTAAACCCAGTTACATCGGCCGTCTCAAATAGATTGTCACCCTATAAACCAGGCACAATCACACAAACGGCAGCAGAAACCGCATACTCTCTAAGCGGGGCGGAAGATCGCGTCGCGCGCATGAGAAACCACAGAGGCAACGATGATTCAGCCCCCGCCGATGAGACGGAAAGTCGAGCCAGACAAATCCAAGAATACCAAAAGGCCGCGGCGCTGGAAAACGGCCCGCAGTCCCCCTTCCCGATGGACTTTAAAGCGCGCACTCAGCCCGAAACTCAGGGACCATTCGGCGAAACCCCGCGGTACACACTTACCAAAGTCCCGGATACAGTACTGGACAAACTACGCGGGTATTTCCTCGCCTGGGCACGCTACGACTTCGACAGGAGACCGTCAAATACACCTCCTAAGTCACCTACTCAGTTTCCAAGTTCACCATACACTCCTTACAACCCCGACACAGCACATCTGACACCATCCAACCCACCGGACCTCCAAACCCAAAGTCAGAAAAGCCTCTGGTACCCAACAATCCTCTCCATCAGTCCCTTAAACCCATCATACCAGGGCAGGGTGAACCTAAACTCAGCGATGCAAAAAGTAACTCTCCTCCGGTTCATCGACGAAATCCACATCCCGACTTCAAGCAGGGTGCAAATCCGCGTCATGTGTTTTCTGCGGCCGGATATCCCCCTTCCGTCTCCGTCTGGGATGACGGAGAAAGATCTTGTTGTTGCGCGAGAGAGGGCAGCCGAGGCGGAGATTCTGGCAGATGCGTGTGACATTGACTGTGCGCAGGGGATACTCGAGCATCCGGCTTGGGCACCGGAAGTATTCGGTGCTTCTGAGCGGCAGGGAGGCTGGATCGATCGCACGAGAGAGGGCGTGGAGAATGCAAGGACGCGGGCGGAGAAGATGGTTGAAAAAGTGCCGCTCCATTGGCTTGGGGTTCGGTCGGCGACGGCGGAGATGCGGGATCGACAGGTGGAGGTTAATGGGTTTTATATTGTTCGATAGTCGATCTTTGTTGTTGTATATTCCTTTGTATTATATATGAACAATTGTATACTAGCCATCTATCTGTCTGGACAGTACTATGGACAGATAGTAAATAATAATAATAACGTACACCCAGGGCACTGTATTATCAAACCTCCATCCAACACCTCGGACATATTCACTAGGACTTGTCTTCCATTTTCTCAACATGGCCTTGACTTCATCGTTGAGCTCCAGCTCCGCTGGATCGAGACGCGAAACCAGATTTTGTGCTAACTGGATCCTCAACGTACCATACAACGAGGTATGTTCACTCACAGGCCCATTTCCCAGGAGCAAGGCACAGGACAATATTTCCGCATGCTGAGCAGTTTCCATTGCCTCTTCCAGGAGCTTGAATTCCGCCAGAAAGGCCGGTTCCTCCGCACACCTCTCCACGAGCAGCAGCACACGACGCACAAATTCTTTGTGCGGCTCCTCAACCAACGGGTTTACCTTTGGCGAGGGAAGGATGGTGACCTGCAATTCCAGCCACGACGGAAGTACCACGGGTTGGCGATCCATGCTATTCCGCCATTCCTCGGTCCGGAGGGATTCCACATCAGCTGCGATCTCTTCCAAGAGCTTCTGATAAAGCAGCTGGTGCTGGCTTTCGTATTCCGTTTCCCAATACCCACGAGACTTAACCAGAAGGGATTCTAATGCATCCATAATCACGTCCGTCGAGACAACGAATTTGCCCTGTTCCGAGGCGAATTTGATAGGATGTCTTGCAATGATGGCCGCACGCTCGACATACTCTGTTGCTAGACTCTCGATGGTGATTCCATCGGGGACCCTTGATTTTACAGGTTCACCGAGAAGGTTCTTTAAATGGCCCAACGGCTGCCAGGTGCGACAGGAGTCTATGTATTGGCTGCAGTGTTTTCCTGCGTTTGTCTGTCTATATCCGGGGTCCCGCTTCGCGATCGCTTGGGTGACTCTCTCTAGCTCCAGCTGATGGATGCAGGATAGTGCGTAGTCGCGGCGGCGGCGGAGGAAGGACGCTGGCAGATATTCTTGCCACTTACCCAGGATCTCGTCAATTATTTGGATGTGGAATGGCCCAAAGTCAACGGTCTTGAGTACACTCATGTCCGCGACGGTACGACTGAGGAAGACCTTCATCCATCGGTTGTGCTGACGGGCTGACTCGTCCACCAGCGGGAGCAGAACCTTCTGTACGTACTCTGCCATGTATTCCTTAGGAAGTCTATGGTACGCGGTCTTGACGAACAAGTCAAGGGCTGGACGCTCATCTGTCAACGAAACAATGGGAAGTTTACCGCCGTTCTCCGCATCTATCCATTCCGCTTCACTGGTCGGCTCTGCTTCTCTGGGCCCTACGACTTGGGAGGCGAAACCGGCGATAGCGCTGAAGATCACCTTTGTATCGAACGCTTTGTCAAAGAGACACAGGGCAGCAGATACTACCCGCGCCCGAACATCAATATGATGACTTTCGTTGAATAGGTTCTGCAGCACAGACACGTTCATCGTAGTTGGGAGAAATGCTGCTTCTGCGAGGATCTCGCCTAGCATTTTAACGGTGGTAATTTTGACGAAATGCTTTGGCTGATCTGCAGTTTCACTGTTGTCTGAAGTACTCTGATTGTACTGTTTTTTATTCTGTTCGAGGCCTTCCGTAACAAACTTCGCGAATTGTTCAATGAAGTCTTTGGCCCGGCCTGGTTGAAGTCTCCGGCCAAGGCCTATCAATCTCATGTGTCTATGATATGATGATGCGTCGGGAAGACTTTGTATCACTCGGTTTACAACATCAACAGCTAGTTCTGGTCGATCGGAAAGCCCTAAGAGGACAATAATATCAGTCACACCGGCCAGCACCGTCCCATAAGAGGTTGACTTTGGAGACAGGTCGTCGGCCGTATCCAGTAGAGATATTACCATATCTCGTAGCAACCTAGCCGGGACTGCCTTGATGACCTTTCTCAGCGCTTGTGTGGCTCTCTGCCTAGCAGTAGTGCTATCCTCTTTTGCGTACATCACGAAGCGGTCATCCAGTGAAACGCGTGGATATCTCATGGATGCGCCGTTGGGGAAAGCGCTGGAGACGAGTGGCCTTCGATCCTCATTGGTATGTAGGAAGAGTATAGAGGACAAAATCACTGCCTCCTGGCATTCTAAAAACGGCTTGTCAAGCTTGGTTGGAGACGTCCGATCCAGAGCCCAAATCGACAGTGGATCAACCACAGCTTCGTCCTGCGGGAATGGGACAGTCTCAGACGTGGGTATCTCCTCATACATGCGACAATACAGCAATGTGACAGGGATATCCGTTGGCTCTTCGTCCGCCTCTTCCTCACAACATTCATATCTAGGGTCCCACACAAACATACCATGAGATCTAGGGTCTTGGTCAAGAAAGCTAGTATTTGGTGTCCGAGTATATTGATCCTGATCAATGATTGCTGCTGCCTCAGGGGCCTCCATTGTTTCAGCCAAACCGCGAAGCCATTGTCGAAACATCTGTAGCTGCTCAAAATGCTGCTGGTTTCCAGCTGCAAAGTTCTCCAGCTCAGATTTATAGTATTGAAAAAGGCTTACAAGACTCGTTTTGTTTTTCTCTTCCCCTATACCAACGTAGGATTCAATAGCGTAGCGCAAACTGTCGACCCACTCATCACTGGGCATGACATCTAGTTCAGGTTTAGGCGTTAATGTATCATGGAAGGGGGCCTTCATAACATTTTCCAGTCTACTCCGGAGATAAGGTGCTGCGGTTGTATACTGTAACGCGTAGTGCGCCCATCGTGTGCCAGGAACAAGGTACTGGATCGGGAGCCCCTTCGGCCAGCCCCTCCCGAGGCGGCTGATAGCAGTGTCAGTTTTGGTGCGCGTTTCTTGCCACAGTCTGTCTCTTCTCTCTGCAAGGTTGTCTATAAACATAACAGCAGTTTCCGCCGGTTGGGCTGGACATTCCAAGTTTGCCAGTAGGCCTTTTAGCCTGTTCTTGTTGGTTATTGGTTCTTCGTCAGGCTGCACGATGCACTCGTATGCCAGGAATAATGGAATAAGAGGGTTCAGGAGCACATTTGCAACCTCTGACTGGCTACCAAGTGATTGATACTGTTTCAGCCCTCTTATTCGGCTTTCCACGATCTTCGATATAAAGTTGAGCAGCCGGTTTATTGACATTTTTTTAGCGCCTGGTTCTTGGCTTGCAAGGAGTACGAGCTCAAGGACATGATCTAATGACTTGTTTGCCCTTTCTACAATGTCACTGAGCTTCGATATAGATGTCGGTCTGCAGGCTGGGCTAATATCAACACATGAGATAAAGCTGGCGACCTCAGAGCCTAGTATTTTGTCCCTCATCAAATCCGGAAATACGAGCTACCTGGGTTAGCAGGGTTAAAGCAACGGCAGGCTTGACATACCGGATCACGCAAGAATCTCTGTGTCCACTGGACCACCGAAGTAAATATGTCTGCGGAAGACGTCGTGACAGCAGCGTCAACAGCTGCTGCCGCCCATTTTAATCGATGTTCATGATCTCTTCCTCGCCTGGCCTCTTCCTGCATCTCCCTGATAACTACTTACATTAGCCTAATTCACTAAGCATAGAACCTAACATACCCTTGTGAGAAAAGGGAAGGTCGTCAGTGTGTGCGGCTCGTGCTTCCCAGCCGATTTTCAAAAGGCACTGGTCGGTCCAGCTAAGAGTCTGCACTTCTGGCGGTGTGGGTATGAATTCCTCACAACCATGAATGACCAGCATTCTGCCAAACAAGCATTGTCCGTCTGTATCCGGTAGTACACGTAGAGTCTCAAAGTGCCATATGGGAACGAGCTTTTTTTCTCGCTCAGACGGAGGAGACATATCAATGTCAAACCTCAACTGCTCAGAATGTTGACAAACCAATCTAATAAATGCAAGTCTTTCTGAAGGCGCAATCTGTTCCAATAGCTTAGCCTCGAGAAGGGGACGATCATCCTTCAGATTCTCTCTTAGATCTGCCGTGGAGTTTATCAAACGCTTCAGTATTGACTCTAAAGCCATCTCGTCATCTCTGGTTGGCCGCGACCTATTATTGCTCCTTGTAAACCGTTTCACTGTCGATTCAGTAGCAGTACCAGTCGTCCCGCATCGAGCTATAGACCAGCAGCCAACAACCTCTTGAAACAGGGGCTCAGGCAGAGAGTCATCCAACAGGGTACGCATCAACCGCAACCAAAGCGGGGCCATATGTTGAAGAAATATTGTGATGTACTTGGATGGCAGATTCTTCCGGCATGCGAGCCTCAGTGCCTTCTTTATGTACTTCTCCCGAGCCCCTCCCACCCTGATGGCGAGTAGGAAATTCTCAGACATCACATGATACAGGTCTAAGCAGAAGACTAGTCCGGGAGGCATATCGGATGGAAGGTCCCTTGCGAGCAGAGGAGTATAGGGTTTGGGAGAATCAATCAAATCATGTACTCGGTCTTTCAATACTCTCACTTGTGCTTCCAGAGGCACTGAAATGTGGCCGACAGCAACCTGCCGCACAAGATCCGCGTGCAATCGACCTAATTTCTGAACCACCGACACTAACGAGGGCCCCTCCGGCAGGCCTGACAGCAAGTCTTTCAGGAAAGTAGAACTACACAATGGATACAAAGGTCGCAGAAGAGATGGTGACAACCGAGATGGACTCTCACGCTGTAAGAGACGAATGAGATCTCCCACGCAAGTCGATAGAATCTCCGGCTCGGCCACATGCCGACATGTTGCAATGGATTTAAACACCAGAACGATTTCCCTTACAGAAATTTCAGTGAGAAGATCCCTGATCCCCCCCGCGCCACCAAGGGCATCCCACCCTTGTGCTTTCCATTCCTTGCTATGGAAGGCACGCGCCAAGGCACGAATGCCGGCCTCACGAACGCCATGAGAGACCGGGTCCTTAATGGCAGCTTGCAGTACGTCCGGAACAACCCGCAAGGCAATCGGTAGCCAAACGCCGTATACGGCAGGAGGCAGAGCCTCCTCGTATGTCAGTTCTAGCAGGCGGCGGTTGAGTTCATGGACCTGCTCAACCGACGACTGATCCTGAATGAGGCTGTGAAAATGCGATGCTAGAGCTGGGAATTCATGTCGAAGGAGAGTTTTTGGCTGAAATGCAATATTCACATCCATGATAATTGTTGTCTTGACAACTGTTGTGTATTGTATGCTCTGGACTGCGACCGTCTAAATATGTACTAGTGGCTCAACATCAGGTATACTGTTATGGCGTCGGATTATGTATTTTCCTCTTGCTTGGATGTCGGACTCTCTTTCGGGAAGGCTCCGAGGTCCTACATTTATTTGCATCATTTGCAAATTTTGCATCTGTTTGCAAAGGGTTGTTTATTGTCGTCAGTCACCTCTCTTTTAAACGACCGGTTATTTTTTCTGTTGAAGACAAGTTAAGTAAAAGCGTTTTCTCAGCGCGATAACCGTGATGTTAATTTTGGACAGTTTTCTCCCAAAGTTTTCCAAAAGATTGCGGGGCTTACTCCAAGTTACCGCTCTGTAGCCTCCAATATATATTTGCTGTGAGCGTCTCTTCTCTGGTTAGTATTTACTGTGTAGTGTAAGCTGCTAAGGTAGGGGCTGCACGGCTCTCGGTGCATATGAATTCCAGCATTAATCTTGGTTGATATTACGCAATAATCACCTATTAGTAGTGCTGGCTCATCTACAGTCAAAAGACCCCTCCGACGGTACCTGAGGAATCAATCTCCGCCGGAAGAACAAAAGTCCACAAACTAAAATAAACGCCCCACGTAGGTACCAAAAACATGCCGAGAAAGGGACAACTTTATCAAGATAAGATGATGGGGCAGGTGGGTCACGCATATCATAACGAATCGCATACGTAATAAGCGCCTTATCTGTCGCAGTGACGATAGTAAAACAATAATGCATTGAGTTGGTATCATTGAGAGCGGAAACATAGCTATGGAGATATTAAACTACGCTTGCACATAGGCAGGCAATTCGTAACTCGAATCCCGAAATTAGGAGAATGAGCCGCGATGAAATCATTCGATCAGCGCCATCAGCTTCCTGCCCCATGTATCCCTCGGTCGGGGTGGTTTCTCTGCCGCCAAAATCTCCTGTAATCCTGTTTGCAGGTCCACCTCTTCTGGTCGCCACGCCCATGGGTCTTGCCAGAACAGAATCCGGTGACCGGCGTATAAGACGAGGAAGGCGGGAATACCGATGTAAGCGGTGAAGAAGTTGGATGCGGACCATTCCGATGGGAAGAAGCAAGTGAAGCCGTTGATGAGAGCCAAGAAGATCGCACCACCCATGCCGATATACATGCCATAGGGCTGCATGACGGAGCGGTAGGGCTTCTCGATGCCTTGCACGTTGATGGCCTTGTTCCACCGGATGTAGATGATGCCGCAGCAGGTCCAACTGATAAACCCGGAGGTGTTGGTGAAGTTGATCAGCCAGTTAAAGACCGTGTTGCTGCCGCTCCCCACAGAGAGGTATGCGAGAAAGAGGAAGAGGGAAGAGACGCCGACCGCGTAGTAAGGGACACCCCACCGGTTGCAGGTTTTGAAGATGCTGGGGGCATTGCCCGATACCGCCAGACTGTAGAGTGAGCGGGACGACATGTAGAGGAAGGAGTTTCCGGCCGACCAGGCAGACGTGAGGATGGCCGCATTGACGATGTGATTCAGTGCGGGAATTCCGGCGTTGGCAATCGCGACGACGAAGGGGGAGGAGGAGGCATCGTGGCCATCGCCGTGTACCAACTCCGCGGCGTTGGACGGGCAGATGACGCCAATCGCAAGCGAACCTAGGAAGTAGAAGATGACGAGTCGGTAGATATAGCGACGTGCAACCTTAGGGATGTTCCGGCGCGGGGATTCCATCTCACCGCCACTGATCACCACGAGTTCGGGGGCAAAGAGGAACGCGATGGCACTCTTGACGATGCATTGTAAGAGACCGACAAAGCGACCACGATCCCCACTGACCAAGTATGTGTTCATGACACCGGGGTCTTTCCAGTAATGGAAGCCGAGACGCTGACGGTTCGGACCGCCGCCCCAGAAGAGGATGAAGGAGAGGAGGAGAAGGCCGATGAGGGTGATGATTTTGATCCCGGCAAACCAGAATTCGCTCTCTCCGTAGGCACCGACCGGAAGAAAGTTGAGTGCCACAATGACCACTAGCATGATGGTAATCCAGACGGCGATATGGACGCTAGTAGGCCAGTACTCGATGACCATGGACGCGGCGACGATTTCATAGGCTGCCAGAATCGCTAACGAGTACCAGTACAGGTATCCCATGGCGAAGCCCAAGCTCCGTGAGACATAGCGAAAACCATGATAGCTCATGGTGCCACCGTGGACTGGCATGTAGGCACCGACTTCGGCGATTCCAGTGACGATCGCATAAATGAGTGCGGAGATGAAGGTGTAGCCCAGGAGCAGAGACAATGGCCCACCAATGACTAGCGCTTGACCCGAACCCACGAACAGACCGGTTCCAATTGTACCTCCCAATGCCATCAGCTGTACATGTCGATTTTTGAGACCACGTTGGGTATTCATGTATCGCTCATCGAGCAGGTCGGCCTCCACCATGGCCTGCATGGTGCCCGACTTGACATCGCCGGACTCAGGGTCATGGGAATGGAACGCCGCCGGAGCGACAGTGGGCTTTTCTCCGGAACCCATGTTGCCGTAGTCCAGAGTAGGGGGAAGAATTCAGCAACCAGAGTAATATGTTGGTTTTGAGAAATGGTCAGCAGTGAGAGATGAGGCCACGCGCGGGACACCCTCGGTTATAAAGTCGCAAGACGATGCGGGCCAAGAAGAGCAACGAACAAGCCACTGGTCTCGGGCGTAGCATGTGTTGCCTTATCGGCAGCTTCATACAGTGACCTCGCACCGTATTTGTCTTAGTCTGGCTTCATTCACGGGAAGAACTCGGCTGGTACGCGCGCTCACTGGTTGGGTCGGCCAAGAACCTGGGCAGACATGAACTGGAAATTGCGACCGGATGCTGATAAGAAGGAATCAACATGCGGGGAAATTTGCATACTTGTCGTGTTGACCCTCCGGTGATTGGAGGGGGAGGCTCAGGTGGCTTGTTTTAGGGTTCACGCTTATCAGCCGTTGACTTCCTTCGTCTCGTTCTTGTCCATGGCCAAGTGCCCCGTGGCTTACTCGAAGGGCTGATGTTGAATGGGGTTCCGGAGACACAGTGCGATAATGTCAATTCCATTACAATCAATTTGCATTCAACTCATTCAGGTCCGCTGAAAGTATCATGTCATATCTACCTAGGGAGAACCCCGATAAGAGATCCCATGTGAAAACCGGAGATATCAACCAAATCACTCGAGCCGACCACGACCACCTTCTTTAGCCTTACCACCTGCATGAGAATCCCTCATCTACGCCACTCTGCGGACTAATTTATTGCCCCGGATAGTTAAATCTTAATTCACCGGTCCGGACACCGGTCCGGATGCTGGTGGTGTGGTTATCATGGAATCGTCAGGGCGTGTGCACGTCAAACTGAAGCATATCGGGAGAGACCCACGGACATCTCGCTTATGGTTCACTCTGCATTAGTCGCGATTTCTGCAATCGCGCCCAGTGATGTCCAATAAGGGCGTACTGACAACGGTTTCGATAGCGGGCCGGTGTGCACAACAATGCCGGTGACCGGACATACCCATGAGAAGTGCGAGATCATGGAGCATGCGACAAGATCCCTTCGTCAGCGAATCTCATTTATCCTCCAGTTATATACCGCACAGAGCCGGACGACGATAAGTCCATCCAATGTTCATAAATGCTATCTTCAAAAGAGATCAAAGCACGTTTACGCGAGCGTCTCAAGCCAAGTATAACCCAAGGATAACCATTGTACCACTTTCGCCAAGGGTCCATAGGGCCGAGCTGATAGTCCGATTCAAGTATACTGGTCACGTCCCCATCCGCTAATCCGATCCCAGTTCACTACCAGAATTCTTCCGCCACGCTCTTGACCTTCACGCTCAAGCCGCCGGAGAAGTCGCATGTCCTGCTGAGAAAGGACCTTGCCGTCCACCCTTCGTTCCCATGCGGCCTGGGTAACCACCGGGGCCAAATCCTCCGCGATACCGGCTTCGTCTCGGTTCCGTGCGTAGACGTGCTGGGATCCTACCTCCTGGGAGAACAGCCACACGGACCCAACAACCGCATACCGGCGTTCCAGGAGCCAGATAATCGGCCAGGTGATCAGCCACAGTTGAAGAATAAGACAGGTATAGTACACAAAGTTATTGTTCCGGGCACGGTTAATCCAATGCGGCGAGTAGACCGTAAACGACCGGTTGGAGAAGGATGTGGAGATGTCGATGTTGCCTTGGTAGTTGAGGGACCGTAGATGAGAAGTTAAAGTAGAATGGATGATGGATGAGTTGAAGTTCTCCATATGGCGGGTGAACGTGAAGCTGCACCAGCAGATTAGTATCATATGTGTTAAGCAAACGAAGTCAACACAACAAACATACGATTTGACAGGCGATGGGTCCTGGCAGAACCGCTCGCACCAGCCCATGAGATCCGGCCCTGCATCATCCTCGACCAACCCGACATTCTCAGCATCAGTGCCGTCTTCTACGCTTGGTAGCCTGATACCTCTCCCTCTTGCGTGGCGCTTCCAGGTACGCGACCGACATCGTCCACCCCGATATATCTTCTGCCCATCCCCGTCCCGCGCTACGCGCAACTGAAACCAGCCCGCATCGCAATCGGGGTCTCCCACCACATAGTTCGTCATATTGATCCTGAAGTCAAAGTCGACCACTGACTCCGTGCGATTTTCCTTGCGATCATTTCGGTCGGGATGGGTCTCTTGGTGTGCACCACGGACACTTAGACACGGTCGTGGGGGAATGCGAGCCTCATGACTGATAAGACTGTGAAGTGCGGCGGGATCTTTGCTCAAAAAGGGCGACATGGTCGTGGACGGTCGCTCGGTTATGTCAGCTCTGTCATTATCTTGTACTTGATTCTCGGTGACCGGGAGAGCCGCTGTGGACGGCCCAGCCAGAGGAGGAAGAGAGTCGTTGTCGACATTGCCTAAAGAGGGTTGCCCTGAGACGACCTGTTCGTACGGAGGAGGAAGATCATTGAGATCGCAATTCTGCTGTAGCTTGCCCATCGTATGACTATAGTACTGATCTGGGCTATGGATAAGAGTGTGGAATCAAAGGTTGTCAATCCTAAGGCTGGAAACCGTGCCGCGATGAGATAATTCGTTATCTGTCACATGTCATAGTTGCTGCCTGATAAACGGGGCCTTGGCATAAGGCAGAAGCACTGCCAAGAACCTGTTCATATAAAAAGAGGTGGTCTGGGTAGGTAGACTGCCCAGTTGCCTACAAGTCTTGAGGCCCTTTCAGCTAGTCCACAGTGCTATGGCTGTCAAGTGTCAACATTGCCCTATTCTGAGCCCCGCACGAGCTGGATTACTCCATACACATTTCCCCACTTTGTGTTCTCGCATTCTCCACCCAGAAACACACTCGGAGAGACCCACCCAGCAGTCAAAATACTACTGCTAGTTAAACATGTATTCACAGTGGACTGTAATATCCTGAGAAAATCTCAGAGAAAGCCACAGGACATCACGTAGCCCTCAACAGGCTCATCTCAGAATACACTGCCAGGGTTGTTTGTATCCTCTAAAACCGTCTTTACGATTTCTTAAATCAACATCCTCACCAGGTCACCAGGTGTCGGAAACCAAACGCGTAAATTTACGCTGTTGCCCACCCAGCCAATGCTGTATTGAGTGAGGTTGCTCATCATGGCAAGGACATTTGGTCCATAGTCTCATTTCAGACGTTGGACCATGTCGATAACTAAATGGTGATCTCTGGAGGCAGATGCGACCGAGTCATAACACCTGGTGTTAGCCTCTACAGCATGTTCCACTTCGTTGCACACGTGGTTCTTTGTGTGGAATTCAAAGCGTTTAGCGTATCGAAGCCCATATCCAGAGAAATCGAAGAGATTTCCGTAGCAGATACACAATATGGTATGCGGAGAAAATCGGACCGGTCGACCCAGGGAAGTGTGACTGACATTGAGGGAGAATCCGATTGAAAGGTGTATACAAAAACATGCCTTTCTGCATAAATGATGTGATCGTCAGGTACAACAACCCAAATCACCTGATTTCCCCCGGAGCATAAAAGTAGGTTATAATTCCCGCATCACTCACATATTTCTGTGGTCTGTGATCATGCTACTCGGAGATACACTCCGCAGTGGATTAGTTCATAGTGCCATGCAGGATAATAAAGATCGTCGCGAATCGACTATACGTGCAACGGCTACTTAGGGAATCGAGGTTTCAACTCCCGACTCGCATTCTCCACTATACCCCATCCTCCACGGACCGAAACACCTCCAGTGCTGAGTTAATTAATTAATTTCCCCACATTTCTGCACGGGGTCCAGTCGGAAAAATTGTCATGACGCCTGTTTCAACATTTCCTGCAATCTGACTTGACCATCTTGCTTGCAAGCGCTTAACTGGGTCCGTTCCAAAAAGAGACATGGAGCTGTTTTAGGTAGTCTGGATCAAGAGCGGAGCATCGTCCGATACATATGTGGGCCCAGGATGTCGACCGGGCGCGCATTTCTCCAGATTATAAGAACACCTGGACCTCAAGGACCTGGCTGCCTTTCAGAAACAGGAAGTGCAGAGCCAGCAGCAACGCATTGTCACTCGAAGCAAGCATCATGAAGCTTAGCCCTTCACTTCTTACTGCGGCCGGCCTGGTGTCGGCCCAATTGGCCTTTGCCCTTCCCCAAGCGTCATCTTCAACCGTCTCGCCCAGTCCGAGTCCATCTGCTACACCTGGCTCCTTCGTTACCACTTCAGGTCTCAATTTCGTGATTGATGGCAAGACAGGATACTTTGCCGGTTCCAACTCATACTGGATTGGATTCCAGAAGAACAACGATGATGTGGATCTCGTGTTCAGTCACTTGCAGGAATCCGGTCTCAAGATCCTTCGTGTCTGGGGGTTCAATGATGTCAACGAGAAGCCCACTGATGGCTCTGTTTACTACCATCTTCTGGCGGATGGTACGGCAACCGTCAATGAGGGGGAAGACGGCCTTCAACGGTTAGACTACGTGGTCTCCTCGGCAGAGAAGCATGGTATTAAGTTGATCATTAATTTCGTCAACTTCTGGGATGATTATGGTGGTATCAATGCGTACGTCAAGGCGTTCGGTGGATCGAAGGAGGAATTCTACACCAACGACGCCATGCAGGAAGCCTATCGCGCTTACATCAAGGCCGTCATTTCGCGGTACAGTGACTCTTCGGCTATCTTTGCATGGGAATTGGCCAATGAGCCCCGTTGCCAGGGCTGTGAAACCACCGTACTGTATAACTGGATCGAGAGTACCAGCCAGTATATTAAGTCGTTGGACTCGAAGCATTTGGTTTGCATTGGTGATGGTAAGTGAGCCTGGTCTTGTTCAGTATCACAAACTCTAACAAAAAGCAGAGGGCTTCGGCCTCGAGGCTGGCTCGGACGGAAGCTACCCGTACCAATACTCTGAGGGAAGTGACTTCGCGAAGAACCTGGCCATTCCCACGATCGACTTCGGAACCTTCCATCTCTATCCCAGCAGCTGTAAGTTTATATTGAGAGCAAGCTAAACGGTGGAAGCTAATGTTGTTAGGGGGAACCACAAATGACTGGGGCAACGGCTGGGTCACCTCGCACGGGGCAGCCTGCAGGGCGGCTGGAAAGCCTTGCATGTTCGAGGAGTACGGAGTGACCTCGGATCATTGTGCCGTTGAGAAACTCTGGCAAAACACGGCACTGAACACGACTGCCATTTCTGCTGACCTCTACTGGCAATACGGAGATCAATTGAGCGGTGGACCATCGCCAGACGATGGCAACACCTTCTACTACGGAACCGATGAGTTCAAGTGTCTCGTGACTGACCATGTTGCAGCTATTAACAGTCGTAAGTGATACGAACTGCGCATGTGAGATGGTGAAGAAATAGTTGTACAAGAAAGTGCTTGTTGACGAATGTATCTTTGAAATCAAATGAAGTACAAACTTCACTCTAAGATGTCGCTCAAATTCCCATTCCTTCACTAGCGGCACATGTACGGGGTAGTATTTCCTTGAGTGCGTAATGCAACACCTTTTCACCCGGTGGATTTGTTGCAACGAAAGTTATATGTAATACCAGAGGGGAATGGAATGGCACAGCCTTGTGAGATAGCATAACTATTATAGCCCCTTCGGGATTTTAAGTAGTCGACCGTTATTTGTGAAAGAAACAAGAATATATTGAGATCGGCTCAGCTTCATATACGTCTAAGCTGCATGGCACATATTACCCTAGTAGTTGTAATCATAAGCAATTCTGCCCCTATATCGCTGGAGATGATTATACGAAGTATACAATTCCTTGATCACTCATTTGCTCTCCACAACTTGATTGGATACTATGAAGGCAGTACGAGATGTAGTGGAGAAGTAGAGCAGGAGTGAGACTCTTTTGCACCTGCCACCAGCTTTGGGGGTGAGGTTGGGGACGTATATCCCCCGGTCAGGTTTATTCAATGTAGAGATTTAGATCTTCCCGCTAGTTAATCTATTCCCCTACTAATGACGTTACTTCTCCGCATGTGCTCCATAAAATGAACTGATTCTGTCTTTTCAGTGATCAAATATCTGCCGTTCAGCATGTATTCAATATGAATCAGATTCATCATAGCCTTATATAAAGCTTTTTGCCATTTTCAGCTCACTCTCTCTCATATCTTTACCACATCTATCCTTCGCTTCAGTCTATGCACATCACTGCTCAAGTGACCACAAGATAAAAGCATGCATCATTATGTCTACTTGCGCGCAGGAGCTTCATACATTATCACGGCTGCTGACCTTCTATAATGCCTTGAAAGGCTATGAAGACTGGAATAATACCTCGCCGAACGCTCGAACTCCCCAACGAAGAGGCGAATAACTTTGCAAATAGCGTTGAGGGGGAGATCAGCTCAAACATCGCAGAGTACTCAAGAGTGCGCCAGTACCAAAAGATTCTTCCTCTTGTCCCATTCTAACAGGGTTAATCGAAGGGTTGAACACACTCAGAATAAGATGTTGATACTTTGAAGCCCAGGGCACATATATCCTTTACTGTGAAATGGCCGAAGAGCCGGTAGTACCGAAGACGAGGAAGTGGGAAAATATCTAACACCAACTTCCGAAGCCAGTGCGGACGTCAGGATAGAGACAGCTTTTGAGTGCAGCCTCTGCCTGGTGAGCATTCACAGTTCAGTCAAGCCTCACTAGTAAGCTGGAGTCAACCTGATCGTTGGATCTCATATGTTCTTCCCGCTTTTTCACACATTGTTAGAAAGGGAAGGAACCAAGGGGATGTCAAATAGGTTGCGGCAATCTTTCCCAAATAACAAGAAGACAACTATTCCCCCCGATTTGACTCGATTCGGTACGCGTGCCTCGTTTGAATATTATCTTATAGTAAAGGCATATATACATACTGAGCCGATCCAGTCGCTATATGGCGTCCCAGGTGAGGAACACCTCAGCTTGAGATACTGTTAAACAAGCGATACCTTGCTCCAAAGGACGGCAATGAGGTGCGCCAAGTATCTAATTGGGAAACCAGTGATTATGTCTTCCCGATTGAGTGATATCAAGAGGACACAGAAGCAGGGTAGAAAAGGGGCTTGGGAGACAGCGAAGACAACAACGCGCGTGAATGGAAGACAGTAGTGTTTCTTCAAAGGAACGAAGAGAATTGTTATCAGCGTAATCTATGCCTTCTCATTTCCATTCTCATCCCTCTTCATCTCCTGTGTTCTCATCTAGTCCCACGGGTCGCTACAGTGTCTCTCCTCAGGAACCTCTCACCTTGAAAGCAGCTGTGTGAAGCTCAGCTGACACGGTTACTCGGCGCTGTCAGTCGGTCTCCTGAAGGATAGTAGGGAGAATCCAACACTGCTTTAATACTCAGTAAGTTGTTGCATTGCATTGAGTTGGACTGAACAGTCAGTTGCTAATTCATAAAGCTACCTGATCAATAGCCTTTTCTCCCCTTGGCCAATCGAGGCTCAAGAAAGTTGGTCTATTAAGCAATTTTAGCTGCCACACCGAATCTCGGTTTCTCCGACATTAAATCCTTCAAGACACAAAGTGCATTCGTACGAGTCATATAGATTAAAGGGCGTTCAAAAAGAAAACAGTCGCAATTCCTTCATCTTACCCCAGGTTCCTTCACATACGTCCTAGAACCAGGTCAGAAAGATAATCGATAAAATAGCGCCCCCTCCCCAGGCTGTTTCTCTTTTATACGCGCAGCGTCCCTGGACTCGAAGAGGGATATGTCTGATTCCGCATATATTCTAAACCCGCGCGCTCTGAGGGTGCCTTAGGCATATGCCGATCCTGTTGCATGGCAATGGCCGTACCATGTCCCTCTTTGGTCGTGAGTGTGGTAACTGTACATGGGCCAGGAAGGGGTTGACTTGCAAGCACTCCATCCAGCTCAAGAAGGATGTGAAGGGTGAGAGTTGGGATGAGACGATCACAGACGCTGTGATTCAGGCAGGTGGACTCCGTGCAGCGGACAATAACCTCATGAGGCCTGATTTGCTTGCACTTGTCGAAGCTTTCGAGATCGAGGAAGACGATGATGCCCCCTCCTCCGGACACCGTCGAAACTGGGGTGCGCGACTCTGGCTGCCAAATCGCTTTATATTATAGGCAGCTTTTCTGTCGGGCCGAGCACTGTTCTAAAGCCGCGGTATGTCCCTTTCTAAGCCCTTTCGAGCCACTTCCTAAATGCATAGAAATACTTCCTTTATTGAGAATACTAACTGATCAGTAACTATTTTAGAAGCGGTGTTCAGCCACGAACAACCTGCGCAGTCATTTTAGTAACCACAAGAATAGTAATGTCAATGATCGCGCGTCAGAAAAAGAGGTCGATGAAGCAGTTGGTAAGGGTTTCCTAAGCAGTTCAAAAATGAGTAACGGTTCCCTAACTGCTTTCTAACCGCCTACTAACCATTTGCATATAGTTTGGTACCTAGCGCTTTTTCAAGATCCGGCGGCGTCGGAAGTTACTTCTCCCTAGCGATCCCGGGCGAATGAATTGAGGGCAGATTCACGACCCTAGATGGCTATGCCTATACAAAATCTGAGCACTTAGGTTTATCTACATAAGGACCATGTGAGAATCGCCCCAGAGTGAAAGGAGGGGCACTAATTTGCCATTCAAAAAGAAAGCCTCCAACTCTCGACGTCAAGGACTCGATAACTGGATACTGAGGTGTACTAACCCAGTACTTTCTCAACACCGTACACATGAGCATCCAGCTTCAGGTGGTTGCATGTGCTTGGAATCTGCATGCTCAACAAAATATCAGGTCGTCTTATCATGATAGCTGCAACACTGTCCTAGAATACACAAGGATGGGTTTTACTCATAATTTGGCAGTATCTTTGAGCACTTTATTCATGTTATCCAGGCCTCGCAATGGCAGCGAGTTACAACAAACAATCCAATATCAAACCAAAGATATTATGGGCTACAAGCGCCACATACGAGACCAAGAGTCTCCATGTGACAATCGCCAAAGAAGGCAATGGGCATTAGCTTATGCAACTTATTTCGAGTGACTAAGATATCAGATTATGGCCCTGTTGATCCTCAGCTTTTAGGGCCGGGTACATGACGACCTGGTGATACGAGGACTTGGTTAAGAAATATCCAAGCATCTAGGTTACCGTGCGGCAGTACCTGCCCAACTGTGTCCGAGTTTCTATCGAAAAGACATCACTAGGTGCCGTTAAATGTTGCATCTTAGTACGTGCATCCATCCACCGACGTTCACGGAACCCTGCCAGGCTCTGGGTGTTGACCCCGAGAAGCGGCTTATGTCAGAAGAGGCGCATGCCCCGGTTAGGCTACTGCCATAGTAGGTTAATGGCATCTGATAGATATTGCAGTACAAAGAGTCTACCATTCGTGGGGGTATCCTGGCCGACGATTGCGCCTTGGGGATGATACTAATCATCTTAGCCTTTATCTGCCAGGCCAGGATTCAGTCTATGAATAGAAAGAAGTACAAGCCAATGTCAATTCTTATACCTACTAGTATCGTAGGTACTTGGGCCACACAGTTAGCGGAAAACTCCGGGAAATAGTTGGCGTTTGAGATATACCATGGCTTTATATGACAGATTAGCGACGCTGTCTAAAAGGCCTGAACAGTAGAGAGACCAGATAAGTTTATTCTGAAGCTGGATAGCCTAGATCCGAAAAAGCCCTGCTATCGCGCGAACAGTAGATATCAGCTTATATCAGAAATGGGCGCAACGTACAATCACGGAGAGTTATCGCTGGGAACGTGGAAAGACTTGTCGGTCCAAGCGTCACGTCAAGAGGGAGGACCGCCTGGACGCCGAGAGAGAGGATAAAGACGATCAGCCCACGCTCCGGGGCCACCAGACGGAAATTCAGCCATAGAATTCGAACACGGATCCCAGCTGGCTTTCCTACTGGCTTGTTCTTGGGCACACCTCAGTCCGCTGCCTCTGTATACTCTTTCTATCGAAACGAAAAGTGTAACCAGGAGGCGGGTCTCTGGGCGGAACCCAAGTCCGGGTGGGTGTCGTTCAATGATTGGTTTGCTCAGGAGTGTAAGGATATCGACACGACTCGTCCGCTCGCGGGGCCGAATGACGAAAAGCTCGTTGTCAGTTGTAGCCGACTCCAAGGTCAACGGGAATTGGGATATTGTGGAAGGTAACGTCACCATTGCCGGCATCGATGCCATGGGAGTGGAATGGCCGATTGAGAAATCGCTGCAAAGCACGACTTATCGATTACCAGAACGAGACGTCCATGCCTGTTTTCCTAGGCCCTACCGACTACCACCGTCAGCATGCGCCCATGGGCGGCGAGACCATCGAGGTCAACAATACCCAGGACCAAGTCTACCTCCAGGTTGCTGCCAAGAATGGCCACCTGTCCGGCCACCGGAGGCTGGTCTGGAACCCGTATATGATCACGAGACGCAGAGAAAAGCTCAAGGGTGGCCATGATTTTTACGATCTGGACGCTCCGGACAATGCCGGGTCATGCCAAGAAGGGTGACAACATCTCATATTTCCAATTCGGGAGTTCCGATGTGGTTGTCGTCTTCGAGAAGGTCACTTTAAAGTCCAGTTTGCAGGTAGGTGAGACGAAATTGAACGTGAGGTCCGAATTGGCGAGGTTCCAGGGACGCGGGGCGATATTGTCTTGGGCATACCGTCAACAAAGGCTTAATTCTTTTCTTGGCTGCTCTTGATCTGTGATGTAACCGTTGGGGTAAAACGAAATGGCACTTTTATCATTCGTTCATTTGCTGATCCTGCGGATCCTTCGGGATCGGATGTAAGCCGGCGGAAGCATGTCAGACGGAGCACACGGACGCCCGTTCTGTCACGGCATCTATGGAATACTTATGCCTAGACCCGGTGATTACCAACCCAAAGCCAAAATGCCCATACGATGATAGTCATGTGACCGGTCCCGGTTTGTTTGCCCACATGACACGATATTGCCACACGCGCGATATACGACCTTGAAGTGTCAGTACTCGACTTTTGCTAAAGCGTAAGTGTACAAAAGTCACTTCATCATAGAAATACCTGACTAGTTTTATATTACCCGCATAACTTTGAGGACTAGTTCGTTACTGTAGATACTAGTACGTTCGATCCGACTTTGTTTATAAAATATATATCCACGGAATAGGTGTAAATGAGCTATTTAGCCTGAACTTGCGAACACATGTCAACCACAGGGACATGAATACTACATCCGGAAAGATTATGTAGAGAAAAGCTGGCAACAAGCTATGAGAATATAGTCACAGCTATTGGGAGGGATGCCTATACTCCGCAGCGTTCCGCCTACAACGGCAGACGGAAGTATACAGCAACAGAAACTCTAAAAGCTCAAGAAGCTACTAGAATAGCCCCGGAATTACCAATCGAATGGTAAGCTACGAAATTTTTAATCAGCACAGATGGATCTGTGCATTCCAGCATCCTCTACAGAGGTATCAGCCCAGTTCGGGATTAAGCCTTCGGCCATCGGGACTGTCCGAAACGCAACGCAAAGACCCATATGAACAGAACGTGGCGATCCAGATAAGATCATGCAAAGGACGCCGTGAGGGCCTCAATCCGGACCGTTCATTCATGATTCAAGCGAGTAGTACGTAGGAATGGCGAAAATAGTACAAGCTCTTGGACATCTGGCTCACCTGACATTCAAAAATGTGGCAGTGTGGTGGCGTGTGGAGAAGCAATCGTGGGCCGGAAGATGATTGATCCCGAATGACAGGGCCGACCTTTGCCTGGAAGGGAAGTTTCTACGCAAGCGAAAGAGTTCCAGAGGTTCCAGGTCGGTTGTCGTGGAGTTGCTCCAGACAGAAAATTTGCGGGGGGTACGTCATTCAATCTAAGCGACCACATGACGACGAAGCCCTATTTGGACAAGAGTTTTTCCGCGCGTTTCCGATTTGTCCGTACAAGGTCGGGGATGTTGTTTACTCTGTAAGGGGTAAAAAGGGATGAGGGGTTTTAATTTGTTTTTTATCTTAGATTTATTTTTCAACTTCCTTGAAACTAACGAAACACTGATCTTATCGAAACGAGTATAGATGTTCGTAACGATCATTTTGATAAGTTAGAGTTCCTGGTAATTTCTAGAATGTTTTGTTGACGAATGGCTAATTTCCATCCACAAAGCTTGGATGGTTCTGGAGCCAACCATGCACGAGATCCAACGCCACTGACGAGAGTCGGCTCGGTCGGGACAACCAAGATGCCTGGGAAAATCCCAACAAGCAACGATGCCGTGAAGCTATTTTTCGGTGCCGATGGCTCGCCCATTTCGGTCGGCATTGCTCTGTTTTCTTCACGGTAACATGGATCGGCCGTCCGCCGTGCTATTAGTAATAGTAATAAGGGTATTGTCATTACTGAGGCTCATGTGACCATGATACCGTTCTCGCAAACGATGGCGTTGTAAATTCGATAGTAAACCGATGCTATATGCGATGTTATCATAGTCGTAGGCAGCGACGTTCACTCCGCATTTCCCCTCTTTTCATCGCGGTCCCTGCATCCTGATATTCTCCAGGTTGGGCTTCACCGGTCAACAGAAGGGGAAGTCTCCCCTCGTTTTCTCCATATCACCTCCAGGAAATGCCTCTCCCACACTCCCCGTGAAATTCCGGCCATGTGTGGCCGATGATGCCGAGATTCTGGAGTTGTGGGTGGCGCTATGCCAGGAACAGTTAAGCTCTGTGCGATGTTTTCAGTCTAGTGCTCCACACCCCCGGCACCTGGACTCGTGACTGGCCAAACCCCAACAAATCGATTACTAGAGATTGAATACACGCATGCCACATCGACGCAGGATGCCTTCGCCCACCAAGCCAAGACGGCTTCAGTCACCGTACTCCTTCTAGGCATGCCGAGGTCACTACTACCTATTGCGAACGCTACACACACTCCTTCCGAAGCCGACAGAACTTACCTGGATAGCGACGTCATAGGGAACCACGGTTAAATTCTGACACACGCCTCAATCCAGTTATGACCGTCAGTGGCGCTGATCCCTTCATCTCGCTGTACCGCCAGTCTCCAGGCTGTGTCCCATTGGGGTTGGCCACCGCGACGAACCAGAGGCCACCCCGAGGGGGCCGTGGATCCCGAACTGTTGCCTGTCCCCCTGTTTGTGTCGGCCGCTTCCTCGCACTTCGGCTGGCCTCACTGGCCCATGGCTGTCGGTTTCGGCCGGCCTTTTCTCCAATCGTTTGCGCGCCCTGGACAGAAATGCGGGTAGTGTTGTCAATTATCCCCGTGTCCCGGACGGACACTGGCCGTAAGGTCGGCTCTCCACATTGGGACAGTCCTCCTCACTAGTTTCTCGTGGAAATTTTCTCCCTTCCCTTTTTGAATATTTTTTTTGTCTATTTTTTTTTTCGCACGAGGTTTTGGCATAAAAAGGACACAGATCTCCCCTTTTTGAATCCATAATTCCAATTCCCACTTCTGTCTTCCCAAATACCTTTGCCCCCTAAGCCTAGAGGTATACCATTCTCTTCTTTTGGGAAATCCTCTATCTTCATATATTACCTTTTATCCACCTATTCGGTATTAGCCTTTTGATGTCTAATTGCGAATAAGGTCGAACAAATACACTCTTACCGCCTCCTCCCACATACTCTCCACCATGGGTGTTGAGACTTCTGCCCAACATGGGGAGATGATCAGCCCAGCTGGCGCTCCCCAATACTCCAGCCAAGAGTCTGTGGCTCCTAACAAGCCTGTGGAAATTGGTGTTGATACCCCAGTTCCCCGCATTACCCTGCGGGCGTTTGTTATGGGTGCATTCGTTTCTATGGGTGGTCTTCTCTTCGGATACGATACCGGTCAGATTTCTGGTTTCCAGGAGATGCCCAACTACCTTGAACGGTATGGTCAACTGAACGACGAGGGTAAATATTACTTCAGCAATGTCCGCTCCGGTCTCATTGTCAGTCTGTTGTCCATCGGTACCTTGATTGGTTCTCTGGTTGCTGCTCCTATTGCCGATAAGCTTGGTCGTAAATGGTCTATCACCTTCTGGTGTATTATCCTGAACGTCGGACTGATTGTTCAGATCTCCTCCCCTGCCGGTAAATGGGTTCAGATGGTCATGGGCCGTTGGGTGACTGGTCTTGGTGTCGGTGGTTGCTCCCTGCTTGTTCCTATGTACCAGGGTGAGAGTGCTCCTCGCCAGGTCCGTGGTGCCATGATCAGTTGCTACCAGCTGTTCGTCACTCTCGGCATCTTCCTTTCCTACTGCATTAACTTGGGAACTGAGCATCTCGAGGGCACTGAGCAATGGCGGATCACCTTGGGTCTTACCTTCCTTTTTGCTCTCGTTCTCGGCGGTGGCATGGCTTGCTTCCCTGAGAGCCCCCGTTTCGAGTACCGTCACGGTCGTGTCGACAGTGCTCGCAACACCATGTCCAAGCTCTATGGTGTTCCCGAGAATCACCGCGTCATCCTCCAGGAGATCGAAGAGATCCAGCATCAACTCGACGCCGAATCCCAAGAGCAGGTTTGGCACGAGTTCATCACTGCTCCTCGCATGTTGTACCGTATTGCCCTGGGTATGGTCTTGCAGTCTTTGCAACAGCTGACTGGCGCCAACTACTTTTTCTATTATGTAAGCATCCCTTCCTGATTCAGCCTAGTGCTACCAGAGGTCACGTGCTAACATCTAAACCTAACAGGGAACCACTATCTTCCAAGGTGCCGGTATCTCGAACAGCTTCATCACGCAAGTTATTCTCGGTGCTGTCAACTTCGGTACCACTTTTGGTGGTCTATACATCGTTGAGAACTTCGGTCGCCGCAAGTCTCTCATTGCTGGTGCTGGTTTCATGTTCGTTTGCTTCATGATCTTCGCTTCTATTGGCCACTTCATGTTGGACGTCCAGAACCCCGAAAACACCCCCGGCCCTGGCAAGGGTATGGTTGTTGTTGCTTGCTTCTTCATCACGGCTTACGCCATGACCTGGGGTCCAATGATCTGGGCTATCTGCGCCGAATTGTTCCCCTCCAAGTACCGTGCCAAGGGCATGGCTCTGGCCACCGCGTCGAACTGGTGCTGGAACTTCCTCATCGGTTTCTTCACCCCCTTCATTACTGGTGCAATTGACTTTGCATACGGATACGTCTTCGCTGGATGCTTGGCGGCCGCTGCCCTCGTCGTCTACTTCTTCGTTATCGAGGGTAAGGGCCGCACTCTCGAGGAGCTCGACTGGATGTACGTCAACAAGGTCACTCCCTGGAAGAGCAGCAACTTCGAGATGCCTTCCCTTCACGACCAGCAGTATGGCAACCAGTATGGACGCAAGGAGTCTCACTCCTATCACGCCGAGAACGCATAAAAAGGGGTTTGGGTGGTTTTTCATTTGGAGTTGGTTATTTGCACTTTTCTTGTGAATACTCTTCTCGTATATATGGGATTATGGGTTACATGATATATCCATTTGCTTTAACTTGTTATATATCCTTCAGGTCTTCTTATAAGGCCTTGTACTATTAAAGATTCATTACTTCAATTTTCTTCTCAGTTTCCTCTTCAATAATATCTTGCAGTAGATTTTGCCACACGACCGGAACCGGCTGATAGCCAGGTAGAGCTTTGGCTCTAATTCTCATTGTATTACATTGTTAAAATATGATGATACCTTTTGTTTGGTTACCTTGCTGGTCTACGCCTTCACACACCTATCCTGCACTCGAACATTTTGTAGTGAGCAGTCAGCACTTTACATGAAGTCTGTAGGTCCCTGGGCCGCTGCCACAACCTTCTTGGCTAGATACCAGGCCTAATATTGATAATACTAAAAAGCTACTAGAACATTATAAACAACAGATCTAGTCCTACTACAGTTTCGGAATAGAACCTAGGTTTCGTCTGGTCTGCCGTGACACTTCCCTCCACAGTTAAGTCGTCCGAGACACCAATCTAGCGATCTGCATCATGTCGACTACTTGGTGACTCGTACGCCTGGCGAATACTTGGAATCTTTCCATACTGGGCCCCTAAATGGAAAAAGATTGAAAAATTTGGATAAATACCCCAAGTAAACTACTCGAGTGAGTGAAATAGGTACAAAAATATAGGAAGCCGAATCAAGGTGGACTTGCCGCTAGTATCTTCCGTAGTGTCGGTCTATCTATGAGGGTACTAGGGATATTATCGCAGTCCATACTTCTATATCTTCTATATTCTTCTTTTGTACGTTACTTGCGATATATGTTAAGCCTATATATCGAATAGAGATTGCACATATAGCTAGGGCTTCTCAACAATTTGCAAGTGATGCGACAGAGGAAGGTTGCAACTAATTAGTAAGGTGCAATATTTTTAGGAACGGTGAGAATTGAAAGCCTTGCTTTCATGGCATGGTCTTAGGAGTTAAAAGTCGCAATTACAACATTATAGATAAGAAAGATTAAGTCTGTCATGGCAAGTCTCGAATGTGTTGACAAGCTGTATCGATACCTAAACGATAAACACCATGGAACTAACAATGAGAGAAACGAGAAAAATAGTAAAGTCGTGAGCGGACGTAGTTTCAATCCGAAAGATTGAAAGCAAACACTAATCCGTGTAGCCTTGTCCCTCCCTTCCTTTCCTTGCCCATCAAGTACCGAAGTTTTTCAATCCGTTTACTCTCCAAGGCGTTACCCAAGGGACCTTTTAAACTCGGTATCTCAATAGCCATTGGCCAGATCGAGAACCTGTTTCTTCCACCCTCACACCATCTCATGACAAACATAGTTGGCGAGTGTTTCGTACGGCGACACTTGAGCGGCATTGAAACGAATCCCTCATGAATTTTAAAAGAACTCCGGAAGTGATACTGTACCTCTACCAAGTTTTGCCGCAGATTCTCAAAGGCCTCGTCAATTGTCGTACCCCTCACCCTGAAATGGACCCTCCCATGCTTTTCCTCTGGATGCAGAGCCAGAAGCCTCTGAGCACTTGAGGGGTCGCGGAGTTGCTTGACGCAAGCCAAAATCACGGATACGAGAGAAACCCTCTTGTGCTTGCCACGCTGTTCCTCACGTGGAATATCAATTTCGATCCTGAAGTAGTTCCGAGCGAAGGGATGTGGCCTGCCCTGTAGGCGGCAATTGTGGAATTTCTCGCGCTTGAAAAGTCTCAAGAACGCCATGGCTACGCAAGAGCTCGGCTTTAGGGTTCTGTCTTTTTGCACAATTTAGATTGAGGTGGTTCAACCTGGTCTCAATGGTAGCGATATATTGTGGAACTGTGGGAAATAGGGCTCATTTAACTACTGCGCCATGGTGTCCTTTGTTCCAAAGACTTTAGTCGAGCGTCACCGAATGTCTCGACCTGATGCAGCGCTGTTTGACTTGAACAAAGCAACGGGAATAATGATGATGAAACCTTTGTCAGTCTCTATCGTGAATGATCAAGCTTTGTCTTACTGAAACCATGCCTTTGTCACCATTTCCAGACAGATAATCGCTTTGTCTGTTGTTTTACGGGGTGGTTACTTGACCACAGGTATAGCCCGGATATTGTAGCCTCAACAGCACCAGCGGCACAGCGTGGCCAATGATCAGACTATCATGTGGCTAGGAGTACCATTGACACTATTAAGTGGCATGGTTACGAGGCTGGGCAATTATAAGTACTCTTTGGGGATGGGCTATTTCGCTTAGCGTCACCATGATGACTCATTCGGGCAGGAGCGTCTTGCGTCAAGCCACCGATTACTTCGATAGCACGTATGTAGACGTACGAATGATATAACTATTACCGGTGTACTGGAACCTAGCGGATCTATCTTTCCTCGTCCGTCCACATTGCTTCCTATTCCTTTACTTTACCAAGGAACCCCACATCACGTTAAAACATCCCTTTTATAGCTATATAAGCACACAGCTATACTCCAATCGAATCGACTGCCTTTGTCAAGCATTAGCACATCTACTCCTACCGTTATATATACAGTACCTACAATGCCGGGCTTTGAGCATTCGCGGATGGGGAGCAACACCTACCCCAACGGAAGGGAGACAAACGGGACTTTCTCTCTCACAGCCCCATCGGCCAAGGGGGAATGGGATATGAAGGATGGGGCGGGACAGGCCAACGAGAGCGTTGAGCTGTCCGGAAAGAAGGGCAACTGCCCACAGCAGGGTAAGTAGCATATTATTATCCTTGACATACCATACAAGCTGACAACAAAATGTAGGCCAATCGAAAGGCCAATCGAGGAAAGGAAAGGGCAAATGGCAAAAGGTGCCTTTGTTTGAAGTAGCAAAGCCGGCGGCTCCATACAGGGACTGGTCGGTTGTCCTAAAGCCCGCGCAGGCCAAGATTCTCCAGGACTTGGAGGCATTGTGCCATTCTACGAACCCACATGTTGCTCGAATGCGCCACCCGGATACCTCTAGGGGGCATGAAACCAGCCCAAGTCGGCGATCGGTTGTGGCCATCGACTGTGAAATGGTCCAGGTGGGTCGGGGCCAGAATGAGGTAGTCCAGGTCTGCGCGGTGGATGTACTATCCGGGGAGATACTGGTCGACAAGGCTGTCGTTCCGACAAAGCCTGTCACAGATTGGTGTACACCATGGAGTGGCATGACAGCAGGCCGCTTGGAGGATATGAGAAGGAAAGGCAAGACAGTGAACGGCTGGGAGGAAGCGCGGGCGGAAGTGCTGAAGTTTGTGGATGGCGATACCATCTTGGTTGGCCATGCGCTTCGGAATGATGTGCGTGCTTTGGGGATGACGCATGCAAAGACCCTCGATACCACCACTGTTACAAAGCGTGCGGTGTCCAAGGAAATGGTGGGATCTGGTTGCAAGCGAACTTGGAGGCTGAAGACATTGTGTCAAGATTTCCTGGGGATAAGTATCCAACAGTCCAGGAATGGACACGACTGTGTCGAAGACACTCTTGCGACCAGAGAAGTGTTGCTCTGGTGTGTCCGCAATCCGGACAAACTGAAGAAGTGGGCGATGGAGCAGAGCGCTATACTAGCAGTACCAAGCTCCTACTCATCCGCCCAGGAAAGGGAGGACAGTATACCGTTTGAAAATGGTAAAGATTGATTGTAGTGTTATATAATTTTCGTGCATTGTGATACGCCCAGTTGGAATATTGGAATGTTTGGTCGAGTGAGAACTTACCTCACTACCCTACTCACATATCCTAATACTCTGGAATAATTCAGGTGATGTGGGATTAATTTTATAATTTTGATATCCAAACAATGCTCTACTTCTTCACCGCTGTCGTGAAGTAGTCATAAAGCTATATCTACCATTTCTTCGGCTAGCACATCCACCTGTATAAGGGACACTTGTATAGAGGGACCCAGACAAAATATCAAGCTGAGGCCTAGGGGTCTCTGGAGGGTACTATGGCCGGCATAAGAATGTGAAACTCTTAACATACCCTTATAAAGATCTGTGAGGCATGAACCGCGTGCGGACACGCCGTAGGGTAGTGCTGAATTCTGTAGCGGGCTTTTCTGGTCAGTGATATGTCCAATGTATGTTGCCTTTGGGCGGAAAGACCATAGAGAAAACATGATTTGCTCAGAGACCCGTCTTGTAAAGGAAATAGATTTCACCATAGATGAAAAGTTTCAGAGAACAACAGAGTAAGTATATCATCATCGTGGACAGTGAGGGGCTAGACAGGTTCAGGGCAAACACTTACTGCTATGTCCATTGTGGCCAATGCACAGACCAGGTGGGCGAGGAGAGGGGCAAGACTGGAGGTTCAGAAGTGTCATCTGGGCCTCAGCCTGGATGGTTCTATTTGATGGAGATAATGCAACTTGGCTTGCGCCGTAAGAGTCATAACAGTATGCCTTGGGAGGATCATATGCTTGGTGAATTCCTTTAGTTCACAAAATCCGTGACCCTGTGAGACGTGTAAATATTTCGTCCAGATTCTCGCGCTTGATATGTTGAAATATGTGCTGAGACTAGGGTCGGCCCTAACCTTGATTTCGATGGTTTCCTCGTTTTCAGTGTTTTCAACCTGGATAGACCACGACCTGCTAATAGTTATTAGACTCCTAATGGCTACTTGTGCAAAGTGCATGACGTCGGAGGGCGCAAAGGTGGACTATTTACTTATATTTACTCTCTGTTGGAATGATCTTTAAGAACACAGAAAACAATACGGGGAAAGAAAGCAAGCTACGAAATCCTTGAGTGCTTGTATACATGGTGTTCAAGCGCCACACAGCTACTTGACCACTCAATGCTGAGTACTTCAATCTCCCAAGTATAAGCACAGAGCGAGTTGTGTGGATCGTTAATTATCACTTTAGTAAAAAGGACAGTTTATTGGTCATACGACAGAGGTCGGTTCAATCTATCCAAGGCAGATCGGATGTACATGTAGGACCGGTTGTACGCTCATGCAATTGCACATTGACCAGTATTGCTAAGAAGCAGTCTCATGCCAAACGTACTCTACATATTACGACTATCGGTCTTAGTTGTTGGCTAAGCACTTTCGTCGAGAGGATGAAGACCTCCAGGAGGTGGCTCTTGGTGCTATTGTACTCAGGAGAAAACTACCCAAGAAGTTAGTGGGAACAACTCGCGTTTCCCTATAAAAAGGGGTCCAATTATTTCGCGATGATCGTCACCATAGTGGAGCACCCCCCATCTTACTCACCAGCCTCTACACAATACGCGTCTCTTATTCGACGGCGCTGTCGAAAGCGCTTAAGCCCCGAGGCCAGTAGATCCAATCATGGAAGATAATCGACCAGCCTCATCTCGGCTGCGACGATCCAACAGGTGTCGAGCCCGGCGCCACCCAATTACTACCAATGAGCAACGCTCTGTACTCTATTCCCTATGCTTGGCCGTGGCGTCCAGGATGTGCGAAAGGCCATTAACCCTGCTATACCATGTGGGTACAACCGAGACAGAGGCCCAGGGATATGGAGATGTAGCCAACTGATCAGCTCCACATTGTCCCACATCTCCTGTCAACAAATGGTAAAACATGGCGGGGAAATAATACCCTGTTTTAGATGAGGTCAGGAAGACGACCGACCCACAGGCGTGAACTGGCCTGGGCAGTGCTCCAAATGGAGCCTCATCGATACCATAGCCACAGCTCGGCCCCGACCTATATAAGAGCCTGTTGTACCTCTAGGATATGGAGCGGCTCATTTCGGCATAGAATAGAAGAGTCAAATCAGGATTTGTTGGCGATGCTTTCAAAATCACCACTTATCCTCGCCCTGGCTGGGGCTTTGTCCGCTGTTGCTGCCCCTAATGCATTGGTCCGGTCGGAGGAGCCATGTGCGAAAATAAGCAGTTTATATCGGCAGGCCGTAGAGGCAAATGGTAAGAATAGCGAGCTGCGACCATTCCCCCATTCTAACAGCATCTAGTGACCGAGCCAATTAAGGTTGACGGAGGGCTCGCCCATGAGTGTCTGCACTCCATGCCATTTGATGCGCAAAAGGCGGCAAAATTTGTCTCGGAGTTAACTAAATACATTCAGCTTCAGTCAACGATAGAGCTTCTAAAAGTTAGGTAGCAACCAGTTGTCAACGATAAGCCTGACTTGCCTAACAATTTACTACTCTAGACCCCCCAGCCGGATATCTCTCTGAACCAACAGACCTACTTGGGGGTATGGATGATGTACTTGCTAAGGCTATGAACAACCAATTCTCTAGCCACTATGATTTCGAAAATGCTATTCTGCGGGTTCTTCATTCTGCAAACGACGGACATTTGGGTGGCACCTTGTGCTCAAACACAATATTCCACTTCAGGAACCAGGTGCCCGTGATATCAATTTCATCCGATGGAGTACAGCTTCCCAAAGTCTATACATTAGGTATGTAATATGGAGTTCTCTGGTTAGGAGAGTAGCTGACGATCACGCATAGAGGACGCAAAGGTTCTTCAAAGAGACCCCAAGATCGTCTCCGCCGTTGCCACCATCAATGGCTACGACGCTGTATCGTACCTGAATCAGTACGCGGAGTCAGACCATTTACAAGACCCAGATGCGAGATATAACCATCTCTTTCCCTCAAGCGCCCGTTATGTGGCCCAGCAAGGGCAGGAGGGCACTTGGACGTTTAACAATGGGCTATGGCCTGGCTATGCCTCACAAAACGTAACATTTGCCAACGGAACATCACTGGACATGCCAACAACCGCTCAGATTGCACTGGAAGACTTTGAGTACCGCAACGGCAGTGCTCTCTGGGAGGGCGTTTGCCTAGCGCCATCGGCATCAACATCCGATGACACCGAAGATAGTCTATCAAAGAGGTCCGAGACTACTGGGAAGAAGGCGCCGACCATGTATCCAAAGCCTGTCATGCGTGATGCGTATAACACAATCTCGGGGTACTTTCTGGAAGACGAGCTCAAGGATGTCGCCGTTCTTTTCGTGCCGAGTTTTGAAACAAACAAATATGAGGGAGACCCATTAGCGTTTGCGAACCACGCCACCGACTTTGTGAAGAAGGCGGTTGCTTCCGCGAAGAAAAAGCTGATCATTGACGTGTCGGGGAACCCCGGTGGTAACACTGCTTCTGGATATGACTTATTTCGAGTTTTCTTTCCCCAGGCGGAGATGTACACAGCATCTCGTATCCGCGCGCATGAATCTGTCAATCTCATTGGACAAGCACTGTCTTCATTAACCAAAGATACCGATGGCTATGGAGCGGAGGGCATTGCTCTGTATGACCTTGTTTCTCCGAATCAAACGTACCATTTCCAGTCATGGGAAGAATATTACGGACCTCAGCAGGTGAATGGAGCCAACCTCAGTCGCATTGCCGCAAGCTTCGACTTTGAGGTGATATCTAGCTGGGAAACTCCTATCCGTGGCTATGGTCCTGTCAAACTGAACGACACTACCACCCCTTTCGCACCCGAGGACATCCTTATTGTACGTTATACACTTTCTGTGCAAATATGTATTGAGCTAACCCTTCAACAGGTGACAGATGGATATTGCACGTCAACATGTACCCTTTTTGCAGAATTGATGACTCACGTAGGTGGTGTCAAGACTCTAGCCTTTGGTGGCCGGCCACAAAACGGCCGTATGCAGGCAATAGGAGGATCTAAGGGCAGTCAGGTCGCCTCATCAGTTTTGATTGATATGTGGGTTGAGGGAGCCAAGTACCTTGCTGAGAAGTCCGCGCAGGATGAAAAGCCCTTGCTCAGTCTCGAGCAACGCAAGGCCCTGAAGGCTTCTGCTCCAGCAGTAGAGGAGCTTCCTTTCAACCTGCCTTCCTTGAGTGTCAACTTGAAAAACTCATATCTCCGCGACAACCACGAGATCCCGGTTCAATTCCTCTACGAGCCAGCTGATTGCCGCCTGTTCTACACCTGGGAGAACTACAAGACCCCCGCGACTACCTGGACGGCCGCCGCTCGCGCTTGGTGGGGTAATGGTACTTGTGTGCCTGGTTCTTCTGCGGGCAAGTGAGTGTTTTCCCGAGTATACAAAGCGATGGGCACTTCTATTGGTATATATCTCAAAATAGATTTGATATGAGATTTCGAGATCGGTTGTAACACGATTCTTGAAGACGCCCGCTTGGTTTCACTCACATTCCCCTTTACTTGTATCAATAGTCTCACATTTATGTATCTTTCTTGTTCGAGACCAGCTTTATGGAGCGACCAGGAGAGCGAAGGAATAATAAACTTTTGGAATTTAGAAATAATCAGATATTTTAGATTAGCTAAGTAATGGGAGTTTGCATTGGCTCATATAGATAGGCGTTCGATCATAAAAGAGGGTCTGAATGGCACTACTACCACAGGCATACAATCTGAACGCGAGACCTTCTGTGCGTTGCATTTTTGGAAGCGTTCATTGTGGCCTCCCTTGACTAGCACCAGATTAAACAAACTTTTGATTCGCTGAAACTTCCGGTTGTATACAATGTCCTACTGAGCAAGTACTAGCCTCAAAGGAAGTCATCCTGACATGGCTAACACCAGAACATGAACGATTGATATGAGGGTCAGCTCGATGGAGAAATATGAGTACCCGGTGGACTCTATATTATTATGTTGCCGCAACGCCGGGGGGCAGAGCGCCTGTCCACACTGGTGACGAATGGCAGGGGCAAACATTCTGCAGTCTGACGAATCTGCTTGCCCTATACACAGAATTAACATCACACCATGTCTATATGCGTTAAATAAGTGGCAAGTGGCCACTTGCGACCGTTAGCCTTATCGTCATGCGTGTGGTTTATTCTTCTGTTATACTATTTGCCGGTAATTGGCCACGATCACGCAATTCCGAGAGATCTGACGCTTTGCTGCGATATTATCTTCCCCGCATGGTCTGACTTCCATGGATTAGAAATCGGATCAAGGTACAAAATCTTAAGGTTATACTCTTTTAACGAACACTTACCTAGGGATCAAGGAGAAAGTTACAATGGTTGGGATGTTACGCGTTGTGATTAAGAACCACGTTTATCCACAACACCCACGCTATACATAGGTAGGAGGTATACAACCGAGAGAAGATATCCTGAATCTAATAAGCGAACGTCAGAATAAGGCGTCATTTTAATGCCGGTATCGTCATATATTTCTGGAGCCAATCAGCACCAGAGGGCACGAGTAAGATGTCTATGAGAGACTAATATAAGGAATGCAATAACCCCCCATCCTAGCTCCGAGCAAGTCATTCAAAGCCCAGGAAAGAATTATACCAAAGCCCGTCACAATGCCTGTTGAATTTATTAGTCTGACGTTTCCGAACGCCTCCACCGAGATCAAGCCAATTCCCAATGCCACGATCGATCCAGAATATCTGGAGCGCTACGCGCGAAACCTAGATGACTATGGATTCAACTACACATTGGTGCCTTACGACTCCTCCTACTTCGATCCCTGGACGGTAGGAGCCACTATTGCCGCTAAGACAAAGAACATCAAGATTATCATTGCTCTCCGGCCGAACACATTGTATCCCACCGTGGCAGCCAAGGCCCTCGCGACACTGGACCAACTCAGTTCCGGTCGTGCGGTGGTGCACTTCATTGCCGGAGGCAGTGATGCCGAGCAAGCAAAGGAAGGCGACTTCCTGACCAAGGAGCAACGGTATGCCCGTCTGGAGGAGTATATCCGAATTCTCCGCCGGGCGTGGGAATCGCCAGATCCATTTGACTGGGATGGCGAATACTACAAGTTTAAGCAGTTTTCTAACAAAGTGCGTCCTACAAACGGGACGATCCCTGTCTCTGTTGGCGGATCTTCCGACGATGCGTATCGGATCGGAGGTGCACTAGCCGATATCTTTGGCCTTTGGGGAGAACCCTTGAAAGAAACCAAGGAGCAAATTGACAAAATCTATGCCGCAGCCGAAAAGGCTGGTCGGTCAGACCGGCCACGTATCTGGGTGACCTTCCGACCCATCATCGCGGAGACCGAAGAGCTGGCCTGGGCGAAGGCGCACCGTACCCTGGATGCGCTTCAGGCAAACCGACCCGGCGGCCAGGGTAACGCGCCTTCTCAGCCACAGAACGTTGGGTCCCAGCGGCTGTTGGATATTGCAGCCCGTGGTGAGGTGCACGATCGCGCACTTTGGTATCCGACCGTTGTAGCCACAAACGCTCGGGGTGCGTCCACTGCGCTGGTTGGGTCTCACCAGACGATTGTGGACTCGATCTTGGATTATGTTGACTTGGGCGCGGAGCTGATTTCCATCCGTGGGTATGATAACCTCAACGATGCGATCGACTATGGGCGGTATATTCTGCCACCAGTCCGTGAGGCACTACAAGAGAGGGGAGTGAAGTCTGCGGCTTAGTTGCGGAATACGCAATGTTGTAGCTGTCATTGAGGTAGCTCGAGCTCTTATCTTGGAAGTGCTTGAACCATACTGTGCCCCGCGGCCCGCTTTTCAAGGTGATGTAAATTTTACTTAGTTAAACTGGGAATCGGACTCAGAGAAAGACTCGTTGATTGATACCCGATAGAGAGTATATGAAGCTGATATCGGCCAAGTTGTACCTGTCTAGCAATTGCCTTAGAAATAAATCATTTTTAGAAGCCCTTTCTAAGAGAAAAAACACAGTCGTTCTAGTACAGTAACTCCCGCATGATCCATTACAGTATCCTTGGAATCGGACGAGGTACCATGCGATAGTTTAAGGATAGAGCCAAAGCCATTCGAGAATCAAGGTTTAACTGAGATCAGACACCCTGCGTGGCTTTCTGCGCTGACAGAAGACTGGTGAATAGCTGAGGGATAACGCGAGAACCAGTGGAATACGACGCCCTAAAACGGACCGGGCACTGTTGCCCGACCAGGGCCTAGCTCTAGACCCTGCATCCTCTCTATGGAAGTCCTCGAATCTGTGAATGAAACCATGATAGTGCGTGAACTAAAGTTGCCTACCGTTTTGGAAGTGTAAAGCAATGTAACGGTGAGGACTGACAGGGATTCTAAACTGATGCAGTTATGCTTACTCACGAGATATAAACGCGTGATAGGAATATGATACCTATTAGCTTTGCACCGCGGAGGGATATGGGGTGACACACGAAGTGCAATGAAAGCCCGTCGAATGCTCTGTACAACATTGAATTGAATCTAGAACCCCCTTTCCTCTAGTGTATATGTTATATAAGGGTCCATATCTCTGTGTCTAGTTTGATTGATCGAAGTAACCAGAAAGGTCGACCTCCTGTATCGACGCACTACTTACAGCACTGAATTATATTACAATGAAGACGACTACGGTTTCCTTGTTCATTCTTCAGGTTCTTTTTGCCAGTCTTGCAAGTGCAACACCTCCCCCAGAGGGTCAATCGTCAGCACCTTCTGACCGAAAGCTGGCACAAACGACCTCTCAGCATACTGGTGTAAGTGAGCTAGACTATAAGGCCAAGGTAATGTGTCGCTGACCATCTCAAGACATGTAAGCTTAGAAAGAAGGACGGTGAGTGGTGACTCATGGATAGTAACTGTCTTGACTGCACACACAACAACATCTTTTCATGCCTGATCTCTGACAAGATACGATGACGATGATACCACAGGACCGAAGGGGGCGCGTTGGTCCGACTGTGAAATTCCTGCAGGAAGCTCATCTCAGAGTAGGCAAGCGAATAGATGGGTGATCCGCTGTGACTATCGATATCCAGTAAGACAAGTGCCGAAAGTATATGAGACATATATACTAATGCCACCAGTGTCCGTCGGATGGGACGTCCTGTTTTGCGAACATAGTACTTACTGAGAATGGAGCTCTGAAAGAGGTCGATGGGCTAGCATACTGCCATGGCTCTATGGTAGTGCCCTGATCTTTTTGTGTTAATACTCTATCCACTGGTAGAGTCTGAACAGAGCAGGAATGCTGGGAGATATATGTGCCGATCGCATCAACACGCCCCGCCGCTCGGGCGAAGGCTCATTTTTTGATCCCATACGTTAAAGCGTCGTCGTCTGTGTCAGATCAGGAAAATGTGCTCACTATTTAATGGTATAGACTAGCACAATTCAATATACGCAATTTGTCACAGGACGTAATATGTGAGATAAAGAGACATCCATACTTGGCACATAGACTAGGTTGCAAGGTGCTGGCTAGTCATTCCTACAGCGGCTTCACATTTCCTGATCTATGCTGGGTCAAGGTCTTTGACTGAATTGCAAGGAAACTCGACATTTTTGCGACTGGGGAGCAAAAATGTCAGAACAAAGTGAGACTGCCCCGGTCTTTGGATCCCCTCCGCTCTCCCTCGTACGCCGCTCTTCCGACAAGGCCGTACAAACCGTTGCTACTCATCTTTATTGACCATCCACCAAGGCTTGGAATGTCGTGGATGACGGTACATTATGTGAAAACTCCACAGCGTGCTAGATTCGAGATCCCTCATATCTAGGTTCATGTAGGTATGTTATTAGATGGACATCCAAAAGAAGCTGCCGATTTCATGCTTTAATACAAAGTTGCCATCACGCTTCATTTTATTTTGGAAGGATCTGACCCTTTCAAGTGGCATGATAAAGTGTGCTTGGAATGAATGATGCTATGCATGCTTCCAACAGACTCAATTGCAAAACACCGTCCTTACCCCCAAGCCTTAACAATATGCCACATGATTCGATACTCTGACCTCAAACAATTCATCAGTATAGTTTCACAGTAGTAGATGCCGTCTTCGTACAATGGCTTATTTCAAATCTTGGTTTTGCTCAAAGTCCAGTACAGTGAAGCTCTTCACCCGACTCTCGAGCTTCACGGTGCCCACCTCGTGAACAGAGAACGCCAGGTCCTCGCATTCATCATCGGAGAAGAAGAAAACTTTCTGGCCTGGAAGGAGCTCATTGATGGTGACATGGAATCCTTTGGGCAAGAGAGTCCTGGCGCAGACATCGGTCTCGGAGCTCTTCCAATAGCCGGTGGTGACCTCCCACGCGGAGGCGGCGAGGGGGAGGAGGGCAAGGGCTGCAGCAAACTTCATATTGTATTTGGGATTTATATGTAACGGTGAACAAACAGTCACTTGTAAAGTCAAGAGTTGATTAAGGGTTATCGGGGGGTTTTGGGAACACTGTCCTGGATATAAAGACATCGTATACCATGTATCACAGGGATAGTTTCAATGGGTATTTCCGCAACCAGCCCTTTGCAGATGTGCTCCACCATGCAGATCGCCAGCATTTCTTACCCATTGATTGGATGTAGTGAGGAAGCCAGTACGCAAGGGGTGAAGGTACATTCTTCGCCGCTTTCGGCCGGGATGAACCCAAACTTGCTCGCAACCCCCGCAAATATTGATTTGTGACAAAACTTTACTAAATGTCATGTCAGGTTCAAAATAGTCGGGCATAAGCAGTGTAGGTTAATCTCAGCTCCTCAGTCTCTGGCTGCATATAGAAACTAACTTTTGTGGCGGCAGAACCCTGGCGAGAAATATGGATCAGGATTATGGATCGGACAATGCTGTACCCCCTGATACATTAGGTGGCAGACTGCCCCTCGAGATAATCAAATCCAGGAACCACCCCCTTAGTGTACTATACTTCAACCTATGCTTTAACACCTAATAGAAAAGAAATGGTCCACTTGAATGAACTGTCCGGGAAAAACTGCAAGGGGTGACATGGTTTGAGACTTTGCTGTCCTGCATCCGTCGTGCTCCTCAGCCAGCCACAACATTTTGCAATAGGTTACAGAAAAAGGGCAAAGGAAAGACAGATTCCTGTTACCTTTGTCACTGCCGCTAACTAGCCTGATATGGCATTAGTGTGCATCAAAAAGGTAGCATTACTGGCTTCAGCAGATCTCCAGGGCTTGGGACGCCCCAGCACAGCTAATGAAGCAATAGCTGTATTAGCTGAAAGTTTTATCCACTATGCCGCAGAATGTCCGTACGAGTGTCATATCTGGATACGCAATCATATTCTTAATTAAACCACCAAAAAAACGTACATTGCTAGACACCAGTTCACCAATGCAGCGTTATTCCTTCCACTCGTCTCTGCCTAATCTTACTATATCAGCCTGCTCAAGAACCCAGTATTTTGACGGTGCATTCCCCGCTTCCGCCATACGAGCAGCTGCAACAGCTGCTCTGCCAATAACGGCTTGATCCTGACCTGCACCTTGAAATCAGTACACAATACTCCTAAGAATTCAACAGCTAACCAAAGTAGTCCCTACCTATCATGTCCTGGACGCCCTGTCCGAGCTTATTGAGGCTCTGCACAATGTTCTCCAACAATGCAGCCTTGGGCTTTTCCCTTTGGATGATCAGGCCAGGCCTCAGGATGATACTATGATCAAAATCGAGTTGCTCGATGGCATCCTCCACCCCAATCTTCATCTTTGAGTAAGGGACATATCGCGAGAAGAGGCCTCTAGTCCCTCCACTAGAGATGAATACGTAGGTGTTCACACCTGCATCCTTGGCTGCTCTGGCGTTGTCTATGCACAAGTCGTGGTCGATCTTCCATTGGTTCTGGATTCCGCCAGCTGCAGCTCTCGTCGTTCCGACTGCGTTGAAGACGACTGATGGCTTCGGAGAAAGAGAGGCGATCATGCCGCCCCATTTTGAGCTCTCTCTTTCTTCAAGGGCCTGCAGCTTGGGAGATTGGGCATTTGGCAGTCGCCTTGAAACCGTTTTGACTGATGAGAATGCGTCTGAGGCAAGGAGTGTCGCGAGTATCTGGCCACCCACAGCTCCTGTACAGCCAAAAACTGCTGCGGTCGTCATGGTAGGATCTTTATCTATAATAGCTGTCCGATTGGGACACGAAGCACATTGCAGGACGAGAAAAATATAATGTTCACAATTTCGTATTAAATATGTAGGGAAAGATTAGGTAGCAACCAAGACGTCATCAATGCCAAGCTGTCGTATAAATGCGAATTGGCTTACGTTATGCATCATAACTAGTAGACTCGGAATATGCCGAGGCAAAAGATACCTCGCTAAGGACTTTGGGCCGCTGTCTATGAAATTGAAACCCCCCAGGGTTCATCTATAGAGAAGGCGAAATGTACGCCTTTATATACAGATGACTAACGCTGGTTGATTTTCTTCCCTCCATGAAAAGCGATAGGATGCGACAAAGGCCGGAGGCTATCGACGGGATAAAAACATGACTGATGGCGAACGAAAGAGCTGCAGCTCCTTGGTGTTGCTGGTGGAAATTCAGAGTTTTCAATAGAGTGCTCCCTGAGCTGGAGGTTAAACTCTGAATCTACATTTTGTCCAGCACTCACACAGCCAAGGTAGTTAAGATATTGAATCTAACTCGTCGATAATATCTGGCTCAGGTGTTCTTCGAGAACATATTCACGACAGATATTATCCCTTCTATTTCAGATAATATCAATACAGAGAAATATTGTGATTCCAGTGCGTAGGCCCAGCGCTCGACGTTCATACACTACATGTACTGGCGACTCTCTAGCCACTCTTGTAGTGGGTGACGGCCTGTGCAGCGGTCTCAAATACTTTCCGAACCCCCTCCAAAGTGGCAGCTGAGCATTCAACGTATTTCATAGCCCCAATTTGGCGACATACCCTGATAGCCTCCTTTGGGGTGACCTGCACCGTTGCCACCTGGGAGACCTCATCACTCGCCTTTGGCTTTTCATCAGATCGCAGATTTTTCTTCCGCCCCAGGAACTTCGTCATCGTCTGCAAGAATGCAGTACTCGCTTTCGGATTCTCTTCACGACGCAGATCCTTCTTACAGCCAACTAATATAGTCGGTATATCACCACAGAAATGCCGAACTTCGGGGGCCCAGCTTGTGGCCACGTTGCGGAGAGATTCAGGCGAATCGATGGAGAAACAGATCAAGACAACATCACATGAGATATAGGAAAGAGATCGCAACTTGGCGAATTCTCCTTGATTAGCAGTATCCCAAAGGGAGATCAGGGTCCGGCTCCCCGCGATCGGGGAGACAACCTCCTCAAGGTCTAACAAGGTAGGTAATTCACCGCTCACAGGCCTGGCTTGTGTGAAGGCAGTAAGGAGACTAGTTTTTCCACAGCTTGTATCACCGATGACTACAAGCTTGCGAGTGATATTACTCATGACGGAACCACTTCATCAATATGCAGGGGTATGTTTTGTAAACATGAGATTCCGCTCGAGTGGATAATTTCAGACGGGATGACTCATGTCCCGATATGCCGAGGTAAAGGCGTGCGACTCTGTTTTGCTTCTGGTTAGTGGCTAGCCAATTGCTGCTGGTTTCATCCGGGGATTTATGGCCTAGGGGTGTGAAGTCGTGCTGGGCGCATAGATTCCATATTTTAGTTATAGCCTCCAGGGGAGATCTGAAAATTCATTTTCCCCAAATATGGAAGGTGAATATCAACAGGCCTACGCGGGTAGCCTATCGTAGGGGCGCTCCTTGAATGTATAATAAGTTTTGGCAATCTTAATGCAAAATGTATCATTAAGTACGGGTGCTATTTTGTAACGAGACATGATGTCCACAGAAGAATTGTTATGCCAGGGCAAACCACAGGCTGTTGACTTGCAACGCCTCCGACTCAGCCAACACAGACTTAGATATACAACCAACTGTCCTAGTATATCTGGCTTTTCATGAAAGACTTAGCAGATTCCCTGGCGTTTGACAACACTGGGTCAACTATGTTTCCTATGCAGAGTTGATCTGCCCAGGAGCTTCTTGACAGCACTCTTGGGTTTCATGATTCAGATCCAAAAAAGTTGCCAAACTATATAGGCTAAGTTTATGATGATGCCGCACGAAGTATCCAACGTAGAATCTGTCATAATGTGCTGCGATGTACTTAGATATAGCTATGTGATACATTGACCCACAAGATATATTCGCAACATTGTCAATTGATTGTAAATGTTTCGCTTCCAGTTTGAGTCTTTTGGGGAAGACCTTTTCCTGGAGGAGCTGATCAAGGGCCTCCGCTATAATCGTTTTATAGTCGACGGTAGTCGGTAATGTACCAAACTACAGGATTGCTATAAACGCAATAGCGGAAAAGACTGCGTTCTCCTTGGGATATTCCTCTGTATTGCCTAACGTATACGACAGCATGGGATGTAGTACTAGTACGCTCCTCGGTCGAGTGTCATCTTCTGCAGGCGGAAGTCTGGACTCTTTCACCCGTGCGGCCGAGGATTATATATAGTATCCCGAATAAATTGGTTAATCATCACAAAGCCACTGGCGGGCCGTATCCACAACCAGAGACATAGGCATTCTGCTACTTAAGTGTGAGCCACCCCAAGGCTAAGCTTCTATATGCCGAAGACATAGCAGAAAGTGATTAAGGGGACAAAGAACGGAGAGTCAGAACTACGAGTGCATAAATATTAAATGGTCATTTGCGGGTCCAGATGAGTAATCAATATTTGACCCGATCTCGGGCCCTCATCTCACCTCTGGCTTCATTTTCATCTTATATCCGAGAGTTGAACTTTGAGGTTGCAAGAAAAGGTCTTATTACGTCACACAGATATGCCTAAGCAGCCCTCTTCAACAAGAAATGTAAAGCAGCCCAAAGTCCGCCGTAACCACTCAGGCTGTCGACCATGCCGTAGAAGAGGAAAGCGGGTCAGTGAACATCCCACAATCTACTACCGATCTAAAGCATCTTCTAAACCGAACTCCTTCAGTGCGATGAGGAAAAGCCTAGCTGCGGGGCCTGCCAGAGGTTGTCATTGGATTGTAGCTACGGTATCGACTTTACTTTCCATAGCCTGGACAGAGCATTTTTTCAGACGCAGCTAGCAGATCAGAAAGCATCAACTCGATCAAGTACGATTTCGAAACGAACTACAGCGAAGATTGTGCAGGACCCGAAAATTAAGATTGGATTGCCTGACTACTTGAACAGACTGGCAACCTCTCATGCACCACCAACTGTCAGCACGCAACATGAGATAGAGCTTCGATACTTGAACCATTTTCAGACTCATGTGCGCCATCTCCTTCCAGCAGCTTCGCTGCAACTTGTCGACAGATCCCTACAGTCCCTTGGATTACGATTCGCCGTGCTTTGTATATCGGCATCCAATCTCTCAATGCTCAATGCAGGGGTTCAGAGCCGCGTTGTACCAAATGATAGCCGAAAGTCGGTTTTCAGCCCAGTCGTCAATGGCCTGCATCACAGTAACGCCCAAAAATATCACGATTTGGCGCTGTGGAATTGCCGCACTGCGGAGCATGACGGGATCAAAAATGAAGCACCTGCGCTACTCGCTGCACACGTTCTTCTGGCGTATTACCACCATGCATCCACCGATCATCTACGATTTCGATTCGCCGTGAAGGATGCTGTCCGATTCGTTTTGCAGAACAGGGCGACTATCGCCAATTCTCCAGATGGTCCTGACGCATTGCAAATGTGGTACCGTCTCTGCGCATCCCACCGACCAGCAAAGCCACCAGCCTTGCTTCTTGAAGGCGAGGGAGCAAGTTCCTTTGGGCCGAATCTTCTTCCAGATGTTACTGAGCATACCTATCTCAATTGCATCGTGGGGATGGGTGTAGACGATCTTATCTATGACATTCTTATCAAAACACTGGAAATCCGGACCAAGTTGGTGGTATTTCGTTGTGTGGCAGCCATCCGTCAGGTCTCTGAGACCTCAAGTGATATTGGCCCTCTTACACATGAAGTGATGAATAAAATGCTTGGGCGAGAATGCGGGCCGGATGAATATGCGGAAGCCCGGGATAGCTTTATGCGCGGTTCAAATTTGCTAGGCTTGCTGGATGTACAAAAGGAACGTTTGAAGGTTTGGCGATCGCGACTTAGTGCGGAACAGTTGCGAGCCCAAGGCGACTCTACTCCTTGCATACAAAGGAAAACGACCCCTGAAGTCTCAAACTTACCCATAGGCCAACAATTTCTGACCCATCGAGATGCCATGAACGCCTTGTACAGTTTGCTTTGCGAAATGGCATTCGAAGATGCCAAGCAAGCTTTCGCATCACACCACACGTCTACAGTTGTTGGAGCCGATCCTTCACATGTCATTGCCGATATGGCTTATAGTGCGTGCCACGTTGCTAATAGTCTTGATCTGGCCGTGTCGAATACGTCGGACATCTACACGCTGAGCCTAGCAGAGGTCTTGCTTCAACTTGTATTTCTCTGGCGGTCGGATGAGCTTTTTACCTACATCCTGGATGTTTTATGGCCCCAGCTTGAGACGCATGGAAAGGGCTACGAGCACTCCCACTACCCTACGCATCTCGTCAAGCGTATTATAACTCAAACTGCAGTATACTGGGAGCAAGGTCGAGTGGTAAACTTTGCCCTGCCAGCAGTCGCAGAGAATATATCGAAGTTAAGCCTGTTGGATATTGACCACCCGATAGACCTGGTGGTGTGCGGATATAACACGGATGGCATGTATTTCATCGAGAAAATCCCGCTGCCTTGATGGTCTTTCTAGGTGGGTATATGCTGTCAAGATAACTACATCTGCTGTATACGTGCCGCGATGTGCCTTACAAACTCGTGTGAGACAATATATTGGTGTTACGCGCCCCGGCAACGACGGTACCTGCGGACTTTCGTTTCCGACTTGCGGTATTTGGTTGTTGCCCGCAAGGTTATGCGAACGTTGCTCCAGATCAACAATCCGAAGACCAAGATGTCCATCGATGAGAGGCTGGGTACGGAGGCTGGTAGCGGCCACTCCGCAACAACAGTACTACGGCCCACCTGGGCATCAGGAGCAACTGTTGTTAGCCAAGGTTAATCATTTCAGGCAGATCAGTCCTTTCTGAGGGCACCGGATTCTCATTTGTCCAGGCAATTGCCGGAGCCGTGGTCGTCACTAGTGATGGGGTGCCTCTTCCCCGGGTATCAGACAACTACCTTATCTAAGACTCCTACTTCAGAAGAAAAGTTCCCGTCAGTTAGTTGAGGGTGGTTCACTAGAGCTCGCAAAGACCCCTTCACCGTCAAGCCGCATTTATAACTTCTATCGGCGGCTAAATCAGTCTGATAACCTCGACCTCTTTTTAAACTTCGGCCAAGATAAGCGAGTACAAATATATAGTTAGCACCAGAAAACCCTTGATTGTAAAATTTTTAAAGAATAGCTTCAAGGTCTTGCTACTGGCCAGGGTTTAATTCAGAGTTGAGATAGCGATATCGTGGACTGAGGATATCAAAGACAGTAGACTGGCTAAACGGTGGTTGCACCGCCCCTTCAACCATGCTATACAAGCTTTTTGCGATAGACGATGAAACTGGCCGTAGTCCAAGTCTCTCAGACCCTTCCGCAGGATATCGGCTAAGCAAGAATGTTTGCTATGGACAAAATCACGCGCTCGTTAACCCCCCAGGCTCCTTCTCCTTCATCGCAAACTGCGCTGCTTCTTCCGCCGTGAGGTCCATCAACGGATTATTCTCCCCGGACTGAATATTCCGATAGTACGCCCGGATGATACTGTCGGCATCGTCAATCGCAATTGGGCGAATATCGGCTAAAGCCTTGATCTTATGTGTACACTCCTTGTATTGTTTGTCGGTCATGCTGATATTTAGCTGCTGCGCCCGGGATCGGATGGCGTTCCAACCGGTGAGTCGCGAGGCAAAGTGCACGTAGCGGGTCATGCCAAAGTCTGCGGGGTTAATGATCTCATATGTGCTGGGGTCGTTGAGGATGGCTTTGGCATGAATCCCTGGGATCCAGGTCAGTGTTTCTCTAGAAACTTGAGAAGAGGAGTACGTACCAGCCTTGTGAGTGAACGCACAAAAGCCCGTGATATAGTTGTTGAACGGGATATTAATCTGCACCGCCTCGGCAACAAGATCCTCTAGATCCTTAATCTTTTCAAGGCGGTATTTAGACTTCACATACTCTGGATGCGTGGCAACCATCCGCGCCATGAGCCCTCCCAGCGGGGTAATACCATTCCGTTCACCGATTCCTAGCACAGAAGTGTCAATGTGTGTTGCACCTGCTTCCAGGGCGCAATATGCATTTGCAATTGCACATCCAGCATCATCGTGGAAATGGGTCTCGATATCGCAGCTGACCACGCCACGAAGAACACGTATGAGCTCGTACACCTGCCGCGGGGAAGCGCAGCCAATTGTATCGGCAACGCCGACTCGATTTACGCCGACTTGGTCGACGGCGGAGTAAATTGAGAGGAGGTCCACTAGGTCCGAGCGGAAGGAATCTTCTGTTGAAAAGCGAACTTCTATTCCTTGCGACTTCACGAAGTTGATGACTTCAATAGCGGTCTTCTTGATGTACTCAATATCCTTGCCATGGGAATGCTGGCGCATGAGAGACGATGTTCCAATCATTACATCACTAGTTTATACTTAGACAAGCAAAGTAGTCGTGGGAAACAAGGACTTACACGCCATCAACGCCGGTGGCCACGGCAATTCGCGCGTCGTCCATATGGCATCGAATATGGGTTAGGATCTTAGCCTTAAGACCCAACTTGCAGATCGCCTCGCAGTCAAGCCTGGACTGCTCCGAGGCACACGGGTTCGTGAGCTCAATGTAATCAACCCCGAACTCATCTAGTGCCCTTGCAATCTCGATCTTTTTCTGCGTGTCAAAGAAGGCATTGGCAAACTGCTCGCCCTCGCGCAGGGTGCTCTCGATAATCTTAAACCGCGAGACATTGCTCAGAAAATCGCTAACCGCATTTCCGTGACCGTAAGGGTTACGATTCGCAGGGCTGGAGCCCAAGGCTGTCGAAGTTAGGAAATAAACGCTTCTCTTAGTCAAATCTCGTACCTGGCTCATATCACTCGCGCCGGACATCGTGCTTGTCTCTAGGGTGATCGCGGGGTAGTATAAAATGTAGGATTCAGAAACGACTTTTCGAACTATTTAAATACAGAGTTCTTACCGACTTTTGCCAGTCATTCACAAATGAGTCACGAAATCCTAACCACGATGGGCAAGAATAGGACGTTCTTCCGATGCATGCCGGACATTTTCCGTCAGCGTGTCGGGATTTTTCCGGGCTTTCAAAACTCCATGTCGCCTCCATAAGTATGGGGTCCGGTATATAGATCCCTCATTGCCAGACGAGTTTAAGGATGTTGATATACTTGTTAACAATGCGTGCGTTTTGGTCCATAATCTCTTGCATTCCTATCTAACTTGCAGTAACAAATTTTGAAAGCGGCCTAGTCAGAGGTATGGCTCAAGCGCCAGACATTGAGCCGGAGGATATGGCTGTAATATTCGACACGAACGTGACTGGCCTGATTAACATGACGCCAGCCATCCTGCCCATTTTCAAGACCAGACTTGATGGTGGGCGAGGGGACATCACCAACATCAACAGTATCACCGGCCGTGAGCCATACTAGGGTGGGGGTATCTACTGCGCGACAAAAGCACTTGGCTAATCCCTTATCCGTCCGTAGTAAAGCCAATATTGTCGGGGACTTCTACAACAAGAGTACAATATAAAGACATTAGCTAGGTACCCTTGTAGTCTAGGGTTCCTTAGGCCATACCAAGCGAACGCATGACGTAGCTTTTTGGTACTATACGGGTTCCTAAAACGAAAAATGAAACGTAGGGGTGACAATAAGTTTTGACTCTCACTCATGTTTTGCAGAGATCCGCATGGCACTAGCCCTGTTTGGGATATATTATACGCCCGTATTCTGTATTACGCCTGTGACCTTCGCCCTAACCGTATATAGTAAGCGATGTGCCTGTTGTCGACAAGTCTAACCCGCTTTGGAGAATAATTACGCCGGTACTGAGTTTACCGTTTTGTTGCTCCCATGAGGCTATGCAGATGTCGAGAAGACAGACGGACGTGCATTATTTAAACACTGTCGTGTGCCATTCTAGGCTCGAGCAGTGGAAGCATTTCTCTGAAACGCAATCGACAGAAAAAATGGCACGCGCAGTGTGGACAAAGCTTCTTTCGGACGACTCTATTCGGAGGTCGTCCCAAACCCTATCGGTTATTGAGGGCAATGCGTATCTGTATGGCGGAGAGCTACGGCCCCGGGAGCCGGTGGACTCAGCTGTCTATCGCATCGCACTAGACAACAGTGAGAATACATAATCGACCACCCAAGGACAACTCAATGCTAATCTCTCATAGAACTACCTTCGCATACTAGAGCGTCCACGATCGCCAGCACGTCCGAGAGTCCACAACCGAGAGTCGGGTCTGCATCGACAACCATCGATGGCAAAGTCTATGTCTTCTCGGGGCGTGGCGGCACTGCCATGTCTCCGATCGAAGAAGCCGGGTCATTCTGGGTATTCGATCCGAATACCAGCACCTGGGTCCAGGTGAAGCCCGCAGATCCTCAATCTCCTTACCCAGCGGGACGCAGTTACCATACTCTGACGAACAACGGCAAAGATACTATCTTTCTCCACGCCGGCTGCCCCGAGAAGGGCCGGCTTGGTGATTTGTGGGCGTTCAACATTCTCACTCGTCAATGGCAAGAACTAGCCCCAGCCCCCAAGCCAGAGAGAGGTGGCACATCCATTGCTTATGCGGAAGGGAAGCTCTTCCGGATGAACGGCTTCGATGGAAAGACAGAACAAGGCGGTGCATTGGATGTGTATGACCCCAAGAATAACATTTGGAACACCACCACGTATCCGGCGGATGGGGTTTCCGGTCCAGGTGCACGTAGTGTGAGCTGCTTGCTATCCCTTAAAGTTGCTGGGAAGCCGAGCCTTGTTACTATGTTCGGTGAACACGATCCTAGCAGTCTAGGACACCAGGGTGCAGGTAAAATGCTTTCCGATGTGTGGATCTTCGATATTCAGTCTGGAAAGTGGACGAAAGTCCAGGCGGATGGCGATAACGCCCCAGAAGCTCGCGGATGGTTCGACGCCGATGTCATTACAAACGCTTCGAAGGATAGTATCGCTGTCCACGGTGGGCTGGCTGAGTCGAACGAGCGGCTTGGGGATGTATGGAAATTGGATTTTTGATACTACAGCCAGTCGTCTGTCAATGCAGGAACTTGTCGGCATAGGACCGTGCTTCCAGATTTCATAGCACCGTTTTTTTTCTCCACATGAGCAAAGTCTTCACGAAACACCGGACTTTCCTTGCTCTTCTGGGTAGTTTCTAGCTGTTAGCAAGATTAATAGGTCCAGACTAGACATGTGGATCCGGCTAGGCTGTACGAGGGTAGTTCTCGAGCTCTTTCATTTAAAATCCTGTAATCGGTTGTGCAGAAGCCCTTGCCTAATGAAACCGTCGTATTACGAGCTTTTTAATAAGTACAGTACCCAGAAGTAATGCGTTACAGCGATTACCTCGATCCACCTCATTCTTACCCAGGTGGAGCAAGAGAAATGGCTGTTGTTCCGTGTCCACCGGAGACTGCTCGTATGGATGTACCAGCGAAACAAAGCCCCTATTACCGTGTGGTCATGGCGATCATACGCTTATATTTCATTTGTCCTTTTACCTTTTATTTACTTGAGATTGGATTATGTTTCTCATATCACGCCAGACTCTGTAGACCCGGATATTCACGGTTCCGTCCATCATCGAGGACTTAGCTTCTCCTCTTTACTAGTCTCAGAAAGGAACCTAAAAGACAGAGGCAGTCCACATCTTCAAACTGTTGAAAGCTTTTTCTATATCCCAAAGATGGCATCACGCGTTATCGAATCATTGACCCCTTCAGAGTATTCACCTCTTCTTTCTGGTGATCCTGAACCCACTCATCATCCACAGTCAACATTTCCTCACAGTCCGGACGAGCGTCATATACGCAGTGAAGTCCCTAGAACGCTTGCACGTCGCTTGTATATCTCACACTTTCTATCAACATGGAACTCTCGCGTCTTTGAGTTTGGGGCTGTGCTCTACCTGGCTTCGATTTATCCGGGAACTCTGTTACCCATGTCAGTTTATGCCCTCTCCCGAGGTGTCGCAGCGATTCTGTTTGCACCAGCGGTGGGCAATTATATCGATACTGGCAACCGGCTGCAAGTAGTTCGAGTCTCGATCAGTGTGTGATATCCATCGGATGCTAATTTGGTTGACTTATATACTTATCTAAACCAGTGCTACAAAGAGTCGTGGTTGCAGCCTCTTGCCTGATCTTCTACCTGCTTGCAATTGGTCTGCCGATGCTCAGCACGATAAATGATGTTTTGCTGGTAGTATTAGCGCTCCTTGCATGTGTTGAGAAGCTATGCTCCATTATGAATCTAGTATCTGTTGAAAGAGACTGGGTGCGTATACGAAGATATACCATGTCTACAAGCATGACTCTGATAGGATCTGTTAGGTTGTGGTTGTCGCAGGAAATGATCATGAAGGCCTCAAGAGTGAGTATAAGACTTGAAAAACAAGAAACACTGAGCACTAATGCAGTTAACACAGCCATGAATGCCCAAATGCGCCGGATCGATCTCATCTGCAAGCTCATCGGGCCGCTCGTCATAGCCTTAGTCGATGGTGTCTCGACTAAGACTGCCATCATATCCAATCTGGGGATGAACATTTGTTCTGTGGTTTTTGAATATTTTTTGATTGCCGCAGTGAGTGTTAATATCCCTACTTGAAATCGCGCGCAAATACTAGTTCTGACATGCGCCCTAAGGTATACTATGAGGTACCCGAACTCCAACAACCAAAGGCGAAAACATACCTCGACTCGCCAAACATGGAATCCGACCAGCAAAACAGCAAAACGCGCCTCTGGCGCTACTGGCATCGTCTCACACACAAGGCCCTCAGAGACTTCGAATCCTACTTTCGTCACCCTGTCTTCCTCCCCTCATTTGCCGGCGCTTTGCTATATCTGACTGTCCTCTCATTTTCCGGGCAAATGGTCACCTGGCTCTTATCGACAGGCTACGACTCGACACAGGTTGGCATCGCGAGAACCCTAGCCGTAGCATTCGAAGTCCTCGCAACATGGATCGCTCCTTGGCTGATGGGCAGAATTAGTCCCACACGTGCGGGTCTATGGTTCGCCAATTGGCAGATTGCATCCCTGGTAGCTGGAATGGCCATCTTCTGGGTGTTCCACGACCAGCCTCTGATCTCCGCATCAGGACTCGTAGGAGGGACCATCCTCAGCCGGGTCGGGTTGCGAGGCTTTGATTTGTGCGTTCAGATCCTCGTTCAGGAGGTGAGTGTTTTCGATACCGGCTGCGAACGGATCAGCCTTGTTTCCTGTATCCTATATACCGCAAGGGGAAAGACATAAGGCTAACGTACCGCAAACGCAGTGCGTGGAAGCCGAAAACCGAGGAAGTTTCTCCTCGGTAGAGGCTGCGTGGCAGAATGCGTTCGAGATCGGTTCGTACGTCTCGACTATTGTGTTTTCGAGACCGGATCAGTTCGCATGGCCAGCTCTTATCAGTGTGGTTGCTGTTGGCCTTGCTGGGGTGCTTTATGCGGTCTTTGTTCGCATGCAGCGTGGCCATTTGATACATGTGCCAACGTGGATTGCAGCTCCGGGAATGCTGCAACAAATGAGGGAGATGTGTATTGAGAGGATTTATTCGTCGTCGGAGGTCTAGCGTGGGTATATTGGGGGTGGATACCGGCCATGGCTGTCACGAATGCTATTCGTGTTTCTTGGCTGCCTGGAGATACACATATAAATAGAGCGTCCTAGGGCTAAGCTCGAAAGATGAGGACATTGGGAATATTGCGGACCATCGATTACTGTATGGACTGGAGTAAACAATAAATACAAGAAGGAAAAGGTAGACAAGAATGGATAGGCCGTGAATAAGAAAGGAAAACAAACGAAGTAGTAAAGAGGGTCCACAACCAAGAGCCGTCTCAGGAGAACCCTCAAGCCGAATGGTAAATGAATGTGTGCTTTCAGCCCCAGATGCTCCACCATCGATGACTTCCTCACCGAGTAGATCGGCCATCCTTCATTGTATGCCGCATTGCTAGTCGAGTCTTCCCGACTGCCTACGTTTTCAAAGGTATCATGAGAATATCATCAACGTTCTCTCCGGCGTCCTTTGCCTCTTGCAGATTCTTCGGCGGCAACTTATCCCCCTCTTTATGATCGCAGGTATGGCTAGGTCCACCGGCCTCCCGAATGGCATCTTCAACACAGCCGTTCTTGAAGCCGGTCATTGCGAACGTAACCTTCTCAGTGTTTCGCTCTCTGCCTTCGAATTGTGACTTTTCATGCTTGTACCAGAGGTAATCATTGATTCTGAAATTCACGAAGAATCCGTTTTTGTGACATTTATTCCTCAGGGTGTCAGAGAACGACTGCCCATCAGTCCATCCGTTGATACCAGCAATCCTAAATACAACCGTGTTATATCCATTGTCGTTCAATATATCACAGGAGGCAGATGGCTTCGCCGCAGCGGAAGTCCAGGAGGCCTCGGCGGCCTCGGAAGCAGACTTCGATGCGGCAGCAGATGCATGCACAGCACCCATGTACGACACAAATTCTGCCATCCGAGACGTAGAAGCAGATTCCGCGGCGGAATAGGAAGAGGCGATAGATTCCACGGTGGAGATTACCTTGGTTTCTCCGGCGCATTCGGCTGTTGCTTTGTCGCCGTCGGGGGACTTTCCTGAGGCGCAGGACACGACCTCCCCATTGGACTGTGTCGTCGTAACTGGTGGCGGCACATTAGACGATGCTGCGGTAGGCGTGGGCGTAGGAGTACCCATGGGGACGAGCGAGGGCCCAGGCGTAATCATCGTTGATACTGGGAATAGAGGCCTACTGCTGGCCCCGCCGTATATGGGAACTGGTCCAGCGTTCACCAACGGGCCACTAGATGGGTAGTTCACTTGCCCTGGTACGACCATAGGCCCTCCCTCCACCGCATTGGGTTGAACAATCTGCCCGCCGCCGGGGGCCCTGTGCGCCATTGAGGACGGAATCCATCGTTGCGCCTGCAGGAGGCATAGCTAGGCCCATGTTGTTTGCTGGCTGCATATTGCCGTTATTCATATTGTTGTCCATGCCCATATATGCGGCATTCTGGGGCGGACCCGCTTGGGGATAGTTTGGTACTATAGAGCCCGCTGGGGGAGCGATGTTGTTGCCGTACCCATTGTATAGGCCATTTTGACCAGGTCCAGTCAGGCCTTGGTTGGGTTGCGGTAGGCCTCCAGCCGGAGCCATATTGTCATTAATACCTCGCTGTAGCCCATCCTGGACAGGAATTGCCTGAGCAGAGTTAACTGGCATGGGTGCTGCAGGTTGGTACATGTTGTTTTCATTGCCATTTGTTAATCCACTGTGAACAGGCTCTGGTGGAGGTGAACTGGATGCAGCCACGGGGTAAATCATATCGTTGGCATTACCGCTGTCCATTCCATTGACCGGGGCGTTCTGGATAGAGTCTGACCCTGGCTGCGGACTCACATTGTTCACCGCGTCATTGGCATGCCCGTCTAGAGCTTGGGCGGGCAGATTATTTGACGCGGACATTCCTCCTGATTGATCAAGGCCATTTTCAATGCCATGTTGTATTCCTTTAGCAAGGCTTCTACCGGGAGAGCCTAAGAGAGGGTTATTGGCTGAGCCACCGCCAACTTCAGGCGCTTGAGCCACGGGTGCTTGTACCGCTGGAGCTTGTGGAGCTTCGACTGGGGCATTACCCACTGCATCAGCAATCCCCTGAGCACCACCACCAACCGCATTAGCAGCGGCTGGAGCACCAGCACCTACTGTTCCACCAACAGCTTCAGCACCTCCAGCAAGCGCTCCAGCACCGGCTCCAGCACCAGCGCCGAATATTCCGCTAATAATTCCAGCTCCTCCAGCAGCCGCACCAGCAGCCGCGGGGACACCAGCACCGACTGCGCCACCCGCAGCTTGAGCACCTCCAGCAACAGCTCCAGCAACAGCGGGGGCACCAGCACCGACTGATCCACCAACAGCTTCAGCGCCTCCAGCAGCCATACCAGCAGCGGCTGGAGCACCAGCGCCAATAGCGCCAACAGCACCGCCAGCAACCGGAGCGGCTGCGGGGGCTTGTGGAACAGCTCCAGGCTGAGGGCTAGCAGGTGAAGGGGGCGTGTTGCAGCGGAATAGACAAGGAATATCAATTGCGTCAAGCAAGCCAGGCAGGTTCAAATATGTACCCTCACTCTCAATTCCGAGCAACCCCAGTCCGTCAATCACCGGAAGGATGGTTTGAATCCCGTTTAGCGCGGTTCTTAGAAGACCGTTCTGGTTGGCCATAGACTCAATTCTCATTGTGGAGAATCGAGGTGGGACCTCCGCGAACGTTGGTAGGCGTGGTGCCCTTGTTATAGGAGGGATCGTGTCGTCGTCTGTTGTGGTGTCAGGAGACTCGTCTGCTGCGTTGGATGAAGGAGTTGCGTCTGGGGGCGAGGCAGAGCCTGGTGTAATTGAAGCACCATTGCTATTGCCCGCAGGGATGGCAGGAGCGGTAGACTGGGACGAAGTATCAACAAGGTGGCTTGAGGAAGCGACGCCCCCAGTGACACTGCCTGGCGTGGACGAGTATGCGGCATCACTAACACTGGCTGATGGGGTGGCTGGGCCATTAAGAGCATCGGGAGCCTGGACTGGGCCTCTCTGATCCGCATTTGCCTCGATGAAATGCCCTCGGTCAATCGGAATGCCATTTGAGGCCATTGTTGGCTTAATAGGTCTGTCCGTGGTCCAAGTTACTATAATTGTTGAAGTTATGACCTCTTGAGAGCCCACAGAATTGATGACACTCCCATAGGCTGGACCTGGTGGATTGACCGGGGGATTCGGATAAGGACCATCCCCAACTGCGTTTTGGGGATTGATCACATTTTGGGCCGAGGGAGCGATATTGCCACCAATGTCGACATTTGTAGATCCATACGAGGCCCCATAGGCGCCGTTATTGGTATTCTCGGAGGCTCCATCCACGCCGTTACCGGTAACATCCGAGTACTCATTGCCTGCCGGCAGACCGAGAACATTCTGTACTAGCAACAGTACTAGAGGGATTGATTTCTCGTACATGACTAAAGAGTGTTGTACGACTCACACTGTAAATCGAAAGGTCGTAGAGGGAAGCTGAAAACAAGGTCATAAATGTAACGACTGTTAGGGCCAACTGTAAGTTGTGCTTAGAATGAGAGAACGACAATTGAACGAGTGGCAGTTTACTCTAAGTGGAAGCGTATTCCAGCCATAGGGACCGAATATACGACAAAAGAATAACGTTGGGATGTGGGTTCATCCCCTAATTTATCAACGGGGGACCGCTGTCCATATGAGAAGAGGGCAGATATTAGTGTGTCGGCACCCTAAATCCACTCAACTCGTGGATTGCACGTATCTACAGAGTGCCATTGTAATATCGAGCTTATAATATGGGTTCTTTGTTTCTCGGGCACGGTTTTAGTAGGTTCTGCGTTTGAAGCTTGGCAGGGGCATCCAAGATGATGCCATTTGGGTCTAAATATATCAAGCATTCACATAGTATCATGACGTTCATCAGTCAAGGGGTCGTTTCCAGTCATGGTCCCCAGAGGGTTATATCCAATTAGGTCAGGTATGATCAGGTACTAAACAAAGAAACATAGGCCGTTTGAGAGTGCATGATGAGTCCATAGCGCTGGCCAGGGCTTGGACGCCCGGAACCCTAATGGTACGATCAAAAACGTGATTCGCGGAGACTCTTCGCCCAATGTCCACCAAACGTTGCCCGGTGCTTTTAACAAGATGGCCATAGAAGTCCGCATATGACGCCCAAACAATACACGGATTAGTCTCCATTCATATTGACGATTGCTACCACGGTGAAATACTACCTATACTTACCTCTATTCCGGGGTCTCAGTTCATACAGCAATCTTACATTCCCCGTCCTGTCTTATTAAAGGAGTATACTATATTATTAACAGAAATGAATGTAACCGTCGGATAACGACTTAGAGTTGTTTAAGGGTATATATCCTGATCTACGGGCAATTACTAAACTACAGACCTCTGGTCCTAACAAGGGTTCGCGTCATTGAGATTGACATAAACGTTTGCACCTGCTTGAATCTCGGAACCTGCCTTTAGGATGTCATTTCGCTCCAATCTGGGGCAAGGGGTTGGTAATTCTCATAATCTTCCCATGAAATGGAAATGAGATTCTCTTCGGCAACGGCCGCTCTGTATTCCCACAGGGGGGCTGTTGACACAATAACATTGGTTAGTAGGCATTCCATCAATGTATACGATGGTGTATTGCATGAAAGCCTTGCACATCACCAAATACCAAGGTCCGACCCGACTAAACCAATAGGCTCGGTGAGCTTCGCACATTTTACGCCGTGTTCTAATACACAAAGCTCTGCTTAACTCCCAGTGTTGAATATACCAATATTCATAATTATCACTATCATGATCCACCGATTTTCCTGTATCGCCACGAGTCGAATCATCCTATCCTTCGTGGAGTGGGCCCATGAGCCAAGGTGGTATAATTCCATCTTAACCTCATGCTCTCCGACAGTTCCGAGTTGTGGTGTTGGATTTGTGAGGTATGCTATCAGGGCAAGGATGGTGGTATGGTACTAATATATTGGACTAATGAAGAAGCAATCCTTCCATAGCAATGCCAATATCATCGATGCTCGGTCCCTGTTATAGAGGCAGTCGTCTACTAATCGTAGATTTCCCTTCTAGCGATGCGCCGAGTACGCCCTAACATTGGCAGGTCTGCGAAGTAATATGAGATACAAGACAAACGGAGACAAACTGTGGGCCTTTTACTATGGAATGATAACGTATCTCTATGATGGGTACGTCGGTCAGGTTCTGGACCACTAATAAAGAAAGTGTTAGCGCGGACGGGAATTGGATATAATCATAGCCTTCCCCTATCCCAACAATGAACGGGGCGCGTTAGCGGGTCCCCAAGCCTGTCAGCCCATAAATGACGAATTTCTCTTCGGTCCTGTCTCGTTTTTCATACTGGATACCTGTCTTTGTGAATTTACCTAGCTATTTCAGTATTTTGATCCATGATGATCTCAAAGGGGTGGTATACTTGCACGAGTGCTACAAAATGGTCCAGGTTCCCTGAATAAGTCGCTATCGGTAAATGGGCTTTCGTAGGCTAATGACTCTACCTTCTTGTAGTCCGGTGGTACATGAGTTACAGCCGGAGGATATAACCTTCACATACCGTCAAAAGCCTTGATGCACGGCCTAATAGTTTATCGAGAACATGGATTGCCTGGCCCCCCACACTCAAATTATGTGGGCTATTTTTAGAGCCGTCTTCCGTTGGGGAGGCTAGGAAATCGAGTGGGTACCTGAACACAATGATATCGGTGCAGTGCCAATTATCTAGGGTGCCTTTTTTTGGCACAACTGTATCAAACATTCCAAGATGCAACAAAGTAGGACAGTAAACGTATTTCACGTTTAGCATACTTACTTCAATATTATAGGGTGGGAGAGAGGAACAATGATATTACAAATGCGCCGACCTGACGCGCACTGCGATTCTAGTACAATCCCATTCTCCATACGTGCTGTAGCACTTTTTTAGTATATATTGTGTATAATCACTTGCTGTCACCGTTTCAGCAGTCTTGTCTTCCGAATAATTGACCTGAAACGGGAAGGGTTCCAATGTTCCAATAAGGGTTGATAGAGAACCACCTGGCTAACGTAGTAACGTGAGGACTTCATTTCCCGGCTTTTACTCACGTTGTCTAGTCCATTTTGGAAAGCGTCGATGTCGTATCCACGACAGACGAGTTCCCTAGGCTTGAGCCGTCGCTCGAGGCCGCTTCTGCATATGCCCGGGAGTAGTAGGTGGAACTAGTATAGGTGGTTTGAAAGCCCTGCCTGTCTGCCTTGGCTACCAGGGTAAACTCATCAGACGCCGAAGTCGTGCCGTAGAAGTTCCAATGGTCAACTTCGGTAGCACCATTCCAACTGACCCAGAACGTAGTCGCAGAGCCTGGGGCAGTCGCATAGCTACGAAGGGCAGGATCGTCACTTGGCTCTCCGGTCCAATTAAATTTGAAAGCACGGTAGTTCATCGCCTTAGGATCATTTATTGTTGCAAAGAACACGGGGGTTCCATCGTCGGTATGCTCAGATATTGAAGGATGGCTCCCCCATCCGACCAAAACGTGTTGATTCGGCAGTGTTTGGAGGTTTCCCTGGCTTGTCGATAGGAGTCCACCATCGGGGGCCTCGTATCTCTTCATTAGGCTTGAGGTATTTGCTGCATTGTCAATTGACACTATAATGCCCGAGGACGTTGATGACGTGTTTCTATATCCATTGCTCCCATTATCAAAGAGTGAGATGACAGTGACGGTATCGTTCTCCTGCAGGAAGCGCGCATCATGTTGAGAGGAGAAATTATAGTCCTGCATTTGTATTGAACTATTTGTGCCGCCCAGTCGCCACAGGATGGATCCATCCTGGCCAGATATCTTGTAAATGCAGCTGGTATGTCGAGCAGATACCAGATAGTCACCATCGTTGTTCTTATCCACGGAATTGATGTGAAAGTAGTCCCAAGCCGTCGCATTGCTCAGACCATCACCCACGACTGAGTTGAGTCGGATGGGAGTGTACGTTTCAGAGATGCTAACGTGATCAAGAGACCTCCATTCGAAGAGTACTTCTCCTGATGTGATATTGATCTCTTGAAACACGCCATCCATGACCCAGCCATTGCCTGCTGGTACACCGAACGCCTCTAGATTGTAGAGGCGCGGCTGGTAGATGGGGATGAGGACGGAGGTCTCATCAATAATGTTCAACTCATGCATGTCGCTCAGCGTCAAACCATTCCCACTTTGTACAGTCGCTGCTTGTCCATAATCTGGATTCAAGATGATGTTACGACCCCTAGCGTAGCCCTCTATTTGATTTCCTTGGAAGTAGCACAGATGATCAGATCCCTCGTAGGGGCACACCTGCAGGTCATGAAAAAGTTCGGTCATTGACCCATCGGCTCCGCTCCATACCAGATCCTAGGCTCCTTGTTTAGCAATACGTTCATACTGTAGCATCAATGAACTTACACCATCAGTGTCATAGATATATGGTCCTGGCCGCTCGGTTTCATATGGTGCCACAAACAGATAGCCCGGGGTGAGAAAAGAGTCGTTCTTAAGACTCACTTCCAATACCGGAGCACGAATATCAGGTCTCTGGTTGTGAATCAGCTTTACTCTGACTACACAATAGCTAAGCAAAGAGACGAACTGATTGAAAAGATGTCCATGTTGCAGCATCGACTATACCCGTAATTGTTAATGTGCATATCAATGTCCGGAGCAAGTCCTCATAGGAGAAGCGGCTCCTCCTCTTTTCAAGAACCATGTTTACAATTGCAAACGCAGCATCTGCTTCTCCCAATATTAAATGCTTATAATTCTTTCAATTGGAGTGGCTGTATCAAAGCTTCTAGGGTAAGTATTGTAGTAATAAAATGGAGGGTTAGAAAAGGTAAGAACGCATTCTTCGAGTCTAGTATCAATTGACTTTTCCTGGCATGAAATACACTGGCAGTATTTGTAGAGGTTTACGTATGCGCATTGGGTTTCATCGTTAATATCATATTGTGGTTACGTCATGACTTCAGTCTTTTACTTTTCGACAACCTGGTGCCTAGATCGGTAGAGCTTGATGAAAGACCGTGCCAGATTAGGAGTCACTTAGAAACACAAATGATACTAGACTTGTCCTCGGGTCGTAATTGGGTCGCGAGAATAGGATCTAGGCGAATCTCGCCGGATCGGCGCACTACCCGATCGAATGAACTGCCATAGTTGAATGATAGGGACGAACCGCGTTCTTGTTCGAGTCCCAAGCATTAAGGACGCATTCAGGTTTCACGACCTTGGTCTAGGATAGCAGTCCGTGCGCCTTAAGGTTCTTGGACAAGAACCCTCGAGGTAGTCATCGGATCATGCGTGAGAAGTATGAACCTTGCATGGCAACAGGCCCAATGAACACCGGAGGAACTTATGTCATCTATCTATCCTGGAGATCATCCGAATCCGAGATTGCCGAATAGAAAACGAGGATTGGCACAGCCCCATGTGGGATATGTGTTAACTGGGGCCCTCAACCGTGGGTCAATCTTATCAGACCGAAACCTTATCACGAACTCGGAGGAGTTGGGACTTCGCCTCCAGTGGAACATATTGTCAGATCATTGGATGGAACATATTCTATCCAATCGTCCACCCATGTGCGTATGAATTCCGGGGTTCGAATGTGTCAATCTCAATTGATGTTGCTAACTCTTCCAACCTTGGACCTTCTCGTGCGCAGCCACTGAACTATCAATGGATATGGCTGCCGGATGGTAGAACAAGATTTTTTGGTTCCGTTGCGGACGGCCGACAATGACATCATCAGGGTCTAGGAGCTGGATTTCGTGGCTGTATTGAATAAATTGGGTAGACTTGGGTATTGATACACGTACATGCGTGGTTGTAGGACTGATGTATGAGCCATATGCCGTACATTTCTCGCAGCGCTATATGCCGATTGTACTTACTTTAGTGAGTCTGGCATGGAAGCGGAGAATAACTATCTTTTGAGACCTTAGAAAGTGTCTGCTCTACTCTTAGTTCTGTGCCTGGCTAGTTTTTCTCTATACCATACTGCAAATCTATTTCGCTTGGACGGATCATTCCTCACGATGGAAAGGCCAAACGGATATAGGCGTTCTCCTTATAGACGGACATTACTGGTCACATATCCTCGTACTGCATCCAACCTACTCGTGAGAATGTTGTCATTGGAACAGCAGGAGAACGCGATCTCTAATGAAAAGGGAGGCTACTTCTTCTGGGACTCCTTTATCAAGGGCCGGACAACCAATTCTACCTACACACCAATTGAAGACTGGACAACGCAACAAACCGAAGAGATGCAACAGGTTTTTCAGGACGATTTCAATCGCTGGGAGAGCACATCACGTCTCGCTGAATCTCAAGGAAAGTTATTCTTTGCAAAGGAACATATCCAGTGGTTCGCAGATCCCGCTGCCATTAGCGATTACCTTTCACATGGCGAAAGTCACACTCCGTCCCCGGTCAACATCAAGATTCCCACTTCGTACGGCACGCCCCAAGAGTTTTCGCCCAACAACCTTACAATATTTCCCGACCACTACTTGGAGACCTGGAGGCTGACCTTTCTAATTCGTCACCCGGCTTTGGCATTCCCGTCGTTCTATCGAGCGATGAGAGAGCTGGAAAAGGAAGAATTTGCCCAGCCGCATGAAATGCAGCCGTTAATGGAACTGAATGCTACTTTGCGATGGACTAGACTTCTTTACGACTGGTGCCGCCAGCATCAAGGGCAGTCGAACACAGGCTGTGCCAGGGATACTCGGTACCCCTTGGTACTGGATGCTCAGGACATTATACATCACCCTGATATTCTCGCCAGGTATTGCAAGCTTATAGGGCTTAACCCTATCTATCTAAGATCGGAATGGAATGTCTCAAATCAGAAGGTGGAAAATGGAAGCATGGAAAAGACGAGCCACAGAAGTCCTGAGAAGGTGATGAAGTCCACGCTGGAAAATTCATCTCATGTCTTGAAGAACAGAACGCCCATTATCGTCGACATTGAGGTTGAGAGGAAGGGTTGGGATCAGGAGTTCGGGGTAGATTTCGGCGAGCAGATGGAAAAATGGGTGAGGGAGGCAATGCCGGATTATAATTATCTTAGAGCGAGAAGGCTACGAGTGGGAGATACGTGAACAGCAAGTTTCAATATACGCCTACAGCATCCAATTATCTATACCTGGTAAGTTGGGTTTTTTAGGCGTCCCTTGCTGCTATGAATAATCAATCTGCCCTTGAACTCATACGATCGTATATACTCAAATCTCTATTCGCTGCTATTGAATGGTGGTTCGCTTGAATGGTTTACTTCGTATTTCCCCGAAGCGGAGGATCTATCTGTATTCAGGATTCTCGTGTGGCAACGTATCACATACTCGCTAACCTATGAACCCTGACACTCCACGCCCGGGATACGATGCCGCTTCGCCCTTGACAGCAGGTGGCCCATTCAAGTGCTCGTTAGAATAGCCCTGCGAGCTCCGTGTGCAGCTCAACAGTCATACCAAGGCAAATTTGAAAGCTGCACATACTATAAGCTGTGAGTTTCTGTGGTGTGCAGATATAGCCGTCAGGAAGCTTTGTCTGCTATGTAAAGAGGTCTCCAAAACAAATGACATCACTTGTCCTGTTGCAGAAGGATTGAATAAGTAACATTTCCGTGGACTAGTCACAAAGAGCAGTACACTATACATATATGGAGAGCATTAATCAGTAAAAGACAGACTGAGACTGAGAATGAGTGAACAAGTATGCTTTTCGACTTCCAGCCCTGGGCATTGTGAAGAAAACCTGCCCGTCAATCAGGTGCCATACAGCCACCAAGATAGTCCCATATAAAAGGTCCTTATGACCTTCAGATGTTTGATGCTTCATACATCTGAAGCATCACAGTATAGTCTAGGACTTGTGTTTGCACCTGCAATGATCCCAGTTCCAGTTATTGCAGCTGGGTTGAAAGTTGTCACACCATTTTCCCTTACAGTGACAACTGTTCCAATCCCAGTCATCGGGCTTGCAATGAGGATCTGCTTGATGACAGACCTTCTTGCACTGACATGTATCCCAGTTCCATGACTTGCAGTTAGAGTCATAGTTACTACACCATTTCCCCCTGCAGTGGCATTTATCCCAATCCCAATCACCAGGCTTACAGTGAGGATCTGCTCCGTTGCAGACTTTCTTGCACTGGCACCTATTCCAATTCCATGTTTTGCAGTTGGAATCGTAATTATCACACCACTTGCCCTTACAGTGGCAACTATTCCAATCCCAGTCATCGGGCTTGCAGCGGTGGTCAGGGCGGTCGCACTTTTTTATGCATTTGCACTGGTTCCAGCTCCAGTTGTTGCAATGGGGATCAAAATTGTCGCACCATTGACCGTTACACTTGCAGCTGTTCGAATTCCAGTGTCCTGGCTCACATCGGGGTTCCTGCTGGTTACAACTGTGGTCGCGCTGGAGGTGCTTCACGGTAGAGTCACGTTCGTAGAGGCCATCTTCATATGCATCTGCCTCACGAGCTATACAGGTTTAGCCACATGCATTATGAGAAGGTCTAGAGACACACCTTCGAGGTCAGGATCTGTTACAGCAGAGGCAGCTGCGAGGCTGAGGATGAAAAGAAACAAGAAAGCCAGGTTGACCTTCATGGTTAAAGGGGTAATGATTGCTGTTGGCTAGGCTGAACAATGTGGGTGACACTTGCGTCAGATTAATTCCAACATTCAAAATTTGTAGCCATGACATCTCTGGCAGAACCCTTTTGTATGTAGAGCCTGGGCCAGAGCTGCAAGCGAGGATAGAAACATCATGACATATTCCAGTCTATTCTTAGTAGTATCAGCTCACCTAGACCTAGATAAACTCTAACATTAACCCTACTATTTGCGTAGGGAGGTCCAAATCTGAATACGAATTTCACTTGAACCAAGGTACATAATACTATTCGCAGGTAGAACTCACTGATAGCTTGTCAAGGGCCTGTATGTGGTAAGGAGTCGGCTGATACATCCTACTGGGGTTGATTGTTTCAAACCTGCGCGTGAGCTATGGCATAGTCGAGTGGCTGAAATGTCTAGCCGTTCACAGTTGTATGCAGTTCCACTGGTCCAAGCCTGAGACCTGACCTATAGAGGTGTGAAAAATGAACACAAGCCTTGCCCAATCGGTATATCTAACCTCAAACTTAAAACAATGAACCAGAAACAAAGCCCGTATATTCATACTTATATACAGTCTAGACTTCCTGACTGTAAGTTTTGTGCTGGATTGTCCAGACGCTGTTCTGAAGTTTGAAGCACTATTAAAAGCAATAAAGTTCCGTTCGACACTTCTAGCCGGCGGTAGATCCATATAAGATCTTCTTGGCTTCCGTCGTCGACTCTGGATTCAAACCCTCATTTAGCTTTCCTCCCTTTGCTTCTATCTTGGCAACTTGGCAACTTGGCAAACACTCTGGTCTAGTCATATGATACCTACGGGCATCTGGTTTCGTTCGAAACCAAGACAAGAGGTTTGTTCTAGATGCAGACTAAAGAAAGAAAAAAGCATGATTTTCTAGCATTTATTCAGAAAGTCAAGAACGGAAGTCCAATCCGCAAGTAAACCTGTCCAGTAATCTAGCTCCTTCTGGAGCTACTATGCCCTGCCTTGGGAACATGTCACGAGCTGCTTGGGAGTCCATTTTTCCTGGTTATGAATCTTGTTGGTGATGTTTTTGGATTAGATCTGTAAAGGTTTAAGGACCGCGCTGTCGCGTGCATCCAGCCCTGGCCATTTACATAAATACAGCTCGCTTATACAGCTGGCCTGCTCAGAATGTTATAAGCGAAATATCGTGATGCTATGAGGAAAGGAAAATCCTTGCTATGGCACACTGTGACAGGTCGAGGTCCAGGATTGACTGTGGCACAGCAGCTGATCTATGTGCAGAGAATTCTACCGGACTATGATCGCACCTATTAAACTGGAGTCGAGAGATGTTGTGTTTCCCATGCCAGGAGCTATAGATCAACTTCAGCACTGGTAGATATCAAATAAGTGCTTCCATTCAGTAGGTCCTGATTTAGCTCCCTGTGCAGAGACATTGGAAGCAACTTGGTTCATGGCAGTCGGCCTTGACTATCTCGGCCTACCTAGCATTCACCTTACCCTAGGCGATGAATCGTGTGGGGCGTTTGTTGTAAGATGGTGGGTATCTTGGGCGGAACAAAGGTGTTTAAGCTCACCCCGCGTGTACAGTGAGCCATGGACAACTCTATAAAACTAGCCACAGGTGTACTAGTGGTAGGAGTGGGGGTCATTGAGGGCGACATATACCGACCCTGTCGATCATTTCCCGGCATGAGGTCCCATTGTTCATTATGATTATCTGATAATTGTCATTGATTCGGGATCCAGTAAATAACTCAGCAGATCCTTAGAAGGCGTAAAATGAGTCAGGGGCAATGTGTTGGTTAATTAGGCTTCACGTGAATGCGTGACAGCAGAAGCCCTATATTGACAGTGGTCTCCTGGCTGCATCTCCGGTCCTTCCCGATTCTCGATATTTTATTTGTTCCATTTTCTCCGTCTAAATTTCGGTTCCTCTTCGCCGAACATGAGTCGTGATAGGCGGTGTCTGTGCCCTCTTAGCGCTGGGTTCCAAAATACTAACAGATACTAGTAGTCTAGCAAGCGGTGACGTTAACGAGCTATCTGGAGGACACCTGCAAAGCCTAGTAATTTCGGGGCTAGCAGAGATTTGTCTTGCCGGTTGTAATTGCGGTATTGCTTGATGGTGCCACATTGTTTATCAGCCACCTGCACCCTTGCTAAAGATCGCCTTGCAAAACGGACAAAGGACCATGTAGACGATGGGCGCTGCGTAATTTAATGTATTCCCCGTTTGACACAATCGTACCTACTAAATGTGAATGTTGACACTGGTGCTCTCTATTGATGCGTACATGGTTCTATACATCAACGCAAAAGCGTAGGCCGAACCCGCCAGCCTACGTCAGCCCCTCTTGAGCTCCTCAGTTGAGTCTTGTCTGCGCGTTTCGGAGATGCAGTTGTCTAGACCTCATATCGAGGCTATATACGCCGTCGACTATTAGTAAGAATAATCATGTGCTCTACTTCTTCTTGCATATCTATAATTTCAATACTAGTCCCTTAGTAGGGTATTTAGAACGAAAAGCGCACTACTTCCGACGGTCCTAGACCCCATCCTTCAGCACTTCGGTGCCAATCTCCTAGTAATTCGGAATATTCTAGCTCATTGTACATTTTTGTAGGGTGTTGACCTTAACCTGAACCCAAGTCAGGTTCCAGCAGTCACGCCACAACAGCAGTACTTAATTGATTTATCAAACACATATATATCGGCTTGGCGATGCTGTGTGTTGAGGACGACCTTACACCGTACCATGAGGACCACTGGTGAGTTGGCTGCAAGGCCGTGTTCTCTAGTAATAAGTGGGTTGGAGGCAACTCTATAACTTCGCTTGAATAAACTTTGCTGTATGTTGCAAAGATTGATTATATTTTAAATAAGTTTTAACTCTAAGTCCTACCGGTCGGTATTACTGCGCTCTTATCTACCTTTCCATCGAGAGTTGTAACCAGATACTTCCATGGTAGATCACCTGGAGAATTTTTGGTATTCTATACCATGTAATTTGGAGATCTCTGCCGATTATATATACTGAGGTTATACAACTGTGTAATATTAATTCATTTGAATAAAACATATTTAAAACCCCAAACGCCATATAAAGAAGCACCGCATCGGCTCGCATAGGAGAGCCTCTCCGTCAGAAAACGTCTAGTGGTTGTCACATTCATAGACATAGTCGATAGTAATCTGACAACCGTCTTCCCTGTAGAACGAGCCACACTTAGAACAGCCGCCAATGTTACAGATGTTCTGGTAATCGTTCCACAGGTCATTACCACTGATACTGCAGCTGGCATCACCCTGGATAAAGACACCGCAGCCCCGCGTCTGATCGCCCCAGCAATTGCCGGATTGGTTAATGCCGGTTTCGTTACTAGAGGGTGAAGTTAGTAGTGGCATCGAGAATAGGAGGTATACTGAGATTTCTGCATGATAATAGAGCAATGACTGATGGTAAGCAAGGGGAGGGGGGCAATGGAGCGACTCACGCAGAAGTAGGAAAGTAGGAAGGGACGTCATTTTGCTGTAGGCTATTCACAGCGTGGTCGCACCACTTCAGAAAGCTTGGGGTCGTGCACATGGATAAGCCCTTGCAGTTATAGTCGCTGGGGTCAGGTTCGAAGACGTTGGTCAAGGGGTTGTAGCCTTGTGCTTGGATGACGAATTTACTGATGTCAATAATAGATATTCCTAGGGGTAATGTCTATGTGTAGGTGTAGTCCTTAGTATCTAGAGTGATGGGGCCTATCACCGACCACGCCTACGGTGGGGCTGTAAAGCTTTCGGGAAGTGTGCTACTATACTTGTATAGCGTGGTGCCTTCGATTATATAGTAAATATAGATATACTCGTCGATTTTGAAGTTAATACTCTATCCTAGATCCGTGTCGAATTCACACCCCACCGAATTCCAGATATAAAGGCGGATAAAAGTATATAAAATAAGGATGTCGGCCGTGATAGTAATCGAGTCTACCTCTAGAGAGAAGTAGTAGTTGGTAATGGTTTTCCTATCTGGTAAAGACTTAATATTAATCGTAACCGTATTGGAAGGGGGCCCTATATTACCACCTCTTTTCACTGTGCTAACATGGAATACGTGAGTAGCTCTTGACTGGAGACCGCTAATAGTAATTATAGTTATTAAGCTAGGGACGCTTGTAACAATGCTATTCCCCGAATATATGTGACATCCAAGAGTATTCGGGGCTGTATCCTAAGATAATTTAGCAGAAGTATAGTTTAAGTTTAAGACTAAGAGTCCAGATACCGCTGCTACAGCGCTTCCTGATGTCTAGGATAATGTATTAGTGTTTAACGGAGAGCTACCCTCAATTGTATCCATTATGCTCTGGATGTAGGAATCGCCAGGAAGAGTGTTATATGGGTTAGGCCACGTGTTGTCTGTGAGCTGAAGGAAACCAGCTCCACACTACTTAGCTAATTTAGTTACCTTACTAACTGCGGATTCTGGAACGTTGTATACGATGTGCTATAGCTTCCGTGGGTCTTTCTATATTTAATTGTTAGGTGTATAGGAATTGGTATACATTTTATAAGGCAGTTCGAAAGTTAATAAGGTGTCTATAGTATCCTCGAAGCAAGATGCCATGGGCGACTCAGGATTCAGAATTGTATATGCGCCGGGGTAAGCCCGTTTTGTATAGTTGTTAATATATTTGTATAAATTAACGAATTCATTGTTATCACTATATTTAGGCTAGCCTTCGTTAAAGAAAATGCTGCCAATGCTGCTACCGTAAAGTTTATATTATATATCAATATCTTCCTCGATCTGCGCGGTCTAATCTACCAAGTCTCCTGAGCCTAGACGCGTGAGGAATTTCTGATCGCTTACGCTAAGGTAACCGGTTCGCACGTAGCTAAGGATAGTTTTACCAGATTTTGAAGCGCGCCCAATGATATCTGCCTAGATCTTGTCGACGGCAGAATTTGGACCATTGACGATATTGGCAACTAATATAGGTATCTTCTCCACAGAATACTTAATCAGGCGATCCCAGGCCACCGGGTCTGCGAGCGGATTGATGTACGACGCCACAGCGATCTGCTGCCCTTTACCATTGCCAGAACCCCCCGTGGGCGACGGACCAGATGCTGTCTTGGTAGTCGTTAGGTTGTAGTGAGTGCTGGCTGAGCATAACAGCTTGTGACAGTCGTGCACGCCGTAGTGCAGTCGAATTAAGGCGCCCACTGGAAAACGCCGCACTCCGCACCACATTGTACCGCTGTCTGCTGTGCGCATACGGTGGCGCTGGAACCACTTTATAGCGATGCTGAAGGTATCACGGTATTTATCGTGATGGCCCCGTTATTAAGGAAGACCCAGGAGAGAGTAACGGCCCGGGACGCCGCGATTACAAGGAGGGCTCCAATGATAGTCGAGTTCAGTAAGCTGGCCTGGTTAAGCGTCCACCGCACCACTGTGTTCACCGCTGCTACCATCTCTGCCTTAGCCCACGCCATCGTCCCCCCGTGCACTAGGAGCCAGTCAGGCGCTCCTAGCCGGTTAATTGAATCGGTAAGAGTGATTTGAGCGCCATAGATAAGGTCTACACCTACCTGGCGGGTACGAATCGAGTCGGTGGTATCCTCGCCCACGTCGCAGCTACTCGTGTCCGACCCTGATAGCAACGCCTAGAGGTGTGCCGCCACCGCCAGGTCTAGTTCAATACCCACGTCTCCCGCCATCGCGCCATTCCCAGCACTTGCAAAGGTCGTAATCACGACTGGAGTACTTCACAATTAAACGTCAGCCCGGTCACACGGACACAAAATGAGGTAGTGGGTAAAGGGGGTGTTGGCTGGGATTTGCGTACCCAGTCGCCTTATCCTGCTCAGAAGGTGCCGTGATGGTCATCTAGGGCGTGGCGTCATCAGTTACAACTATGATAGCAGTAGCCGTTTCGAGTTTTAAAGAGTCCTCGACATGGTTTGGAGGGATCTTGATAGGCACCGGGACAACACGGTCTCCCTCGTAGAGAAGAGGGAATAATAAAGCGGAAATCAAGATCCCGCCGGCATAATATATCAATATCGCCGGGTTGCGCACCTCTAACGCGTATTGCTCCAGACTGCGGGGTTGGAGAACGTGGTTAGCGCCTTCAAAGAGATCCATGACAGCCTGGTAGCAATTCGTATCAACTTCTGTCGCGCAGTTGCTATCCATGGTAGATTTCAGACTCGTCTCCATGTCTGGAGACAGATATACCAAGAGCCGGTTTTCTACTGGGTCACCATCAGCAGTAACTTCAATTGTAGACCCTGTTAGAGTGGGCGTAGGGACCTAGTGGGTGTTAGATGCCTTGTCAGAACGTGTCTGGAGATTAGAAGAGAACGGGTAACTGGCACATACCCCTTCTGTGGTATACTGATTAAGATCGCCCACTATAAAGTAGTCATCCTGCCCAGCTGCAAAGTGTGACTGAAAGGCTATGGAGAGGAGGGCAAGGAGAGAAGGTAGTAGGAGCGTCAAGGGCACCATTGTGTCTAGAGAAAGGAAGGTAAAGTGGTTTCAGATTCTGGGAGTCGTTGAGAGAACTTGCAGAACTCAGCGTATTGGGGTAAGTGAATTATTATATAGTACCATAATAGGTACGCCGGCGAAATCCCGGGTTAAATCAATCTTTCTAAATAAATGAACGAGGATAAGGGGCGGTGCTCTAGAGGCCCCTCAGCTCGGGCGAAAGCGAAACTCCATGTTCCCAAGCATACAACGTGTATATACACAGGTAACAGACGGCTAGGGATCCATTCAGAAACTAGGGACAGCTGAAGCTAAGACGAGCAGAGACCGAAATGCTCGCCGATATTGTATATACGTCTTGTCCACTAAAGTAATCGTCTTTTGGTTCACACACAGCCCTAGGACTAAAGAGTATAAACATCCGATGAAAGCACAAGGTCCATAAATGTCGCATAGAGATGGGTCGGCCTACTAGTAGATATCGTGCAATTGAAGGGACGTTCGCTCCCCAAGCTAGTACACCAAGACTCAGATAATATCCCCAAGTAACCACGACCCCACACCTCCCGATGTAACCCTCCACCTCGGGTGGGGAGCTCATGGCTTTGCACCAGCCGGATTCCCATGCCCCGTAGCGTAGGGCTAATCCCACCAAGCGGCTCTGAACAAGGATGGTAGATTACCAACGAAAGTTTCAACTAAATGATAGCTCAAATAAGGTCAAAAATGAAATTGCTATCGGGGCTCCCTTGTAGCGACGTATATTATGCGTAGAATGCTATTATTTCAATCTGCCACAAGACTCTGCATTTTTGACCATATTGATTGAGACTTAGGGGACTACTAGATGTTATGCGGTATTTTATACCTGAGCTTTCAATTCTCACTAGCATGATATCTGTTCGAAGGTTTCAGTAACAATTTATCTTTTTGGTGTGTAAAACAATCTTTATAACTAATATGCACTAGTCATGTACCGGAGGCAAATTGTTATAATAATCGCGTTTAATTACTGGTTCCTTCTAGTGGAGGTCGTACGAAGTACGGTGTCTTACTATTTATATACCTGTACGCCGTACAGGTATATCTTACCTTCCGCTGCCGCCACCGCCTTCAGTTACGCATAAATAAATTGGTATTGTTGTAGCTATCAACAGTACATGCACATACCACACGAATCTTCATTCGACTTGCACCATGGCAACTGAATATGACTCTTTTGTTGAAGCCTTTCACATTTCCTGCGAAGCCGGTGACCTACTAAAAGCCAAGGAAGCCCTGGCCAGCGGTCGACTGACCCCCGAGGACCTAGAGGAGGGACTTGCTCTCGCCACTGGAGAGGCGCATTCTGATCTAGTGGCCGTGCTATTTGATGCTGGGGCTCCTGTGTCCAATTTGACAGTAGCTGCTCTTCCTGGGACTTCAGGGGTAAAGCAGCACCCTAGTGTTGTTCGCCAATATCTCGATCATGGTCTTGACGCCAACGGCAGCTACAGCAACGGCATTCCTATCCTAGCGTATGTATCAGCTTCGTTCGTTGAATATTTAGGAAATGTAACTCACCTTTGACGACAGTCTAATGATGGATCCTACCTGTGCTCAAGAATTACTCTCGCGAGGCGCTGACCCTAACCGATCTGATCCCCAAGGGGTGACCCCCCTTACCCTGGCCATTAACAGCACCCGCGAAGAAGATACATCTTTAATTGACCTACTTCTCGCGTCTGGGGCCAAGCTAAAACCGGATCTGCTCTTTGTTGCGACGGCTCCGCGCGTGCCGCAAGGAGAGTTTATGACTAGATTTCTTCTAGCCAAGGGTCTTAATCCTAATACAATGTCTATTAAGTATGGCAACCCAATACACCGCGCTATCCACTCTGCCAGACCGAATATTGTCAAAGTGTTGTTGGATGCAGGTGCAGATTCTACAGGACAATCGGCTCATCCTCAGTATCGTGGTGGAAGTCCCTTACAAATCGCTAAATGTATACGGTCGCCTGAGCTCCAGAAGACTATGCTGGCTCTCCTTCGGTCGCGAGGCATAGACATTGACGGAGGCGCTGGTCCCGTGGAAACTGAGTGATGCTTTTGGCACGATCTCTTCAACCGTTGGAGATTCGGAGTTGCTTTGACCTCGGCACTATTCTGGAGATTTAGAGGGCGGGTGTTGAGATTGTGTTGGAATGCAGATTCTAAATTAGGACATTATATATGCACATGGAATTCCTATCGAGTTTACGGGCCACTATAAGCCATCCCCAATGGGGATATAGATACGAGTAGCGCAAATCACAAACCCGGATATAACGAATCCCTCCATGTAGTGGGTTTTCAACATGGAATCAAGGTTCCACTCAAACTAAGATTAATGGACGGCTAGTAAATGCTGAACTGCTGTCATCTCATAGTTCACAGAACCTAATTATCCTATTTAATTTTTCGAAACTTCAACTAATGTGATGAATGGAAGTAGTACGTAAAAATACAAACGATTAATGGGTCTCTCAGGACATTACAGTCCTCAGCAGTACAGGACAATAGCAGGAGCACCACTATTAGACAAGGCCTGACTGTTAGAAAGATCCACTCATTCCTCGCCACTGTAGGAAAATCATCGTGTACAAGAGCGCATCTCTAGATCTTTACCGAGGGGGAAGAGCTATTGCAACCTGAGAACATTCATTCCCACACGATGGCTATACTAAGAAGGTGCAGTCCTGGATTAATCAAAGCCCCCTAAAACTTGAACATATTATCTGCAAGCACAAAGTATTTCCTACGTTGCATCGGCTTGACTCTTACCACCTATAAGCCCCTCCACCGGAGTCCTAGGGAGTCACAGAATAACAGTAATAGGTAATTTAGGAATTCATATTTTGTACTTACTCACTCATATCATATTCCTTTTGGGGGGTGGGGGGGGGTGATTTCTAATGCCGTCGAATCTAAACTAAAACGGCGTTTCAATAACCCACTAGAGCGGACTGTGGTAAGGGAGTGTGAGCCCCTTCCCTGGACCTTAACTGTGGGGAGGGCTCCGCGTTGCGGTACAAGAAGCCTACCAATTATGTATGCCAGCTGACCAACCACCCCCATTAAATGTTTAATGATTCTATACCTTAGGTGGGGGGAAGCTGCCAATGGAGAGTTGATATCTCGGCTAGTTGTCAATAGTTTAAATCATTAATAAGTACAGAGTACTCCGATAAGTAGTTGGATTGGGGTAACTAAGCCTCCAGGGTCTTAGATAATTTTTGCTTTAGTTCGAACCAAATATTCATGGACGGCAGAATTACCGTTTCTATCAAGTTCATGATAATTTGTTTTTTTTACTTATCTTGATCATTTTTGTTTTGGTAATCTCTGAGCGTCGGTGGAAGGGTCGGTTAGATGGTTAGCCCTAATAGAACACTTAAAAGCCATCTTTGACCTAAACGAGGGGGCTACTAGACATCCTATTAGAGGGGTAAGGTGTTCCTACTAAATGTCTTTGTTACGAGGTACTCGGAATTATCCTGTTATGTTAGTATAGATTGGTTTTGGAATAAGTTCATGCTCGGTTTAACCAGTGATGAATTGTACCTATCTAAAGGATAGAATTAAGGGGGAAATAATAGCCCTACCCGTATGAAAACTATTTCCAAGACCTGCAGAATGCTGTACAGAATGCCAGAATGAACCTTTTGCTATACTAGCCTTTGTCCCAGCTATAGGCGGTAGCCTTGTGAGGCCTACGAAAGCTGGTCTGATAGGTCGGACCATACTGGGCAGCACAAATGCTAACGCGATAACTAGTAGTTTCGGTGTACCACAGGCGGCTTAGGCTGTTATTCTAGTTATTGTGTGAAAAATCTATTATTCACTGGCAGTTCGACCTATACCTGACACTAAATAGAGATACTTATCCGGGAGGGGGCCTCTGTTCCAAGGAATTGTAGTCTATTTTTCGAATAAAGAAATTTTAGTCGATATTATAATTTCCGAAAATACAAGCATAGAGCTTTTGTTTTCGTTTTACTTATTCCTTTTTATCCCCTCCTATCCGTGTGCGCTAGTGAGACTGGAGTAAATCATTTCCCTTGGGTTGACCTCCGTCTCAGTCCCATCGAACTTGCAGTCTTCATAAATTTGTCTATCCTTTTTAAACACATATCGATGTGGGTGTTTCAAGATAAGTAAGGCACGTTCCCTATCTATCAACGACGAGTACTAGCCCTTGATCTATAAATTTCAACGTATAACTACCTCATACCAACAGTGCGTCAGCGATTATGAGACTTCTCTGGTTACTAGCATAGCTCGCCTTCGCAGCCTCTGCGAATTCGCTTATTTCTGGTAATGGTCACTTCCCGCGGCTTGAGTAAGAACATTTCACTCCAGGCCCGTGCTAATATGACCGCAGATGCGAGGAATGACCAAGTGTTGAAGAAACGTATATCTGGACGGCCAAAGTGTGGGCCTCGATTAGCTGCCAGAGACAGCAGCAGCGAAAAGCAGAGTGTAGGATTTATTTGTTTTGAGCGCAATGCCACGACGGCGGCTCTGGCAAAACGAATGGAGTTTCCGAAAAGAAAACTGGGGACCTTCTACGCCCGAGAATTTCCACGTTTTCTTGAACCGATCGTGCCACACAGCGAGGCAGCTTTCGCTGAGGACATGAGCACTGGTATTAGGAAGTCCTTCAGTAGTATTAGAAAAGGATATCAGTATAGCACAGGATTTTCAGGCCTCGAGGGCTGCACTATTTTGTATATTATCAGCCGCAAGGGTGTGTATGCTGTGCACTGGTTTGAAAACGTGTCCTTTTCACCTGACAGTGTCTGGCTTGAGGGCACAACTGTGGAAGACCTGTTTCAAAATACCGTGATCGACATGTTGACTAATGGAGGAAGGTATCACCCTAAAGTCGCTGCGAGAATAATTGAAGACGACTATATCAAGGCCTATCTCATACACCCAACGCAGACTTGGAAGGAAGGCCCTGATGATGCCGGCTACACGGAGCAGTGGCAGCAGGTTCGGACCACTGTCGGCAATCTTGTACCAAAGCTGCAAGATCAATCGAGATGGACAGATATCCCGTACACCGTCGCTACACCTGCCGAGGTCCTGAAGTCAGACGGAGCCGCAGGTAAGAATCTCTTCAAATATGACCCAGCTCATGATGTCGGGGGAGGCAAGACGGAGCACTTGGCCATGTTATGGATTGAAGACCAGAAAGAGCCATACCATGAAGACCGATGGTGAGCACTGGGCGATCCCGTGTTCGTTGTGGAGAGTGATACATAATTTAAAGAAGTTGAGCGCCCCCCCCCCCCCCCCCTCCTAGCTAGATGTACCTAGGAGGTCTATTACTTGGGTGTTCTCAAACTAAAATAAGAGGCTAGAATTCAGGCCACCAGCTGTCGTATGCCATACTTCCTGATTAGTCATAACTAAGGCGCTCACTGCTTTTTATCATTTAGTGATAGCCTCTCTGGGTAGCATGCGGTCTGTTCGCGCTTCAGCTGCTTATTATGCGGTCGAGTATTGTGTTTCGTGGCGTAAATGCGTCCACCTGAACAATGGCCACCACCCATGATCAGTGAAAGATGCCCAAGATGGGAAGATTGATAAGATAAAGTGGGGTGGAGTCAGGTGATCGGGTGGGCCCCAAGCCCTGTTTCGGAGTAGCTTGAGTGGAGCAAAATCAGGAAGTAGAGTACTAAAGAAATATGAGTCCCTGACTCGTGAGGTTTACGCTGATCTCATAGCGGAGCCTTGGTGAGGGCCGCTCAGGTACTCTAGTGATAGCAGTCACGTCGTAGTGTTGTGGACGAGAGAGTCATGAAGAATGACTGCCAACTCTGCCTAGTTACTATGTACAGGCTTATATGAATGGTTTTTTACACCTATTTTGACAAATACTACATCATATAACGTTTAAAAAATGTGGTCAACCTCAGAAGACATTCAAAGAAACAAAAGCTATGAGCGGTGAGCCTGACTCTTCTCATCCACTCAAAGTCCCACCTGGCGTTTGATGAACGGAGTCGTGTGGGGTAGGGTTATTGACTTGTCGTTCTAGATGTTTTTCCAAGACCCTTGGCAGAGCTAAGCCACCTTTTCTTTCTTTTGTTTCTCCGATGGGGATTTGAGTCACCCCCCGAAACCGGGCACCGAAGATTTGAAGACTTCCGTCGCCGAGGCTTGTTCTTCCTGCCAAGTACCTTGTGCAAACTTCATTGTGGGAAAAGGAACCACCTTTCGAGACGCAGACGTTCACAAGTGAGTCGTACTTACTTTCCTATGGTCGCCTCTCATTTGCCCCGTGTCTCACAATGCTCCACCTCGCCGATAGGGTAATTAGCTGCGGACAGCCCTATCGTGCGTATCCTACGACTGCAAGATGACCCCCGAAGATCCCCTCGACCTACTGAGATACAAAACGGAAGTGAAGCCCACTAAGCGATGGATGCCTCTCGTCAGCGCATCAGATGAAAAGAACGATTTCTATGTGCAACAGAATGAATTGATCGATGGATTTCTGCAGAGCAGCCAGGAGGAGCGGATGGAGGCGGAAGATCATGCGGAGAACGGAGGGAAGGTCAAATTAGCTGTCCGAGCCAGCTTCGTCGTCAACTTCTGCTTGTTCGTTATCCAACTGTATGCCGCCATATCCACTGGCTCTTTGTCACTTTTCGCGACCGCTGCGGACGCCTTTATGGACCTCGTCTCCTCCATCATAATGTTGATCACATCGCGCATGTCCACTAAACCCAAGCCCTACCAGTATCCGGTGGGACGCAGACGGGCAGAAACAATGGGAGTCATCATGTTCTGCGCCTTGATGACGACCGTGGCGATCCAGCTCATCATTGAATCCGCCAAGTCGCTAGCAGCCGGCGAGACAGATTCCGAGAGCCTCGATATGATCCCCCTGATCTGTGTCGGCGTGGCCATCTTCTCTAAATTCTGTTTGTTTGTGTACTGCTTCAGCTTACGGCGCTACCCTGCAGCCCATGTCTTTTTCATCGATCACCGCAATGATCTGGCCGTGAACGGCTTCGGTCTCATCATGGCTGTTGTCGGAGAGCGATTTGTGTGGTACCTTGACCCGATCGGTGCGACATGTATCGCACTTCTTATTCTGTATTCATGGGTCTCTGAAGCCTTCGAGAATATGTGGTTGTTGATTGGCAAAGGCGCCCCTCGGACTTTCATCAACAAGTGCGTCTACGTGACGCTGACTCACGACTCCAGAATTCAGAAGGTTGACACGGTGGGTTTCTGTCAAATAACTGTCCTTGTTTCCTCATATCTGATTGTCCCTCGTTAGTGCCGAGCGTATCATGTGGGTCAGCAATTTTACGTCGAGGTGGATATCGTGATGGACAAAGAAACCAGGCTCCAGGAATCCCACGACGTGAGTCAAGAGCTCCAACGGAAACTGGAGGGGCTTACTGGCGTCGAACGCGCTTTTGTTCATGTTGACTACGAATATCTGCACGATGTCCACGAGGAGCATAGACCTATTTATGACACTTCTGGCCCGAGTCCTTCTATCAGATCTATAGTCAAGAAGTTCTTTACCTTGAATAATAAGGCCCTGGACGTGGATCAAAGGGTCTAAGTCGTACCAGAGGTCTTTCTCTCTCTTGACAGATAACATAGCTAGCAGGTACCGAGAGCCTCGTTATCTGAAACTTATATCTTCTGTTCTAGAACTGACGGCAGGTCATTTACTGATGCGGGTCAAAAGTCTAACCACACACAAAGATCCATGTCTGTACGACCATGCATGAAGGTTTACTATCAAGAACGGATTGTCTTGACTCTCGGAAATGTGGTCAGTTGGATTTCCCCTAGGCGTGTTGTGAAAATGTGTCCAGGGCCATACGTGGGACTGAGCTTGAGTACCGTTTGTTATGTATTTGACTAGCCAATCCCTTTCTATGCGGGTAGTTCGGATTAAAGTGTGATTCCACTATGGCAGGGTTTTGCAAATTCAGAGCTCGGGGACGGGTTGGCTGCTTTACGCCTTTCGCCCTTATTAATCCTGAGCCCGGATGTAAAACCTTGCTATAACACTATATACTTGGCTATAGGCAAGCAAGTCTCATCTCTTACTCGGGGCTGTATCAGGGTTAGCGTAGTACTTAGGGCTTATCAATGCTGTCCGTCGATCATTGGGCAATCCAGGGTTGCATGAGAAATGTCACTCAAAGGGCGCGATGGTGCAATGGGTCCGAAATTGCGTATCTTAGCTCATCTAAAACCCGCCCTTTATCCAAAACGTTCTCAGCGGCCATATCTTTTTCTCTCACGTCCTTTTTCATTCCACAAAAGAAAGCCAGTTCTAGTCAAATATTGACCGGCCAAATGGAAGTGACCGTTGAGCAAGACGCCAAGGCCCTCGAGGCCGGTGCGCCTGAAGGTCCCTCACGAGCACCAAATGACCAGACCATAGAGCAGCTGGATTTATTCGAAGCCCCCAAAATGCGTACCAAGCTGCGTATCACCGCTATCATACTCGCTCTCAATGTACTCGAATACTTTCCTCCTCTTCGTACCAAGCTAGTAGCTAACGAGTGTCAATTTACTTTAGCTCGTCCTCTTCGTAGGAGCACTCGACCAGACTATTGTCGCGACTTCAATCCCCACAATATCGGCGGCCCTGCACTCCGCTGCAGGCTATACCTGGATTGGAGGTGCATACCTGTTAGCCAATGCCGCCACAGCGCCCATGTGGGCCAAGTTTAGCGACATCTGGGGTCGTAAGCCGGTTCTCCTCGGGGCAGTAGTACTCTTTGCCATCGCGAGTATAATCGCAGCACTGAGCAAAAACATGGAGATGTTAATTGCTGCGCGAGCGCTGCAAGGCGCAGCGGGGGGAGGTCTCATGCAATTAGTGTTCATCGTCATCTCGGACCTCTTCAGCATACGCACCCGCGCGTTATACCTTGGTATGATGGGGTTCACCTGGGCCCTTGCTGGCTCAGCCGGTCCGCTAATCGGCGGCGCATTCACGGAGCTTGTTTCCTGGCGGTGGTGCTTCTGGATCAACCTCCCCGTCTGCGGGCTCTCATTCACACTCCTGCTGCTTTTCCTGGATGTGCACAACCCCCGCACAAAGTTACGCGAAGGCATCGTTGCCGTGGACTGGCTCGGCACGCTTTGCATACTAGCAGTGACTCTGCTATTACTCTTGGGATTGGACTTCGGCGGCGCGATATTCCCCTGGAGCAGCCCGAAAGTCATCTGCCTCATCGTGTTCGGAACAGTAATGATCGGCTTCTTCGTCTTCAGCGAGAAACGACTGGCCAAGTACCCGCTGATGCCTCTCAGCATATTCAGCAACTGGTCCAACAACGCCATCATCCTTGTCGCGTTCGCCCACAGTATGGTCTCCATCGGCGTGGAATTCTACCTCCCACTATACCTGCAGAGCGTCAAGCAGGCCTCGCCCCTCCGCAGCGGTATCCTGATCATACCTATGATGGTCACCGAAGCGGCCGTGGACATCCTAGCCGGCATCGCGATCTCCCGGACGGGTCGCTACAGAGAAATCACCTGGGCTGGGCTAGCACTCATGACGTTGGGAACGGGGTTATATATCAACCTCGGGATCGACACATCAGTGGCGAGGATCGTCGGGTTCGAGATCATCGGCGGGATCGGCACCGCGCTTTTATTTCAAACGCCCGTCATCGCCATTCAAAATACGGTCAGTCAGGCGGATACTGCGTCTGCCACGGCGACGATGAGTTTCATCCGCAATCTGGCGACATCCCTGTCCATCGTACTCGGGGGTGTTATATTCCAGAATGGTATGAACACTCGTCATTCATCACTCGTGGCCGCGGGTCTCAGTGGACCCGTCCTCGGCGCCTTGGCCGGTGATCATGCAGCGGCAAATGTCGAGGTCGTCAAGTCTATCCGGGATCCTGTGCACCGTCGCGCGGCGCAGGGTGCTTATGCCTGGAGTCTCCGAAATATATTCATTATGTACACGGGCGTGGCGGCTGTGGGGTTGGTGGCGGGGGCTTTTATCAAGCAGCGACATATGAGCACAGAACATACCGAAACGAAGACGGGGGTACAACAGTTGACGAAGCGCGAATCTAAATCCTAGTGATACGAGTGTAGGGCATAGATGTGGATTCTTTTGGTGAGAAATTTCGCTCCGGTGGTCTTCCAAGCGGAATCTGCATTCCGTTGTAGATTCTGGTTGAGGTTTGACACGAAGGGCTGGTACTGGGATTCTCAGTATGGAGATTACCAGTGGACGGCTAGGATATCTTGGGCTCAGGAATGAGTAATTAAATTTGACATCTGCTCGACTGATCTCCTGGGCTGTCTGGGTCTGCAGTGGGTTAGCTAGCTGGGATGCAGAAATGCAAGCTGCCTTGGGCGTAGGGGATATCGGGGGAGTCTTTCCAAGATATGCAATTGAAACCCCTTTGTACTGGGGGGGGAATTGGGCCAAGAGGCGAATGTGATCACGCGTCCGAGATACCTATATAATGCCAACTATATAGCAGCAGTACATACTTGAATAAACGAAACTATCGTCTGCAATCACATATGTTTCTCACATACCTATGAAGATACCTAACAGTACACAAACAGTAGCATAATGAGACATGAAGGAATGCATAAAGGGTCATCAGGCAAGTGCAACATAAGCAATAAGAATACACCTGTTCTTAACGAAGAAAAAGCAGGATGACATATTTGTAGTGAACTAGAAAAACTCTGATACTAATTCCGTTACTATGCATAAATTGCAGATAGGTCGTGTTCTGTCGTGGCTCCAGCCTGCATTATGATTCAGCTGAATCTGATTATGATTATGCCCCAAAAAGCAACTTCTACATCTCATTTTGTGGACTTTAAGGTAGAACCTTCCTGGGGAATTATGATTCTTGGACTCGGCGAACAAGTAGCCGTTAAAGAGAAAATGAAGCTTTAAAGTACTAGATTCGACAAGCTTGTACACAATTCGGTGTCAGCTCTAGCCAAGTTGGAACTTTTTCATAAATTGAGACACTATCACTGCTGCCAAGTGAACCTCACGATCGAAGTCTATTCTTTGTTGGTACACAATGTACATATTGGTCTAGTATAAATGATATATCTAAATAAAGGATATTCACAGCGCTAAATCGCCGATGTATTTTCTTCGTGAATATGCAGTAGTCCACGGCTCCAGCATTGAGTCGCTAGTGACCCCTGGTTTTGACTAGTTGAGCATATATGGATATGTGCAAAGAGGAGCAACTGCGGCGTTGCAGGTAAGCGCTCCTGGGACTCGAAATGGAATACAGTCTCTGCAAAGTGAGTGGGTCCATCCATATAAGATTGTGGTCGATTTTTATTTCCCACCGCCCGGGAAGATTCTTGCAACGTTGTTCACGGTTGCCCCGTCTTCTTTCATACAATATCTTGCCGGCCAATAAAAGGCTTAGACTGAGGGCGCAAGGGAAACGCAAAACAATATATACAATACACGATTTACAGCCGCCTAAGGAGACAGGCCACCCAATATCCTATATGCTGTCTGTCTATCTAGAAACCTGGGTGAGTTACTGAAAAAGGCTGTACTGACACGCTACCACAACGCTCAGGGATTCGATTTCGCCCCTGCGTTAGGTTACGACGGGGTCACTGATCCAAGGGTTGTCCATAACCGGGTTAGCGTGTCACATGGAATTCAACTCTACGCTAGTCTCATTATGGGTTGGCGCGCCTTCGTTCATTTAGTTCTGATTCTGAGCTGACCCTGCTATATACTTGATGGCTTGTAGGATATAGCGAAGTGTCAATGTGTGCGTGAATCTTCCATACGAGGAAACCGACTTAGGTCGGACATGACTGTTGGGGAAGATCGAATAGCGCATGAAACTGTAGCTCCTTGACACGGTGAAGTTGATTAGGCCTATCGTTCTTTACTACCAGAGATGTCACTTCGTCCATGTATCTACACAATGGGAATCTTATGTAGGGTGAAGTATGTAAAAGGAAAATTGGAGGGACATGGAGAGAAGATATAGAAGAAAGAAACAATGGTCAACTAAGCGATGATCGTCCAGAGGGGCTCGACAACCCCTCTCCCTACTCTGCTAAACATGGGTGTGAGCTATAGGTCTCGAAATCACCGAAAACCTACACAATTCAAGTTCCACACTTCCAGCACCGCTCCAGAATCAAGTTCCGAGTTCATCTATCAGACTATTGTCATTGCTCCAGAGCGTTCTCATATCAGCTGGGTACATATTTGGAAATGGCAGGTAAATGAGATATAAACAGAAATACAAGAAATGCAAGATACAGATAGATAAACATTCACGCAGGATCAGGAGTGTACAAATAACCACGGGGTATCTTAAACGTCGTAATATCAATTTTCGGTGCCGGTACATCGTCCCACGTTGCTGATATCGTCGTCTTGTTATTCGCAAGTGGTAGAATATTGAGCATGGTGCTGTAGGTGAGGGACCGAGAGCTTGCTTCATGCCACGTATCGTCACCGTCAGTAATATCTGAGTCTCGTGAAGCCGGGCCACGTTGCGCCCAGGTACCCATGATACTCGGATGCGATGACAGGCATTGGTACGGGACATGCAGGATATTAGTGCACAGGAAGTTATAGCCTAGATCGACAGGCTCGTCGATGCCCACATATGATAGCGCCGTCAGTGCTTTGCGGGCACCTTCGTATGTAAATGCCATCGCCCATGAGCAGATAGCATTATCCGCAGAGAATACGAGGCGATGACTCTCGAAATTTGGGTCCTCGGCCAGCCCAGGACGGACAAACTCGTTTTGATGGGGTCGCGGCGTAACAGTGAGATCGTTAGGGATGACATAAAACTTTGGGTCTCCACGTGAATTTATACCACAGTGTCCTAGCCATAGCATATCCCAGCTATCACCGTATGGGGAGAAGGGAATACCATCTGTTCCCTGAAGCGCCCGAGTGCCCCGTGCGAATTCGACCATTTGTGTTTTAATATTCACGTCCCAGTCTGAATCGTCTTCCATAAGGACAGCGCTGCTAATCTTGCTTTCCACGATACTATGGGCAATTGAGACCTGCGTTAGTCCAGAACTCTGTTCGTTTCTCCAAACGATTACATACTATCGTAGAGCATTCATATGGGCGCGCCAGCTTCCGAGCTCGGCCGGTTTATCACGATGTTTCTCCTCCGTCCAGACCTAGTCACTTGTCAGAGGTGTAGAGTGGAAGGCAGAGTCAATGTAGACGAACAGCTGGATATGCTTTCGGAGGGATATTGGCGGCTCGGACGCCTTCCAACCAGTCAACTTCCAGCCCGGTATAAGATGCTGCCAACGTGATCGCATCGTGCTTATCGGTACGCTCTTTGAAACCGATGGCGAAAATCTTCTGGAACTGAACGATGGAATCTGTCAGACTTCCCCCATAGGACGCATGAAGATGATGTGGACATACCCCTAGGGTAGAGTTTCTGACTCTACTATCAAGCAACGCATCGGGATCGGCTGGACTCTTTCCGGAAGTGACCCAGGAACCGTCACCGTTTCTAAAGCATGTAAACCATAACCCAATACCAATGATTAACAAAGCGGCAGTTAGTCTTCGGGTAGTGAAGGTGTGCATTGTGCCAACGTTTCCCACCCCAGGATTTAGGAGAATGGAAGAGAGAAATCGGAAGGCATGCGACCGGGCTGGCGCCCGCGGGTACGACAAACAATGAACATGGGGGTCGCTGTCCCTTTAATCGCTCTAGCTCCATATTCCCTTCCCTAAGAGCAGGGGAGGTGAGCCTGGACTGACGGTGAACGACCAATGACATCAGTCCGGATGTTACGCGAAGGCGCAAGTTCGAATTTGACCCGTTCTTCGTTTCTTGTCCCTGAGCACCGTCGCTCTTTTTCTGCTCCTTAGCCGCCGATCGGCGACGCACTGGTGCTTCAGCCCAACAGAGCTGAGCACATATGTACGCTTTATTGGTGTGTTCTTCCCGATCCCTGCATGTACCCACCCGAACGGTCCACTTAGTGAGAAGTTGGCTCAAGTTCGAACGAGAAGACTGTCCGTCGGAGGTCTGTCTTTGCTACAAGACCATAAAACGCGACTGTTTAGGCCTGTCTCGTTCTTGGGGGAACGTCTGGATTGCATTATCTCGTCGATGTAGTCGGAAGTCAAAGAAAGTCGCCTGATGGATGCCTCAGGTTTCCTAGTTAAGAATATCGGATTACGGTAATATACACTCCGTTTATTACCAACAGGGCATCACGCATACAACTCGCATGTACACAGCAATTGTTAAAGGCCTTACACAAAGCTGGAATTGCACACCCTGCTGCATGAACTCTACTTCTAATTTCTTCTTCATTACTCCTTATTCTAGTAGATATTGGACAGTGTCTGCCAAGTCTGCTCGGAGTTTTTGTTTTCTCCTTCTGGTTCTCCTACAAAGCCTATCTGCTTTGTTGTCGGAATGCGAATGCAAACTTTCTCTGTTCTGTACGATATGATATACCCGATATCGAAGTCCGATGAGATTCATGTTAGACGCGGCTATAGATAAACCAGCACCCATAGCTCGTTACCATGAAATAGGATGTTGTCTGTATGAATAAGAGAGGATATACCCTATAGCGACCACCGTCTATGTAGGTCCAACAGATAAGTACAAAATACGTGAAACACAATATTCGACAAGAAAGCCCATAAGAACGCAACAAAAGAGCAAAAGACAGCCCTACTCGTCCGTCACTCTCCAAACAACCTCCAGGATCCGTGGGCTACCGGAGTCTGGCTCATGGACATAAAGCTGCCGGAGTCTCTGTCCTTCGAAGACGGCGCTCTTCATCCGGAAGGATACCTTCTTTTCGTCTTTGGGGCGCAGCGGTCCTAAACTGAATGCGTAGCCTTGCTCCCGCGCCCAGTCACTGGGATCCCACGTCTGCTCCATACCGATCATATCGTTCATCGGCGCCGAATACTGGACAAGAGAAAACCCATTGATGAAGTACCATCGATCCGATATGCGCCACCGTCGAAGCGGACAGTCGTCGCCGCAAATAGCCGCGGCCCTACCGAGAGCAACCACGTCCACGTCGTACCAGGACTTCCAGTGATGT